TCTAGCTAATTTCTAATCACATTTTCTGGTTTAGTACAATTTATTGCAGAATTGAAATTTCATTGATCTATGCTTCTCACTATGCAATAAGCACGCTGCCATTTTGTTGTCCACAAATGTGTAATGATAGGCCCCGTTTTAAATCCAACTGAATCTAAGCCAAGACATTATATAGCATTGGTATTTTGATTTTTTCCTAACTAAAATTAAACCATCTGGATATATATAAACGTGGATTAAGCCATCAGAAATTTGACATTTTAGTGACAAATGGCAATGGCTCATCAGGACTTTAAATAATCCCTTATACTGACCTTCAATTGTACAACATTAACTATACTATTCAAAAAAAGTAGGGGATATTTGATTTTGGGAGCATAATACTAAAATATGCAAATGACTACGAAAAAAGTCACTATAGAACCTAACAGAAGAAACATTTCCAGTTACATGTGACGCCCAAACGCACCAATAGCTACCGCATGGAATGCATGTGATGCTTGGGATCATCATGGGGGTCCAACCCAAGATTTGCACGACTCTGACTTTGAATGTTACAGTCATTGTGGCATTGAATTCCAGGGTGGAAACATCAGTTTAATTGTTTTAGTGACCAGAAAACAAATTTTGATATGCGTCGGCTTACCCAAAATGAAAGGTTACGTGCCCTTGGCATGCTACAGATCGGCACAACACAGGCGGTTGTGGCGCGGACGATGAATGTTTCTCAGTCTGTCATAAGCAGGCTATGGTCCAGATACCGTGATACACAATCTGTACAGGACAGACCACGCTCAGGTCGACCAAGGGCGACAACTCAAGCCCAGGATCGATTTATCCGTATAGTGGCCTTGAGAAATCGTGTCATCACAGCAAATCAGATCAGCGCTCGTCTTCAAACAGGCACTGGTGTGAGAGTGAGTGGCCAGACGATTCGGAATCGACTGCATAGGGGTCACCTTCGCGCCCGACGTCCTCGCGTGATCCCTTGTTTGAGAGATCATCACATTCAGGCAAGACGTCGTTGGTGTAGGGATCGTCAACACTGGGATAATCGACGCTGGAGCAATGTGATGTTTTCAGATGAGTCAAGGTTCACTGTTGCAGGGTGTGTTACAGGCCAGTACTACCGGGACAACATCTTGGCAGTCCATGTTGTGCCGTTCGCACGACGTCATGGCCGCCGTTTCATCTTCCAGGATGACAACGCAAGATGTCACAGGGCCAGGATCGTTACAGGTTACCTCCAACAACAGAACATCACCACATTACCTTGGCCAGCACTGAGTCCCGACCTCTCCCCCATCGAGCATGTCTGGGACATGCTTGGACAGAGGTTACGTCAACGTCAACAACGTCCTGCCAATGTCCAAGAACTTGCTGCTGCGTTGCAACAGGAATGGGACAATCTGGACCAAAATGACCTTAGACATCTCATTAGGAGTATGCCACGTCGGATCAATGCTTGTTTGGCAAACAGAGGAGGATTTACCCGTTACTGACTTGGTTGTGATGCTGTGGTAACTTTGCTGTTTGACCCCGGGTATCATTTTACCCTTATAATGGTCAGTCTGTGCCTTACTTAGTCTAACGATCATTTGGAATAAATCGATGAATGTGAACTTCATTTCATTTTGTCATTTGTTTCTTCGTCAGTTTCATTAAGTGACTTTAATAACACTTAAAAATCAAATATCCCCTACTTTTTTTGAATAGTATAGTTTAATCTCAAAATAATCTTATAAAATATAAAAAAATTAAATGAAGGACAAATTTCTTTTTGTCAAGGCAGTGACATCCAGTGTCATTTAGATAAATGTTGCCTGTAATGCAAGTTTAATGTTGATCTAAATAAGATTTTGGTTATTACTTAAAGTAGCTAAGTCTCTAACTCAATATCATCCAAAATCTTCAACATTGAAAACATGATTTATTTGTCAAATTAAATCAACATTCATGTTGTGATCTTACAGGAAAAAGATGGGCTTTTGATATCCAATATTTAAGACAAAATAAACATTTTACCATTGGTACACGAATCATGTACCATAATGCGCTTCAGCCCCAGTTGTATCAAGAGACTCGAGGGACGAGGCTAGACACATTGCACCAAATCAAAGGGCGTATGTAGACAGGAATAACCAGCTGCTAGAAATTTGCACTCGCTTGAGACTGCTGGCTTTTTTCGCCGAACATAACTGATTTGAAATTGGAGTAAAAATGGAAACCATTGAATGTAAATCAGTTTATATACATTCATACTACATTATTATATGCATTGCGACCCACTTTTGTCAATTTCTAGGTCCCAAATGTTAGCGATTTAGCTCCTTTAATTAATCTGTCAATTTAAGAAACCGAAAGTGGGGCCAAGTATTTAGTCAAGTTAACTTATCATTTGAAAAAACTAGAAGATCAAAACACTGCAAGCCCAAATTATGACGGAAAAAAAGATAAAATTCATGTTCAACTTTTTCTCATATCATACTACATGTATTATCAGTAAAATAAAGTTCTTTGTCATTCCTCCTGAGGGTTTCCAATTCACAGTCAGATTAAAGGCTCAATACCACTCTTGTTGTTACTGAATAATATGTCCCAATCTTTATTCTGGTCAACAAATTGTACTATTTGAGAATATTTCAATTAATTGATGATACAAATTTCATCTTGACACAACTTATTTAAAAATTTGGAAAAATTCAACATATGGTTTGAAACGTCTAACGTAAACCTTTTCAAATGAAACTTCGATTTAAAAATATTTTCCAACCCTCTGGACAAGTAAAATAGGATGTAATGGATAATTTACACAACAGGTAGGACACTTAAACATCTAGTACTTAGATAGAGATATTATTTATTTTCTGGAGCTTTCAAGTCAGCAAGAGTGTTATTGTCCCTTTAAAGGGACAATCCTGATTTTAACAGTCTCAGAAATAAAAGTCTGTGTACGTATGAAATTTAAGCACCAAAATATAGAGGAATGGTGTATTTACCTTTTCTCAAAATTTCAGCTCAAAATGTTGAGTTGTTTGGACGTGAACGTCAAAACCGCTTATCCAGACATTTAACGCTTTTAAGATTTCGGGTTAATTTTTTCGTTGGGTGACCTGATAATCTACTACCGTTCCTTTAGAGGTCTACAAAGTGCATGACCCGTGTGCTGTACTTGATAATGAAAGATAAATTTCACCTACACGTAATTTTTATAAAATGAAAGTTTGGTTTTATCTAGACACCGTATAATTTGGGACATCAGTCTCCATTTCCAGGTGAAGATTGACGAGTTTAAGTTGTTTGAAAATGTATCATGTATATTGAGTTAGTTATATGGTCCTAAGGTAGAGGATTTAAAAGGCTTTTAACACAAAATTAAGCAATTTTATTCTCCAAAAAATAATCGAGATTGACCCTTTAAGCTAGTGAGGGACTTGTGTCATATGCTAAAACATGACCCTTAATTCAAACAATACACATATATAGTTACACATATTTACATACATTTATTTGGTTGCACAGTAAAGTAATTAAATTTCTTCATTTGCTATACAAGCATTTCATGCAGTCTCTTGAATATGCTGGACTCATAGCACATGCTAATTTTTCTACTAGGTTAATGTTCCAATTATTAGTCTTCTAATCAGTCATTTCTTACCTATTCCTTTTTATGCAAAAAATATATTTGCTAGCCATCCCAATCCATATTACTGTGTAATTCTCCAGGCCTCTTATTGTGTAAATCACTCTCTTTCAGTAATAATGCACATTAACGACCAGAGCAAAGATCATAAAATTACAGATAAAAACTATGTACACAAATAGTCTCAATTACATTTGTGACTAACATAGCTAATCTTTAGTGAATACTCACCATATTTATACTATATAACTATTGGGTTGCCTAATAACCATTGACTTATAGCTACTTCTGTTTGACTAGCACACAGATCAAATGATTAGCAATCTAAAGAATCATCCATCCATAAGAAATTAAACCCCTAATATTCCTATATATTAAAATCACATTATGTTTGATTTAATTGCATAAATGTGTTTAATACATGTGATGCAGTGGATAAGATTTTATTCAAATCAAAAGCTGTATTTAGTGCTATAAACTGCCAGTACAAAAGGTGAAAAGTGTGAGTAGTCAATGCACAATATAATCTTTAAGCAATTTTTAGAGCAAAATATGCTAAAATCTGAGAAATTGTCTCTGGGGCTTTGCTCAATAGACCATGAAAGAATGCTACTAAGAGCTAGACTGGAGAGGTAGAAATGTAAACAATTTCAACTGCAATACAAGTTCAAAACCAGATTTGCATAAGGTCTTTCCTGTCATTTCTAAAGACTCCTGCATTACCATAAAGCGATGCTTATTGTCAACTGGGCATTAATTCCTGTATATTTCTCTCTTGAAATAACCACAGTGAGCTAGAATTTTATACTCACAGAAAATCATTATAGTGCCGTTAATGACAATTTGGAAGTTTAAACCTTTTCAATTATCTAACTAAAAATACATTTCTCATGTGATTCAAAAAGTGCACTATTAAAATAATCCATATTATTTCAATGTTAATATATTATATTTTTATATTATTATTATTAAACAAAAATATATATTTTTACATGCCCCTGTAAAATTATAACAGTAGAACTACAGAAATCGCTTTTAAAAAACCAAAAAACAAAACACGCACTGGTATCTTTGTTGGGAGTTATTGTTCAAATTAATTATATTGCACATTTACACCTTTAAGTACATTGTAAGTTTGATTATAATATCATGTATACTATATAATATTCATGCATATTCATATAAACTTTTCAGAACTGATCCCACTATAGCCCAGGTTAGTTCAAGAAATACTGAACATGCTTTTGATAATTATTCCAATACCCTTTAATATCACATATTCAATATTGTCTACTTAACTAATTAAAATTTCAGTAAATTTACAGATACGTACATTAGTCTACTGATAAATACTTACAAGTTTTTGTAAAACTGCTTCATCTTTACCCGTATATTCTGCCATGATGACACAAATTAAAACATTATTCCTAAACTGCCAATTACCGTAACTGAAGTGTATTTCAAGACTGACATCTTTTCGTTAAGCAAATGTCAACTACCGAGAACCTCGTGTGACACCGTTACACGACCGGACAATAGATTTTATTACAAGGGGGAGCGAGGACAGGATTTATATGGCTGGTTTCGTTCATTCGTGATAATGGTTTTAAATTCATGATTAATACTTTTTTCCACAAATGGGGCAGAAAGCCAATACAATAAAATATAGATATAATAGTGACCGTTATAGAGTAATGTCATGTATTGACATTTGTTTATAGCGTCTTAGCAACAAATATTGACCCCTTCCGTAAGAATAGACTAGCCCGGCTTGCCGCATTTAACCAATGAGAAATTGTCGGTATCTTTGATGTCTTTCTGTCAACACCGCGGGAAACCAAGGTATGGGTGGAGGTGATTATTTTTTTCATAAAGATGATAACGATGAGTGCCAAGTAAACAGTGAAGCATGGAAGTGTTAGCCGACATATTAGATATCATTTCAAATACACGTGCATATTAAATTCTTAAAATTTTTCAGTTTAAAAAACTGAGTTTACACTATTGAGTATTCGCCCAGAGAATAATTATGGGGTTTAACGTCCTGCATGAAGACGGGCATAAACCCATACAGTGTGCTATGGGGGAAATTTTGCACTATCAGCAATAGAATTCCAACGGGCACTATCTTAGTTATCTTAGGCACCTTTCTTATCACTAAAAGGCCGCTCGGTGATCGAGTAGGGCATTGGCACGCTAACCTGGAGGTCCCGTGAGCGATTGCTGCATTCACTGGGATTTTCAGGTGTAGCTATAGCTCCCACTTGTCAGTGGCGTGGGAAGGGCCTGGCAAGGGACAATGTATAGTCGGTCAGATGGGACAAAAAGCCGAGGTCCTGTGTAGACACTGTCATGCATGTTAAAGAACCCTTGACTTTGACAGAATCAGCTCACTGCATGGTACAGAACACTAGGACATTAAACTATTTCATTTCATGTAATTTATCACGACAAATTTTAAATTATTCAAATCCTAATACATGGCAATGAGAATGACTGGTTTTTTTTTCAATGTTTTTGTTTTGGAATTGACGAAATGAGTTTGTGCTACTATTCTACTTCTACTGGACCATACAGTGTGTGTGAGGGAAATTTTTCCTAGACAGCGGTGCAACAACCTACTCTTGTATCAAATTCCGATTGCCCAGTCAGTGAAGAAAAGTAAGACATTAAACCCCATTTCATTTCCTCTCCTCCATTCAACTTTATTAAAAGTTGTGGGAGCATGCCCATACCGTCACCCAGGGCACAAAATAGGTTGCCAGACAATGAAACATGTCACCAAGTAGTCCATCATCTTTATGTAAATAAAACACAAAATCTATTCAACCTTTTGAGTTTCTTAGAGTGAACAGACTTTCTCTGATAAAGAAGGCCAACCAACATCTATCAGAAATTTATGCAAATGTTATTCAGTGCAATTATCAAAACAATGAACAAATAGATCAGATGATGACTTTGTCAAAGTGCATTCACAAGTTTTTACAAAGTTAACAAGGGCTGTAACCCCAGAAGCAATTAACAGAACTCATTAAAATTTAATAGAATGCTTCATTTCACTAATTTGAATAATGCATATAAATTTCTACAAATGTGAAACAAGGTCTTAAGGTATAGAAGTAATTAATGGAAATTCCAAGTCGACACCATTATAAATATGCAAGTGGGCTAGTCACTAATAAAGATTCATTTATATTGCTGTGAGCATGAACTCCACAATAGGTACACTAGCTCAAGACACAATATCAAACAAGATTTCACTAAGATTGGTCCAATTGTTCAACCCACCTAATGTTAAAAAAAAAAGAAAAAGATCTCACACATGCATTTTAGATCATAAGGTCTGTCACCGGGTCAAGTGGAATGGTTTTGATCCCACTGTTTTATGTGACAGGAATAGGGTTGCCTGCTTAACCTTGTGGGTTTTTTCCCACTGCTAAAGGCCCCTATGCACAAGCGAATATTGCTAAAAAAATAAATGGAACCACATTAGTACCGAAAAGACCTGGTTTGTGTTGAGTGTAAGACGCTGGCTCGCTAGCTCAGAGGTCGTGTGTTCGATCCCTGTATTGGCCGATAAAATTCATCCAGAATTTTCGGCGTGGTTCCCCCTAGTCAGTGATGCAAGACAGAGGGTCTGACAAGAACAGCTGTCTTAGTCATTCGGATGGTACAAGAAACCGAGGCCCCACGTACACATTGGCATGCACGTAAAAGATCCCTTGACAGTTGGAATTTGATGTAAGAGTAGGCCGCAGTGCCGCTGTCCGGGCAAAATTTCCCTTCTAGCACACTGTATGGCATATGCCTGTCTTCATTAGCTCAGTTTGGAGCAGGACAGTAGGATGTAAAACCCCATTTCATTTCATTTCTCTCTAAAATAATGTTATTAAAACTTGTTTCAGTTCAATTCAGGGGCAGCATGGGGTTAGAAGACACTTGAGAATTCTTACACCTACCAATGAAAGTGTCTAATTATTTGGATAGAACGAAAAATCAACCATCAGTTTATGGGACTGGTAATAAAAGCTTACTCGCCAGTTGAAAACATCGCTACCCAGGCCAAACTACTCTTCCTCACATTGCACACATAAACCACGAAAATGAAAATTACTGCATCAAGATCAACATGAAAGTAGTATTTTATTGAAATGAATTTAGTTATGTTGTAAATATTACTTACTAACAGAATGCCCAGCTTCGCTCGGGGGTCATAACTCCGAAACCGGAAGTGGTAGACTAACGCCACCTGGCCTATGTTACTCCCCGGTCCGAGCTACCCCTATACCCCAAATTTCATACTCGGGACAGACCTAGTGTAGCCGCCAACCCCGAACAGACAGACAAACAAACAGACAAACGACAGTCACAAATATTAGTATAGATGCAATGCAAGGTGAATGAATTTTGTCCATCAAATTCCCACTGTTCTTTCATTTGCATATTAGGGGCATTTTCCTTGTTAGCCCTACAGGGAATACCCCAACTCTTTACTTTCCTCTCAGTCACAACCAAAAATGTCCCCAGGTATAGTACAAGACTGAGCACATTCATCCATTTCCTTCAGACATATAATTTAGAGGTTGGGGTGGTATCTTAACTTCAGCTGAAAGTGCAAACTTTTAACTCTCAAAACAAATAAAGCCACCAGAAACTTAACGATTTTATTGTAGCAAAATGTTTTTAATCTTAATATGTGCCATGAACATTGTACCTACAATTGCCATAAATGATACCAAATTTTTCAGTGGTTCATCCACTATTAAATCTTGTTTATTTCTTTGTGGGGCGTAACGTCAGCTTCTACCAAGGGTGATATCGCAAACAAATTAACTCCTGCACTAATCGACTCTTTTATTCACTCTTTAACTAGTTGTTGAGAAAAATGGACTATTCCAAGAAATGGGAAAATAAAATATCACCCTGTGGACTAGCTACATGAAGGTTAGCAACTTGTAGAATCAAGCACCTATAAAAGGTTTGAACATTGCATTGCCTCTAGGATGAAAAGATAGGTTGCCAGGCAACGAAACATACGCCCACAGCAGCTACATCGTCCACATCGTCCTGGCAGTCAACAAGAGTTGTCGCATATTTTTACTTTTTTCGGTAATGAAACATTTACAATACATTAAAATCTGATTAAGACTCATTAAGAGTAACAACTCATTAAGTAATTATCAAAAAACCATTAGAATTTGTTTGGTTTTTATAAAGTTCTGCCCCATGCTAACGTTTAGTATACGAAACTTTTAACATCCTGGATTTAGCTGTTCAAGTCATAAAGATTCATCAAAAATCAATATACTTGTTCGTCTCAAGACCTTAAACACTGTGTATAAATTTAAAGTCAATCTGATATTAACTTTAGCCTCTAGAGCGTCCACAAGATTTTTCAAAGTGATCAAGGGCCATAACTCTGGCAAAAATTATCGAAAATCACTGAAAATCAATAGGATTCTTCGTCTCATGACCTTAAACACTGTGTATCAATTTAAAGTCAATCGGATATTAACTTAAGCCTATAGAGCATCCACAAGCAATTATGGACGACGGACGGACGGGGGCGACAACAATATACGACCACATTTCATTGTGGGCATATAAAAAGCAAGTTAATGTCCAAGGAAAACTTTCCCAAAAGTGTGCAAAAGACAGTAAATTTGGATGCTGGACAAATCGGGCGACCATACAATCAAGATTTTAAATGGTATATTATATTCTCATTAAATTTCAGCAAAATGTATGTATCTCTGGACATTTATATTATGTACAACATCTATTATACCATGGACATCTTTCACTCATATGTACATTCTCTCATGTGTACTTACATTTGAATCATGTGATCATTACTGCATCCACAGTTATGTGAAAATAAATATATGCTATTTCAATCACTGGAAATTATCAACACTGAAAATGGGATATTTAAGAAAGACTGGTCAGAGCACCATTTAAATTTAGCAGTACCAGCCTGCATGTACTGCCAATTGGCATATATATATATATAAAAGTTCCAAGCACCATTTTCTTCTACACTTCTCTTCAATCCATGACAGAAACATGAAGCACACTGGCATAATACTGATGTCTGTATAATGAATATGTACAATGAAGACCACACCTCCTTGTGAGCAAGTCAATCAAAATGGCAGAAAGGGAATGCAACGTACTCGCTTTAGTTAATAAAGTGCTAAAAAGTCACCTAGATGTTAAGTACTGTTGCCTTTGATTAAAAAATTATTGTCATCTTTAACCTGCTAATTACCAGATGTACAATAATGTCTTCTGCTAAAAATGCTCTTAGATCTATATACATGTACATTGTCAATGTTAAGTTTAACTTTAAAGAAAACTTAGCATATGTACAGCTTGAGATTTGACTTTAGATTAAATTTACCATCTTTAACCTTTATTGTGATGATGTACATGAGGAATAGGAAGCCATGTTCCTTTACTAGATATAGAGAAACTTTATAGAATTAATTTAAAGGAAAAAATAAGATTAAGATTAGAATTCATTTTACTTATATTTTTAAGCTTTATCACTGATAAATATAAAACAGTTGTTGACAATTATTTTGACATATATTTTAAATGTTACAAAGTTTAACAATCAGTAAGTCAAGTGAGCAGTCTGTTGCTTACTCCCGACTATAAAGCCACAATAACTATGTAATTTCCATGACACCTGGAAAAGAAGGAAAAGAGAAAATATTGACTAAAATATTGTGGTCATGCCCAACATCAAACATTACAAAAAGCTTTACATTAAAATGAACATCAAATCTTGTTTAATAAAGCACTCTAAAATGTAAGATATATTTACTTAGTTAGAAGAATCTGTTTGTTACTACAATAATTAAACTTTTATCTTTAATCTTCAATTAATATAAGCACTTTAAGTGTAAGTAAGAAAGCCACTAGAATTATTCCAATTAAAAAGGAATATACATGCTACCTACACTGAGGAGGAGACTGCCCCTTATATAATTTTACCATATAAAATTACTGTTTTGAATAAAACTGGGGACAGGACATATCGTAAAATACCACTATAACTTTTTGAGTGATTAATTTGAACACATTTCTCAAGTTTTTTCTGAATTATAATAGGTTTCAACCAATTTGAATTCGGATGCTGATCAATTTGGGTCTTTTAGTAATATTTATCAACTACATGTGTTGATGAATAACATGACAAAGTATCATCTACTCATCCGGACAAAAAAGCATTTTAAATATTACTTTACAATTTACTTTCATATTATAAAATATAGCAAAATAATTTAATTAATAAAACAGTTAAAAATTACAGAATTTAATAATTTTCAAATGGGATATTTTAAAATATTTAATAAGTGTACAATTTACTTTAATTGTCAGTTAAAAAAAAAAGTTTTTACATTATCAGAGTGATATATCTGTGCATGAAGAAAATAAATTTTTAATGTAATACATTATATAGGCTAATTAATAGAACTGGTTACATTTATTTTACACTATAATAGAGACAAAGTGTCCTGTTACATATGTTACAAATGCATTTAATTTAATATCTTTAACAATCTTTTTGTTTGGTCACTTAAACATATAAATAACTCAGTTTTTGGCAGTTTATACATAAATTTTATGATTGAAGAAAAGTGTTACACAAACAAATCGATCAGCATCCGAATATACTGTGTTCTATCATTTACACACATGGAAGATATTATCACTTTAGTGGCATGGATTTGTCATCAAGTTATAATTCACATTAATAAAGGCTTTGCTAAGCCAATTTACCCCTCATGATTTGCGATGAAATGATACATTTGGAATGAACTGTATGATCGACTAAAATGAATTTAAAGTGTCATCACTTGAAATTGAATCGGGCTATATAACTTGTCTCTTTCACTTTCTCAAACATGTACCCCCCTCCCCCAAACACCTTCCTCTAACCACCCCCCCACCCCATAAAATAAAAGTTAATGGCTATAAGGATGGTAGCTGTTTCCACCTCCGCGTTTACTGCCACCAGTTTTTCCATAAGAACTCTGCTGCTGTGTTTGATCTTGTTGTCCATATGCTCCCCATCCACCAGAATAGTCATAGCCTCCATATCCACCATAGTTTCCATAACTCTGATCATAACCACCCCATCCGCCATAACCATAGCCCTGATTGTAGTCATATGCTCCTCCATATCCACCATATCCTCCTCCATATCCACCATATCCTTGATTTCCATAACCATAATTGTTGTATCCTTGATTACCATAACCTTGGTTTCCCCATCCTTGGTTCCAACCACCACGTCCCCCACGAGCACCACCACGACCACCGCCTCTGCCTTGACCAGTTGGTGTTGCCTTCTTAATGTCAACCTCTTGGCCACTTAGAACATGTTTCTGTTGATCAAGCACTTTCTTAACACCTTCTTCACTTTCAAATTCTACAAAACAGAAAGCTCTTCTCTGATCTTTAATTTTATCAAATGGCAGATCAATTTTTTCCACTTTTCCAAATGTTGAAAAATATGTTTTGATATCTTCTTCTGAACAGGCTGGGTCTACACGACCGACAAAGATTTTCCTAGCCCCTGTTCGCGGATTTGCTCGCTTTGGATCAATTGTGCGTCCGTGTAATTTAAGCTGCTCTTTTTCTTCCAATACTTTATCAACAGTTTCTGTTTTGGCAAAAACTATAAATCCGAAACCCCTGGACCTTTTTGTTTCGAGATCGGTTTTCAAGGTGCAATTTACCACATCGCCAAATTTTCCAAAATACTCTTTTAAGTCTTTCGTCGTCGTTTCCCAACTTAGACCACCCACAAAAAGCTTTCTTTCGTCTTCATTCGTTCCATCATCAGCGACCGTCGCGTCGCCGCCCGCTTGTTCATTTGTTTCCATGCTTTCTGATTCTGTGGTTGCGGCTTGTTCTTGGAAATCACCGTTGGCGTTGGCTTCTTCAAATTGCTCATAATCTGTACCTTCCTGAACTTCTGCCATATTGAAAGCTTAATAAAAATGATCTACACACTATAGTAACAATCTTTCAAACAATACGTCGTTTTAACATGCGTCTTTTCCCTAAAATACCGGTAAAACACGTGACTATATAACCTAGAGCTCTTTTCACTAGTCCGCCATTTGTGTTCGCTTTACTATCCAGTCTCTTATTTAACAATACGTTTCAATGTATTTCTAAGTGTCTGGTCGATCCAATCAAAGCTAAAATGGCGACCGCGAAAAAAGAAATGGAAAAGAAAGATACCCGGATGAAGGTTACAACAAAGAAAATGTCAATGGGTTTGTAAAGACCTGTTAATCGCGACTAAATTTTAAGAGTTATCTTTTGTTGAAAGATTCGTGAAACTGATTTGATTGGACAAGGGATGTAGATCAGACCAGTCTGATTTCATACAACATTTTTTATTACGTCATAGGCACGTAATAAAATGCAATAACAGTCCGAAGATGTCCCACGTGTGATTGTTTATAATTTGATCCAAAAATCTTGATACTATGGGCTCTTATTACCTGCGGAAGTCATAATTATGAAGCTGGTCAGACGGGATATTGACCGAAATGGCGAAGGGTATGATTTTAGTATAGTAAATTCTGACAGTGGCGTGAGTAGGTGACGTGTAGCCAACTGTAGAAATAACCACCTGACACAATCGTGCCACTAAAAATGAACTATTGACACTCATGTCAGAAATACCACTTTTTTAAAAACATTTTGTAAATCAAATCAAGAATTACATATTTATGAGAAATAATGGGACTCTGAGTCTGACTAAGTTATTTTATCATTATGCCAACAAGTCATTATCAGCAGGCAGTCATTATATTCATTGTTTGAATTAAATTTTAATATAATTTAAAATATATATATATTATTATTATTATATTATATCCTGTAGCCCTATCTGTCTTATATAGACTAACATTGCATTGTAGAAAAAAAGGGAGAAAAGAATGCTGCTGACTTAAGTTCATTGCATAATCCTGGGTTTAATTTTACTTAGTTTGTAGCTAGATTTTGATCATACACATGAACTGAAATATGACCATTATATAGGTTTATTCATTTAACAGCGCAGTTACAAACTGGAATTGACAAATACTAGGCCTACAGCCCAATTTCTGATAAGTAGAGCTCCATATCAACTCGGTCTAGCAAATTCAGCTTTTTGGGGAATAAATAAAACAATGGTGGTATAGTGTGTTATTACAGGGAGTTAACCTAACATAATCCCTAATATACCAGCCAAGTATAAAGTCCTTATCTTTCCTATTAGTGTTTAACATCCACTTTAGTAAGAGCATGTGCAGAGTTCTTTCCTGTGGAAGGAAACCAGAGTACCTAGAGTAAATCCATGAGGTTGAGAAGGCACCCCCTTCTCTAAGCCACATGTATACACCCACACAAGGGATCACAACCCCCTGCCTTGAATGAAAGGCAAATAAATTTCCCTTATAGCTATATTCAAGTTGAGAATTTGTTATTTTGAAATTATGTGAACAGGAATTGGCTCATACGATACAACTTCATGTAAATACATCTAAATGCTATGACACTTATTGAGAGTAAATGAAAATGGAACTCCTAAAACAGTTCTTAAAAATTCATTATCAGTAAAAGCTAGTGCACATAGTTTAGGTTGAACATAGTTTACCTGTTGTAAATAATCATTCACACTCTTAACAGTGTAAATTGGCTTCCAAAAACAGCATATGATTCTTCAAAGAAACCGACTGGTGTAAATCAACGTCTTCGTCCGAAGGATTAATTTTTGGTCATGGTCTGTAACTACGCCGTTTAGCAAATACACCTGATCATCATATTAGTAGTTTTTGTATTTTCACAATCGGAGCTCTCTGTCGACAAATAAGTAGCCTAACTGTCCACAAAAAGTACCCCAATATTAATTTAGACCGATACAAAACCGTAGCTACATGAATCTGACAAGTCATTTCTCTCATGCATAGCCCAGTGCCATTTGATAAGATTTATTGCATCAAAATGACTGCAAAAGGCAGTATACGACATAAAAATGTAATAATATATAGATGTTAAAACAAGATGTAGTAAATACAAAGACATAACACAAATAGAATATGTAGTAACATATGAGTAAAAGAGAAATATACCACAGCCTAGGCTACATGTACATTGATCTTCCATTAGCTCCATATTTTTGACATTATTAGCTGGAGAAATAAATGAACATTTTGTAAAGCTTTGTAATATGAGATAAAATTTGTGATTTTATTTATAGATCTGTGGTCCTTGTACCAGAAGAGCCAGAAGACATGTGGCATGCTTATAATATGGTACAAGTAGGGGACTATCTAGAATCTACAACTATCAGGTATTGGCACTTTTTTTTTGTCTTAAAATTATTTCTTTAACACATAGACCTAGAGTTCATTGACATCAAATATAAGCATTTGTATTGTTATCCACCCCACTGGTTAAATATTTTAACAACATTTTACCATCAAAGACCCCCTCCTTCCTGGTCCAACTGGAGATCTAATTATCAGCAGGGGTTCCAATTGCAACTCCCTGGCAGTAGTCTTAGTATACCATGTTAATAAAATAGTAATTAAACAATGATCAGAAAGACCTTAAATTTCACATCAAACATTTTCTCTAATCTGTGTCAGTTTATCAGAATAATAACATGACTCACGAAATCACAAAGTTGGCATTAGGTAAGACTAAATAAAGAGCTGACAGTTTTTGCTGTAATAGTTAAAAAATAGATAATGAAACTAGAATATGCCGAAAATGTCTGTCAAATTGTTTCTCTCTGAACCAAGATATTAGCGCTGCAATTTTAGGCTAGCCTTGATCGTCATTACTAACGTTGGCATGATAATAAACAAATTCTCAATTATCCATTTTTACGTTAAATTATCCTTCACAAAATGTATTCAAATCCACTAAATATTGCAGGCTAGTGATGTCATCGAGAGTTGATTATGCTCTGGATAAGTTAATTAATCATTAATATAACATTTCAGGCCTAATGAAAGACCTGCAATAGCTCTTGCATAATACATGTTTAAACTAAGGCCTTAGAATTAAGCTTGATCTTTTGTATAAACAAAAGTTATCAGATTTGAACTTAATAAATGAATAAAACGCACTATCAAGTGTTCTAGAATGAGTATTTATCCCTTGTCTTGTGCATGATATCTGTCAATACTGCATGTACATGTAATGTAAGATTCCACCTTAAACACAGGTGAAGTCAGTGGATGATCTAAAATGTAATACTGAAGATCCGGAATATTGTTTTATTTACAGCACCAGAAGAAAGACATGACTCTTAATCTAGATTTTTGAATGAAATCATTCTCTAATGAAATTAATTTTTTATGTCTTTGTTTTACAACAGAAAAGTAACATTAGAATCATCTACTGGTAGTGTTAGTGCCAACAAAGTCCGAACTACTTTGAATATAGAAGTTGAAACAGTAGACTTTGATAGTCAAGCATGTGTATTACGTGTCAAGGGTAGGAATGCATCTGAAAACCAATATGTTAAGGTAAATAATTATATATGTACCAATATTTAGTTACATTACTTTATGATTTATCATATCTTAAACCAACAATGTATTATGTGAAAACTAACAAAGATAATACATACATACTGTTATATCTATGTAATATTAGATTTGTGAACAAGATTTTACCACTGTCTTTAGAATTAATGTTTTATAACAAAATTTGTAAGTTGTTTGTTTTTGTAGCCTACTCATGAAAAAGTTTAAAAATGAGCTCATCCTCTTTGATTTGTTTGAAATTAAGCATTGAATTGGGTTAATCTGATGTCGTATTTCAAATAGTGATGGTAAATAGTTTTACATGTATACGATTAAAATTTCAGTCAGAAATATTAAGTGGATAAAATGAGTTGTATTTCAATATGGATCTGTGGTCCAACAATCTGATTAAAATACAGATCTATATTTCTTTTCATTTTTTTAATACTTGCAATGGCCTACACTACATGAAGAGCTGACCGGTTGTAACGAAAGGTCACGTCAGATGTCGCAACCAATCAGCGTTGATGTTTCTAGTGGAAAACCCACAGTTCAGTGCACCGTACGCAAGAACTCGCTGTAACAGACCGTTTCATTGGCTAATCCCTTACATCAACCAAAACACGGGTTATATAACAACCCTTCCAGATCCTAGTGTAGTAAAGACAAGTAAAACAAAATTTTGAACTATAAAAAACGGAAAGAAATAGGATCTGTGTTTTAATCAGATTGGTGGTCCAAATATTTAAATATAATCAGATGTCCACTTTGCAAAATTATTGAACCTTTAATTAGATCTACTTTTTTTTCCAACCAAAAATCAAATTCAAAGAGGTTTTGAAAATCTAAATACATCAATCATACATATATTTGATTAATATCTACTGTTCTACTTCTAGAACATACTAAAGTAATATACATATATTGGCCTTCTTGAAATATGATTTGATTTTCTTTACATTTGCATATTGAAATAATGACAAATAAAACAATATTTGTAGATGGGTGCATACCATACATTAGATCTGGAATTAAATAGAAAATTTACACTGGGTAAACATCTGTGGGATAGTGTTGTTTTAGAAAGATTAGGTTAGTATGAATTGTATCCTAATGAATTTAAATTAAAACAGCCAGAACAGTGTTGGTGGTATCTCAAAAATGAGAAAACACTGCATAATTATGTTTCATTGTGTCAATTTCATGATACAGATCCTATCATAAAAGTAATGCGATCACTCATCTTCACATTAACTCCTCTGAATATACAAGTTCTCATACATGTTGGCTATGATCAGTGCTTTCAGCTAAAATCATGAATTATTTCTGCTTTGCTCCCTTGATTATTTACCATAACAAGGTCAACAAATTTTGAAATAAACCACCCGTTACTTTAGTTCCAATCATTTTATGTGGCACAGATTCATATTTTGAATACATGTCCACACAAAGTTACAGATGTCGGGTACACCTAATATTTTATTATCTAAACTAAATTTATTATTTCCAGCACTGGTTTCTTACAACCATACAGCCTGATGTGAATCTGAAAGAAACTTCTGTTTCATTCAAAGAAAAATGAAATGGGGTTTATTATCCTACTTTTCTACATGTCTAAGCTAATAAAGACCAGTAATACACCATTGCCAGGGCGATAACACTATGCCCTACTCTTATTTTGCATTCCAACTGTCATGTGTTCTTTTATGTACAGGTACACAGGACCATAGTTTTTTTGTATCATGTGAACTGATAGACACTGTTCCTTGTCAGGCCCTCCATCCTACACCACTGACAAGTGGAAACCAAGTCAAAAATCCTGAGAACACCAGGAACGATCCCGTGACCTGCTGGTTATGAGCCACCGCGACTCCCTCATTCAAAGTGTTGTCAAATGATCAGTCAGTTGAGATAAATAGGATGTCACTACCCTGGTGAAATTCTCATATTTTACAAGAATAGATATTATAAAGAAAACTTCTGGAAGAAACTTATTTAGATTTTTAAAATATATGCTTCTGTTATAGATTATGCCTGTGATCCAACTCAGCATGCTGATTTAGCAGCTGTCATCATGCAAGAAGGTCTAGCACACATATGTCTTGTTACATCATGTATGACCTTAGTTCGTGCCAAACTGGAAACACATATTCCAAGAAAACGAAGAGGTTCATGTGAACAGCATACAAAGGTGATGATAATCTACTGTACACTTAAAAAAATAAAGATTTTTACAATTCTTTCATTTGGATGTGAACATTATTCTTTGGTAAATGGTGGGGGCGAGGGGAATGTATGCTTTAAATTGAGTTGATGAACTTTGCTACAGTAGAGTTTCATGTTTAGTTTCAATATTCCCGATTAAGCCTTGTAAACAGCAAAACCTTGAATAGTTTTTTGTCCGTGATAAAAAGTTAAAAATCCATGTCAACATGTGATTATGAATCTCTGAATCTCGCCATTCAATGCTTCAAATCCCACATAGATATGAACAAAGTAACAACAGGAATCTTATATTTGATGTTTTCACTTACCAACTATAAGTTTTAAAATATTTTCTTTGCATATATTATTACATTGGATATTTTAAATTGTATTGTTTTATAGAGACAGTCCTTGTTTCTCTTCTGTTGTTAATTTGTATTTTTATACGCCCACATTTTCATGTGGACGTATTATGCCGTCACCCCCATCCGTCCGTCCACACTTTGTTTGTGGACACTCTGCAGGTCACAATTTTTATCCGATTTTGACAAAACTTGAATGTAGGTCTATCTCCCAAAGATCTAGGTTCCTTTTGATATGGACATGTATTGGAGCATAACTTCATGGATTATGGCCCCTGGTTGTTTGAAAAAAACACGTTTTTAGCCTGTGGATACTCTAGAGGTCACAATTTCCATCTGATTTTGATGAAACTTGAAGTGCATGTTTATAACCCAAAGATCTTGGTTCCTCTCAATATTTGCGCAGATCGGATTGTAACTTCCTGGATTATGACCCCTGATTGTACAAAAAATCGCTTTTTTTTATTTTTTAGTTTGTTCTCTATCCATTTCTTGCAAAATGTGAGCATATCTTGCTTGACAACTGCTGGTTTCTATTTCCAGGGTTTACATAGATTTTATGATCAGATTCTCCAAGCTATTTTAAGACATGTTAATTTTGATGGTGAGTAAAGATTGCAAATTGTTTTTATACATTACCCGTCAAACATTGTTTGTACTATTGATTTTCTAAACTCTGAACATTTGTGACGATTATAATAAATACAACCAGGATCACAACATGATGTTTTATATTTTGTCCGTAATCCATTATGTGATTTATTGGGGTTTTTTTTTTTTTTGCAGTTGTTAAATGTGTACTTATTGCCAGTCCCGGTTTTGTCAAGGTAATTATTATTAAAGGAGCTAAATCTGTATTGTATAGAACCAAATATGGGTCAAAAGACACATATTAATGCAAAATAAGTGTATATAAAGTGATTTACATTCAATTTTAAAACTTTTGTTGTAATTTCTAATAAGTGAGCAGTCATTGAAAGCCAGTTGCTCATGCCATTCGTCCAATCTACATTAGAAGTACAGTTTGACATTTCACTTAAGCACTGACATTTCGACTTGATCATCATGGCGTCTCATTACAAAATGAGAGCATAGAGTATTTACCAGCATGTACTTGTTTTAAAATGGTTCACAGTATTTTAAATATTGGATTTCAGGAGCCCATGTTTTCACAATAAGATAACAACATCGCTATTGATTGGAATGAACCAATTGTTTGTGTTGGTAATGTTGAAGACTGGATAATTTTGAACTAGAGCTTTAGCCCTTTAACTAATTAATTAATTTCTAGTGATTGACCAATTCCCATTCTTTTCAACAGATGTGCCAAAGATTTGACAAATTTAGATCATACAATACTGTACCATAGGAATATATTGTAGAACTCTGAAAACCCAATACTTTCTCCTAAAGTCACATGTTTGTATTGAACTGTGCAAGTGTTTACAAACACCTCAAGAAAAACAGAAAAACTAAATTTTGCACAAACTGATGTCTGTTTTTAATATGGTTAGAGTCCAGTGTCCTGCCTTGTACTGACTCTCACTTTCCATTTGTGTCTTAATGTTTGAAATCTTTTTCTTACAGGATCAGTTTGCAGAGTATTTATTTGCTCAAGCTATTAAACAAGATTATAAAATACTTACAGAAAACAAATCAAAGTTTATTTTAGTTCATTCATCCTCAGGCTTTAAACATTCTTTAAAAGGTAGGTAGTTTTATTAGTCTCCTACTGGTGAAACTGGAGGGGACTGTTGGTTTTCTCTCCATCAGTCCATCTGTAGGTCTGTCATTTTTGTTTCTTCGGAAGGTTTTTAAGTAAACATTGAGATATTCTACACTGTTCATTTAACAGAAATATGGATCAAGTTCTGGATTTAGTGATATTTTGTTCAATTTTGACTGAATTAATACCCCTTTTTACTTTAAAATAGGTTAGGTTAAAGTTTGCATAATGTGGGATTGTGTTATTTTTACCAAATGATGGCCCTTTATTCACTTAAAATCCATGAAGATTCTGACATCCAGAATTGTTAAAGTTCAATTTTACAGATTTGATTCCATCAATACGTATTTGGATTCCATATTCTCAGATGATGATTATGGGCTGATGATTATGGTGGCCTTACACCCTGTATGCATACTTTTTCTAGAACACCTCATACCATTCCTCATTTGAGTTCACATATCTGACATAATTTCTGTTGTACTTATGAATAATAGTAAGTGCAGGAGGACTGTAATACACTCAAACAAACCTTTGCACAAGGCAAGCTACACAGACATTGCGAGAAATAACATCAAATCAGTTGGTTCAGTGTTTATGAAAATAATGACTAATAATGATCAAACCAGTAACCTTGGCTTTTGAATGTTATTATTTGTTTCGTCTATTTTCAGAAATATTAGCAGACCCAGTAGTTACATCTAAACTAGCAGACACCAAAGCTGCAGGTGAAGTAAGAGCATTAGATGATTTTTACCAAATGTTACAAAATGATCCAGATAGAGCGTTTTATGGGTAGGTATCATTTTATAGCAAAATATGTAAATTGACTACGGTCTAATAATGAGAAGTTGATGTAGTTTGAAACAAAATCTAATAATGCATAAAATATATTTGTCTCATCATCATATATATATAAATGATCCCTTGTTGGAAATGAAATGAAATGGGGTTTAACATCCTACTGTTCTGAAATAGAGTTTGCTTGCTAAGTTAGGCATATGACCCAACTCCTTTTCATGCAAGATGGGGAGTGGAACCATGTCACTTGTCTAAATGACAGACCTTATGAGCTAGATCCCTTGTTGGACAGAATAAACAAATATGATTGCCTTAATGTTACAGTCATTTTTTTTTCCTTTAATTGATAAGGTTTGTGTAATTATTGTCCATTATTATCTTTCAGATTTAAACAAATAGAAAAGGCTGCCAATTTAAATGCTATAGAAGTTTTATTAGTATCTGATGAACTCTTCAGGTACTGTAATTGATAATTTCTGTGATTATTTAGTGTTATTGTTTTTGCCTTGAATACCTTGAAAATGTGCAGGAATAACATGACCATAGGGGTAAAGCGAAATGAAAATCAGAGGATCTTAATTATTTAAAACCATAAAGGAACTAAACCTCTTTGATTCTGGTTAAAATAAAGCATTCAATTAAGAATTTATCTAATGTGCTATTTCAATTTAAATTGATGTTTCGACAGATTAAAAAAAAGTTTCTTGTTTGTCAACCCACAAAACAAATCAACAAATAAAATTGACAGTTTTAATTTTAATCTCTATCAAAGAGGTCTTGTCATTTTAAATTTACATAAGAATAATTATTCTTAAACCATATTAGTTGATCAGTTGTATGTACTAATATTTGACATGTAGAATTGTATTAACTGTCTTAAACTGGTTATTTTACATACAGGTCAAATGATGTTCAGAAAAGACAACGTTATGTGAGATTAGTTGATTCAGTTAAAGAAAATGGTGGAGAAGTAAAAATATTTTCTAGTTTACATGTTTCAGGAGAACGTAAGTTATTTCTCTCTCAGAAATTTAATGTTTAAAACAAGAGGCTCAAGGACTGTAATCATTCAACACTTAAGAGTACATGTACAAAACATATAGGGATGTAAGCTTTTTCATTTAATTAAAGATTTAGATAAAGAGCTGATAGTTTATTCTCACTATAATAGTTTAAAAATAGATAATGAAAAGGGAATATGTTGAAATTTTCAGTCAAATTACTTCATTCTGAGCTAAGTTAGGGCTGATTGGAGTATAGCAAAGTCTCGATTGTCATTGCTACGATAGCAAACAAAGTCTTGATTATCCACTTGTTTATTTAAATCATTAACTGCAAATCTATTGCAACTCAAGAGCAACCGATGATGCGCTAGAGAGTTGATTATGGTCTTGTCATGTTTATAAATATTTAATCAATAATTTATATAATATTTAAGGCCTAAAGAAGGAAATGCAATAGGCAGATTTAGCTCTTGAATAATGCATGTTTAAGTTTGATATGTTGATTTAGTTTGCAAACTGGGAGTCCGTCTGCATTTAAAATTTTAGTCTTGTAGATTTTGTGTCCAGCAAGATAAGTGAAAAATTAAATTAAAATTAGTAAACGAACCAACTTCCGCTTAATCCTTGGAAATGAACATTAAATTGAGCTTGTCTTACCAACATCGGATCAATACTTTATTTTGACCTAAATAAGGTTTAGCTTACGGCTAAGAGGACAACAAAAATTATTTGTTGGTGTTCTACCAATGCTGATGGATACTTGTAGCAATATACCAATATATATAATGTATGCCAAGTTTCTCGAAGCAAGACTGTCAGCAACAAATAATCTGTAATATTAAGGCTATCAATTCCAAGTTAACTTTTTAGGGTCTTCGAATAGCCCAACAGCTTATGCTATATCACTGTTGTGTTTCATCTGTATTAGTGTTTGAATGATATCAATACAATTCATCTATAAATTTGATTTGAGTTCTGTACAATACTGTTCCTATTGCATTAAAATACACTTTCATGACAGTATTTTATTTCAAATCCTTTCGGGGCTATATTCACAATTGTTGGCTTAGATCACAATGAAAAAGTATATATTTTTCTTTGCAGAATTAGGTCAACTAACTGGTGTAGCTGCAATATTACGCTTTCCTATGTCGGATGATACCTCAGATGAAGACTAATTTTGTTAATGCTTTGTTTTATCCTATTAAATTATTTTTACTTCTTATTCACTTTTTATTTTTATACGCCCACCTATTCATGTGGACATATGCATTGCCCCTTTCCGTCTGTCTCAAAAAGATCTCGATTCCTTTCGATGTTGGCATGTATCTGACCATAACGTCATGGATTATGGCCCCTGATTGTACGAAAAATCATGTTTTAGCTTGTGGAAACTCTAGAGGTCACAATTTTCATCTGATTTTGATGAAAGTTGATATGCATGTTTATAACCTAAAGTTCTGGTTTCCTTTTGATATTCGTGCATTTCGGATTGTAAGTTCCTGAATTATGGCCTCTAATTGTACGAAAAATCACGTTTTTAGCTTGTGGTTCCTCTAGAGGTCACAATTATTATCCGATTCAAAAAAAAGGTCGAATATATCACCATTACACCGAAATGTCAGATGAGTTCGAATTCGTGAAAATTGAACCAAAACTGCCAGACAAAGTGATCTCCCCTCATATGCAAATTCCGGTTGTGGACCCTCTAGATGTCATAATGTTGATGAAACCTGAAATACATGGTTATAACCCAAAGATCTTGGTTCCTTTCGATATTCACGCATATCAGATGATAACTTCCTGAACTGTGGCCCTTGACTGTACGATAAATCGCGTTTTTAGCTTGTGGTGATAACCCTTGGGTCGGGGATTTGGACCAAATCTTTTCTGTGAGATGGGTTAGTACCCAGAAATATCCCCGCAAAATATTATGTTGATTCAGTTGATACCAACCTGATAAATTGGAAAAATATTTTTTATTCGGACAATAATTCATTTGGACAGACGAAATTGTGGGCAATAGTAGGACCACCTAGTCTCCTACTACACACAGATTTTTAAGCTTCTACTGCCAATGATATCTTGGTACAGGCCAGATGCTCAACTCTCCCTGAAAATTGAATTTAATGAAAACCAAAGTTTGAGAGGCTATAGTTTGCTTCTTGGCAGGGACTAGGGCCAAAGTTGAATGTTACCCACAACTAGCAACCTTCTTACTAACAAAATAAAAAATAAATATGACTGGCACAGGTATAATAAATAAAAAAAAGGAGAAATAAATTAAAAACACTAAAAATTGGGATAAAATGTTCCGTTTATCAATACCCCAGATGAAGAATATGTTTGGACATCTTTACAAATTAGGTTATGTTTGTCACAAATATTTTAGGAATTAGACCATGCTTATTCTCGTCTGTATTTAGAAGCTGATCAGTGAATAGAAACATTTGGAAGTTTTTATAGAGAGTTATTGAAGATCAGGAGACAACATACATTCCACACTGAAATATACTGAAGGAGAAGATGACATATATAGGTCAAAACATCATTACAAAAATGGTGTCCCAAAACTAAGAACATAGGAAGGCAGGTCAGAATCTAAGTGAAAACTTCTGCTCAAACATAGGTATATATGCCATAGGTTGGCATGTGCGGTCAGAATTATCCTGGATTGTCTTGGAGTGCCATTAGTTCAGCTCTGAACGTTGGTCTCATAGCTGAACTAGAGTGCCATGAAACCTGCCGTGATCCATGCCGTCTTCCCCTTCGGGGATTTCAATATAGAAAGCACGACGGCCGTCTAAACAAGGACACTGCCAGATATTAAATGCCTCTCCAGAATGTGGATAATAGAGGTATCAAATTTATATCAAGTTTAGATCTTAGTAACCGTGGTCTGATCATTGCCAAATTCTGCACGACTTATGACTTTCCCTTCGGCTATCCAGCGAGCGTGAAAATATGATTATTTTTTTTACCAAAATACATAATTTGACAGGCATGTTCAAATAACGAAACATATAGTTGTAATGGTGATGATCAGTGGTTATTGTTAAATAATCGGTGGTCATTGGTGAAAAAAAGTGCTGCTTTGGTTAGATTGTGCTGATATAAAAGCTTGCCATGCCAGCCCATACATTTATACAATTCCCTGCTACTAACTACAGAATACAAATGAGAATAATCCTTGTCTTATTCTGCAAAATTATGCACCAGTTACGCCCCTTCCCTATGATAATCGCGAACGTTGGATCTTATCACAAACATTATGATTTTTAACCAAAATAACATATTTAGCACGAGAAACACTCAAATAACAATATATTGTACTAATGTTGATAATCGATGGTGTGCATGGTCCCACTGAGGTCACAATTTTTATCATATTAAAAAAAAACGTTTGAATATATCACTGTTACACAATGTCAGTTGAGTTCGAATTTCGTGAAAATCGGACCGAAACTGTCGGATAAAATGGTCGCTCCATGTATGTTTATAACCCAAATATCTTGGTTACTTTCGATATTCGGGCATATCAGACTATAACTTCCTGGATTATGGCCCCTGATTGTATGAAAAATCGTGTTTTTTAGCTTGTGGATTCTTTTGAGGTCACAATTTTTATCGAATTTTAAAAAAACGTTTAAATATATCAACATTCCACCATAATGAAGGTTGAATAAGAATTTCGGGAAAATCGAAAGGAAACATTCCGATAAAGTGGCCGCTCTTTGTGGAAACGTATGTACTAAGAAGGTTGTGGACCCCTAGAAGTCACAATGTTTATCCGATCTTGATAAACTTAAAATATATCTTTATATTCAAAGATCTCAGTCCCTTTCGATATTTGGCATTTCAGACTATAACTTTCTTGATTATGGCCCCTGATTGTACGAAAAATCTCCTTTGTTTTTAGGTTGTTCTAGCTCTATTCATCTCTTGCAAAATGTGGGCATATCTTGCCTGACAACCGCTGGTTTGAGTGGGTTATTTTTTCCCGGGAGCTGAAATCTTTGGGGGGGGGGGGGGGGTCCATTCTTTTTTAATAAATGTGTACATAGGTTATGGGCAAATTAAAGAAGTCTTGTGAGAGTTTTTTTGGTGGTCTATTTTTAGATCGTTAAATTTCAGGGAATTATCAACTGTGGTATCCCAAAAACCTAAATCACATTATTTGTTGCTTCTGTCAGTCCAAAATTAAGTTGCCATCCCATCACAATGTGAAGAAGAGAGTTGATATGGACATATGAAGATAAATGGGTCAGTTGAATAGACTTTTATTTTTCATTTTCAACAGTTTAAAAGTGGACAGACATGTGGTGTCACCATTATACTTGAGCAAATCAAAAAAAGAAAATTGCCAAGCAAACACTGCATTACTTAAAAGTATTTGGATCTCTATATTTAGTTGTGCAGATAAGACACTGGCTTTAACTATTTGTATGGGTCAAAAGTCATACTATTTTGATTAACTTTGGATCTAATCTGTTGGGAGCGGGAGCTAAGATTCATGAAAATCCATAAATTTGCAAATAAAAATAAAAGCTGGTAATTTCTATAATACAGTTAGTTTTCTGTCCAATCCAAACAACTAGACACTATTCCCTGCCAGGCTGTCTGACCTACAACACAAAGATCGAACCCTGGACTTCCTGATTAGTAAGCCAGTACCTTAACAAGTGATCCACTGTGGCTCTTTGTTTTACATAGGACAATCACAACATGATTCATAGTTAACTATTTTTATTTCTATAGAAGCCTGGAATAGAATTTTAATATGACAATGGTAGATTTTACAAACACTAATGTTTGGTATACTGATAAAATTTACATCAATACCGGTATATTTAAATTATTCTGATCTCATACTTTTAATTTTAACACAATATTTCAGAATTTAGCTCATGTTATTACACAATCAAATATTAGATAATTTTATGACCTGGTAAATATTTAAAAATTCAATAAATATAGAAATAAAAATCTTAATATATATGTTTTTATTTGGATGAGGACTAAAATATCCTTCATTTTGAATACAGATTTATCTTCATGTGCAATTTGTATGCAATATTAATATAAAGAAATAAATAGATTCCTACACCAAAGTCAAATTATGCAGAATTAACTAAGATCAGAAGAAATAATAGCTACACCACGTTCATAGAAACCATGGTCTTTACTAGTAGCATCAGGCTTAAAATCTAATGTAAACAGTAGCTGAGCTCTAGTAGCATTCAAATACACAGGTAGAGTTACCATTCCTTGGTTAGTTTCTGTACCATCAGTTCTGAAAAATTAAAATGTAATAATAATTATTGTTGCTCCTTCCAACTTAATTTCCACAAAAATAAAACTATTAGTATTACTAAATTCTTGTTAATCATTTATCCAAAATACAACACTTACATTCACATGTCATACACAAAGTCTGCACTTTTCAATAAACTAGATCTATACATAATTCCAATTTTAATACAATTACATACATTGTAATAATTATGTACAGGATCTAAACATACACTTGATTATTGCCCCACAATAGCAGTGTTAATCACTGGATCCCATCATCAATATATTTAAATAGTGAATGTTTTACCTGATCCACTTGAGTAATGTAAGTGGTAATTCAGTAGATATAGTAGCTGATAGTTGTAGTTTATTCTCTTTACATACAGCCCCTTGTAACATCAAACCTAAAATATATAATTTAATATAGTTAGGTCAAGGCAATATATTTCTCAAATCTATCATCTACTGCTCTATAAGCTATCCGTTTTGCAAAATTCTAGCCCTCCCTAGTCAGAGCCACATTTTTTTAGTGGGCACCTGGTAAACTTGTCAGGTAATAACAGAGAAACACAAAATTTCAAATGACCTTTGAAGAGTAGAATAATCCTTTATTCTCAACAAGTTAAAATCGAAAGAACTATTGTAATGCACATGAAAATATAAAATATTTAACCACAGAAACTTAAGGGCTTATAAAATTTATCTAAAATATATGTTGTTAACTTTCTTTTCTCACAATAAATAACTGTCTTACCAGTAACACCAAAACTACAAGCATCCAATATTTCCTCTTTTTTGGCCAAGACCCGCACCTATAAAAAGAATATTAAATTAATATATTTCTCAAACAGATTTATCTATATAAGGATCAACTTTTTTGCTGAACATAGAATTTATTTAATATAAATGGCCAGCATTTTTTTTTCTGTAACAGCACAGCTTAACTGCAATCTAATTAAAATACGAATCTATATTTTGTTTTTTTATACTTTGTACTCGAAAGTCGTGTCGGGTCGAACGAGCAGCTTTTGATCCTATGCCGTCAAGCATTGATTAATCAGCGTTTGCGTTTCTAGTGGTTTACCAAGTTCCTTGCATGGCATGCCTCAAAGTCGCCGTAACAGACTGTTTCATTGGCTTATCCCTCACTTCAACCAAAATGCCGGTAATGTAACAACTCTTCCCAATCCTAGTGTAGTAAAGACAAGTACAAAGAAATTTTGAACTATAAAAAACGAAACGAAACGAAATAGGATCTGTGTTTTAATCAGATTGGCTAAATTGTGAAAGCGTATTTAAGAGTTTACTCATAAACTAAGGGAATGGGTCTAAATGCATGATAAATCTTGGCTTTCAATACTTACATCAAGATGAAGTTCTTCTAATGACCATCCATTAGCTTGTGCTACATATTGTCTTGTAGCTGTTATGTAGGCTTCAGGTATGAACAATCCACCTAACCATACGTTGATATTCTACAAAATATAAACAGTAATAATATTCTTAGTGCCATGTACCAAATTGTCAATTGTTTCCAAAGATTTTAGCCAAGAATAGTCCAGAAAAAATGAATGTTAATTCAATTCAGTCTCACCCAAACAGACACACTAATTTTAACTCTGGCAGTTAACAAGGCAGAGTGATGATTGGTTCAAGATTGATGTATATTACCTTTAGTTCCTTGGCACCACCAGATTGTGTAGCCTGTACTATAACTTGTAATTGTTTTATTCTTTCACTGAAATCAGTTATCCACTGTATAACAGTTAAACCTGCTGGTACTGTATATCTTCTCCATGTTGTTGGTATAATACCTATAATAATTATAACACAGTAACTATAAGACTACAGCTTTATGAATAATGCAATATATATATATATCTTAATATAAGAGTACTGTTAAACAGGAAATGAATGGATGGTACAAGACTGAATAATGCAGTATAAATATTAATATAGAATACTGTAAAATGCTTAAAATTATATCACATATCCCCAATTACATTTCTTTCAAAATTTGTTCTCATAATATTAAGTGGTATTGTCGTACACAACACCATTCACAACAATACAGGAATTAACAGTGATCAATTAGATGATGGGATAATAATAGAACAATTGTCATTATGTCATTTTCTTGTAAATTGTGTTTTACTTATATTATCAAATTACAAGCAGCAACATGGTAGATGGCATTAATCTGTTGTCTTTGAAGTATCTTTTTTTTTGTGAACAGGAATAAATTGAATAAATGTATGAACAAACCTTTAACAAGATCGGCCATCATGGTTCTATGATGATTGGTAGCTTTCTTTTCTCCTTGACAAACTTTAGTTACATCATTTAAATCAAGACGGACATCGTGTAATAATTTCGCTCCAGCATTGACTTCACGTTCAAAGAATCGAAACAATGGATCCTTGATGTTCTCAACAGTTCTCTTCATGGCACCTAGAGCCTGAAATACAGAGAACTCTTAGTTATTTCCCATTTTCAGATTTTAACATAATTTTCTCGAACTAATAATGATAATATTTTATTTATATTGTGCAATATCCATGCATAGATTATTAATGACAGATTGATAAATAAACATGAAACTAAACCATAAATAAACTAACAAGAACGTTGAATTACAAAATTATATTTCACAAAATATATCAACTGATTGTTTACGTGAAAATCTAAATATACAGAATTCTTTTTTCTAATCTAATATTTTGTGCAAAGGAAAGCTCTATGAAATTAATTCCTAGAAATTTGTATTGTTCAAATTCTCTGTGCAATGGGATTACATGTGCACGATGATAAAACTTGGTGCTGTTTGGGAAAGGACTGGATACTTCATGGAAATGTGAAGGTTTTGTCAGGTACAGTTTTCATGGAAAGGAAGAATAGTTTTGTCAACACAATACATGGTCATTTTTATTTCTTGGGTTTTTGTGTGCTATGCAAAGGGGTTAATTTTCCAAATCTCTTGTATTTCCCGGCTCTCTTTCAAAGTTCATGTGCAATATCGATTTGTACTGGGAGACCTCCAGGATTTCTGGCTTCGATCAAATGTCTACACATTTTTCTTGTCTGCTCGTTTACACTACTCGTGAAAACTAGGCTCTTTAAGCGGCATTTAAAAACCTGAATGTTCTTGCGGTGAGTCTAGTCTACTAGCAAATAACCACTGTTTAGGACTAAAGCATTTGATAATATTCTTTTCCTCTACATATTACAGCCTTTAAATGAAGTCTATTGACTTCACACAAGATAAATAATTTCTAATTTAAAATGTGCAAACAATTATACAATTACCGGTAATGAACTAACCTACAATGAAATAGTAAACAAAAACAAAATCCCATCAAATTCAAATAAAGACAGAAACAAAAACATCTAAATCAAACAGATTTAGATTATTTTTTTTTGAAAACTAAAGCAATTCAATGACAAAAAAAAATCTACTACAAACATGAAATAAGATATTTAAAGAATTTTAGAAATTCAGACAGAAAAAGTAAACTACAGTATAAAATCATTTTATTCAATATAAATAAAAATTGACAGATTTCCGGCACCATTTGTCTAATTGAAGAATTTTATAAAAAGTAAGCCTTTTCTCCAGAATCTCACCTCTTCAGCAGATTCCTGTTGTTTGTAGGGTCAAGGTATAATATTAGTTTAATTGAAGGATATTTAAACGTTAAGAGTTAAATGACTGCCAAAACAAGTAATGAAATTGATTTTTGCGAATATACAATGTCATATTCCCCCTCCAAATGATTATTTCATGGTTTTCCAATAATAACAGTAAAACATCCAAGCACTGGGGTTTCACTGTAATGTTGTTGTTGGGATCGACTGACATAATCCACGTTACAGTGAGTCCCCTGTATATCATCAATACACTGAAGTGAAATGAAATGGGGTTTAAAGTCCTACTGTTCTGCTCCGAACTGGGTTAATGAAGATGGGCATACGCCATACAGTGTGCTATGAGGGAAATTTGGCCCAGACAGCAGCACAACGGCCTACTCTTATTTCGAATTCCAACTGTAAAGGGATCTTTTACGTGCACGCCAATGTGTCTACAGGACCTCGGTTTATCGCACCATCCGAACGACTAGACAGCTGTCCTTGTCAGGCCCTCCGTCCTGCATCACTGACAAATACACTGAAGGGCTTCCCCATCACGCTGTTGGCATATACCAATGCCCACCTTATATTGTAATCCATCATTTTGAGGTGCCAGTGTATTTGTCTAGTTTACAATGCAAATCCTTCTAAATAATCAAACAAATACAATAAGCAATACCTCATCAACTGTGACAAAATCATTAGTCAATATCTTTAACAAGGCTATAGGTATATAATTTCAGTCTTATAATTTTAGTATATATATTAATGTATTAGTCAAAAATGTTAGATGAATAGATTATGTAAATTCATAAACTTACAGGTGGAACAAGTTTAAGCCATGTTGCAACTGATGTATGAACTGTTCTCATCCATGCTGGTCGACCGTCTGCCATACGTTTCTGTTGATCATCAGATGGATCATATGAAGAATCTTCTTCCTCTAATATTTCCATCTTCATTAATTTGGCTATTAAATCACTTCCTAAAATCATATAGATATACCAATTTAATAACACTAAATTAAGAGAGCACAAACTAAGTCACTTCGGGACCAACAAATGGTTCAATTTTATTTCAATAATCCAATTATGTGTTGGGGTCTTTAGCAGTGGTAGAAAACCTGAAGGCACAAAGATAAGTTGCCAGGCAACGAAACATACACCCACAGCAGCTAAATCGTTTGGACAGTCAACAAGAGTTGTCGCATATTCAGACTGATGGTGCTTCATCGTCATCCAAACATTTACAAATTAGCATAGTGAAATGTTCAATTTGTGTTGTTTTTTTTAAAACAGGACCTAAGCTGAAAAATAAAATCCTTGCTAGTAAATATATTACCTAATGTTGTCAGTAAAACTTTTTCAGCATTATTTGGTAGACCTAACCATGATGGTGTCTGTCTATCCTCCATCTTGTCTACAAAACTTACAAACTGTTCACGTCTGTAAATACAGAAACACATTTTAAAATACAAAAATATTATAACATGTACCAAGTTTTTGGTGACATTTTGCTGGTTATCAAGTCTATCAGGAGTCAGAATTCACACAGCACTGGTAATTTGTGGCCATTATTCAAAAACTATTCAATCATTCGATTCAATTCAAATGGTCAATTTGATTTTTCTTGAATTTGTAAATCTTTCAAAACAATATTGGTTTACTTTTCAATATCAGGTACTTTTTTAAATATTATTTATATCATGTATTTTTAATATTATTTATATTATTTTTTTGTAATATTAGTTATTGATGTTTTAATATTATTATCTAAATATTATTAATTATTTGATTAAATAAATATATTAATATTTCCTATAGGAGGAATAAAATTCCAATATTTTTAATTTACATCGAATGATAGATATCAAATTATCTTTTTTGAACAGTCGTGGAAAAACTATTCAAATTTTAAAATTTCAATCTTACCTTACTCCATCAGGCATAGTGATATTTTTGCCAGCTTGTCCATCAATATTAGCAACTAATACAAACTCTCCTTCAAAACTTTTCGGTGTAAACAACTTGTTGACAAATGTACTCAATAAACGCTAAAAAAAATTATCAGTTCAATTCCAAGATTAAATTTCTCAAATTATGAAAATAGAAAAGAATAAGCCTACTCATAATAATAGAAAAAGAGAGAAATAGGGTTTAACATCCACTTGCACAAACTAGGTCATCTTGGGACAAACACATGGTACAATTCTATTTCAATAATTCGCTTGTCACGTACAACCAGGGAATCGAAACTCTGCCAGTTGACTCAATGACAGACCTTATTATACAGCGTGCACATGCTAACCATTCGGCCATCCCCCCCCCCCCCCAAAAAAAATTTAATAATAAATTTGACGATTATAAATGAATTAATAACCACCAGATCAAGTTAGTTTCAGAATTATCACTGGAGGAAAAGTCACTATTGTAATCTTACCTGGTCAAATTCATTATCAATTTTACCCCCATAGATACACTGTGATAATAAAGTTCTTATGGCATCCCATGGCACTTTCTCTGGTGGTAAATTGGTACGGCTCTGAAATAGTTGAAATAATATTTAATAGTAACACGGACTCGTAACATTCAAAGCAAACAGCTGAATTACATTTAAAAAGTTGCAACAGAATGAATTTATCAACTGTGTTCGAAAAATAACAATTTTTTTTAGATATCAATACAAACTAAAATATAATATCAAAGTTATAATACTGTGTATATTTTAAAAACTCAGTTTTTATCTTGGCACAATTTTCCAATATAGAATAGAATACTCAAAAAATAACCATAATTGAAACAAAAATCCAGTCACCTCAAGCTCTGTAGCAAGAGCTAAAAAAATCTAAAGCTTTTCACAAATCAAAATATACAAAAAACAAGAATGGCTTTAAGTGGATTGATGTAGAAAAATTAGTGTAGTAGCCTATCTCCTGTGACCAACAGAGTGATTAGTTAAAAGCTAATTGTGCATCTACTGCTACACATATTTCAATAATAACCAAGATACTGTGGCTTTCCTAAAGACAACTGGAAACTCTTACTGGGGATGATAGCTCCCCCCCCCCCCCCAACAAACTGTGCAAAAGCCACGAAAAGCACTAGGGATATTCATCTCCAGCGATAATATTCTGTTATTTTGGAGAAAATCTGTGAAAGATCATGGCTACACATAAATTTCATTTAGAACTTTTGAGTTCTGCAGTCATTAAATTCTCCAAGTTCACTTTAAGGGAAAATTTACTACCACTTTAATATATTATTATGCAATAAATTCCTGATAAAACCATCATTGATTTTAGATTCCATAATCCATTGATTTTCTGACTGTGATAAGAATGGGTTTCAGAAATTGGGGGGGGGGGGGGGAAAGAAAATAAGAAAAATTAAGCATTCAGGTTAAAATAAAATAAATATAAAGTTCTTGTCTCTTCAATCTGTTAATAGGCAATATTATCAAAAAATTATAATCCCGTGTGAAAAAAAATTGCAAAATAAATTGCCAAAAAATAAATAAATAAATACAATAAAGCCGCCATGCGAACTTGATCATTTTGATTTTAGCTATCTTTACATCAATAATAGCATGCGAATAAAACATTGAAAGAGAAGGGATCTCAAAAACTGGATTAATTTGGAAATAGTTCTTTTTCCCAAACCCAGAACATTAATTCCTGCAACCAAGAACACAATGCAGAGGGTTGATAGCTGGTAACGATTTACTCAACTGTATTTTCAGAAGTCTGCAAATTAATATTAATACGCAAAATTACAGCACATTTAAACAACAGACTATTCTTTTCTAGTAACTACCAGTATGTTGAAAACTTAGGGAGAGAAATGGACCATTATTATATTGGGAAGCACATGCTACTCCATGCGTCATTGTATAATCAATTTCTGGATGCACTTAAAGTCATGCAAAACTGAAAATATTGTTCAACTTATATCTTATAATACATAAATGAAAGCATTTTAATAATTAACAAAATTCTGAAATATGTAACAGTATATATTAGTAAAAGGTTCATCAATTTCTATATTCTAACAATAGTTAGATAACCATGATGGCTAGTCGGCTACTAGAATCAACATCTAAATACTTTTTAACACCACATTAAATTAAAGATTTGTTGACCATTAATTTCAATACACAAAATGAACTAATTTACTAAAACCATCTTGCAATATTGAAAGACTAAGCAGTATTGATGGATCTTTAATGCATTCTACTAGTGAAGATAGAGCTTAACAAGAGCACCTTGAATTTTTCTAAAAGTTGATCCAAGTAGACATTACCATTATCTAGTTTTGTTTACATTTAGCTTTTGTTAGAATATAGAAATAAAATGAACAATGTTCACAACCAGTTTACTTCAAATATTTATCACTGATTTGTAAAAACTATTAAAAAAACAAAAATAGTTACCATGGCAACAGAATCAATCCATGTGTCTAACATATCACATGCTACACGTAAATCTGACTCAGTAAATTCATATTTCTTCGCCCAACCAAGTGGCATGTATCGCATTCTTTCTTGTACAATAGCATGGAACCAGGCCAATAGGAAATATAATCGGGATCTCTCATTTGGTGCCTGTCAATACAGAAATCATGACATCAAATGTAGTACAAATAAAATCAAAACATCGGCAGGATACTCTGTCTACATTCTCTGTTTATTAAAGATTTTAAAATCTGACAGGTGATGTTGCAACATTTATATGAAACTGCCATTTTGCACATTATGTTTTTCTCCCGGTTTTACAGTATTCCTATCTTGTCTATTAAAGGACAAAATGAAAATGAAATGAAATGGGGTTTAACATCCTACTGTTTTGCTCCGAACTGGGCTAATGAAGACGGGCATACGCCATACAGTGTGCTATGAGGGAAATTTTGCCCGGACAGCGGCACTACGGCCTACTCTTATATCGAATTCCAACTGTCAAGGGATCTTTTACATGCACGCCAATGTGTACACGGGACCTCGGTTTTTCGTCCCATCCGAACGACTAGACAGCTGTCCTTGTCAGCCCCTCCGTCCTGCATCACTGACAAGGGAGAACCACGCCGGAAAATCTGGATGAACTTTCTCGGCCAATGCAGGGAACACCCGACCTCCAGGCTAGCGAGCCAGCGCCTTACCCACTTAGCCACCGTGGCTCCCCTATTAAAGGACAAAGAGTGAAGTAAATTATTACTTTTTGTTACTTACCTTACACATTCTAGCAGCTGGTACAGTACTAAATGTACGTGTTAAATTAGCTGCCACACCTGGTGGTGGTTCAAATACAAATACTCTACCAGCTCTCAATAAATTAGTTGGTAACTGTAACATAAATTATTACCCTTAATCCATGTTTTTAAACAGTATGTGCAGGAAAACCACACTACACACAAAACAAAACCGACAATACAAACCTACGGACAAGATGAAACTACATAGACACAGCTAGAAATAAAGCTTATGAAGGCCTTTCTAAAAAATTAGATAATATTTATAAGCATCATGTCTTCAACATAATTTGAAGCCGATTGACTTGAATTAATATATGTTTCAACATGGATCATTATCCTGAATCTGCTTATAAACTATCATGTTGCATTAAATTGTCTGGATTTGTCGCTTTAGAATTTTGATGCATTTTTTGGACTATAATGTTTATAAATTGAAAGTCTTCAGTTCAAAAAATATCTTATGTGTTGAAAGAGTTACTTAATACATTTTTCAAGTTTCAATGGTAAAATTTTTGTTGCTTACCTTTGGATTAATTTCCATGGTAAGGAAAAGTCGGAAGCTGGGATGGGGAGTTAAATTATGTAGTTTTTTCTCTAGTTGTACCAGCCATTGAGGGGCAAGATGTACATTCTTTAATACAACCCATCTACCAGATTTACTGGATGAATTGATCACTTTATCAGCTAATGTAAACCCTTCAGCAGATCCTATATACAACATAGTTCATATTATAATACAATACACATTGGTCTAGACTTCAGCCCTTTATTGTAATGAAATGAGAGTTCAAACGTCCTACTTTTCTGCACCAACCAGAATGTTACGAGGGAAATTTTGACCAGGTTGTGCTGCTATTGTCTACTCTACATCAAGTTCCAACTGTTAACGGTTCTTTTATGTGTATGCCAAAGTGTACTCAGGACCTCGGTTTTGCGTCCTATTTGAACGACCAGACGGAGTACTTTGGCACTCCCTCGTTCCTGCACCAATGACAGGGGAAAGCCACGCCACTTGCTCTTGCCTTTTGTACTAATGCATCAATTAATAAATGTCGTTATTGAAGAGTACAGTCAGAATATAGATATTTAGACACATGTTCTAACCAATGCTATGCACAATAATATCATGCCTTTTTTGCTAAATTGAAGATTTTAGTTGTTGAAATAACCATACTTTGATACGGCAGGAGAATTTTTAAACTTTATTGCATTTTATGACAGAAATAACCAGCGGCTGCCAGGCAGGATACGCCCACATTTTTGAGAGATGGATAGAGAACAAGCTAACAAGAAAGTGATTTTTCCTACTATCAAGGGCCATAATTCAGGAAATTACAATTCAAGATGCGCGAATATCGAAAGGAACTGAGATCTTTGTGTTATAAACTTACATTTCAAGTTTCAACAAAATCGGATAAAAATTGTGACGTCTATAGGGTCCACAACCTTGATATACCGTATTTTTACGCTATTTGAGAACAACGGTGGCCTATTTGTCTGTCAATTTTAGGTTGATTTTCACGAAATTCGAATTTTTCGTACAATCAGGGGCCATAATTCAGGAAGTTACAGTCCGATATGCACGAATATGGAAAGGAACCGAGATCTTTGGGTTATAAACTTACATTTCAAGTTTCAACAAAATCGGATAAAAATTGTGACCTCTATAGTGTCCACAACCTTGATATACCATATTTTTACGCTATTTGAGAACGAACGGCGGCCATTTTGTCTGTCAGTTTTGGGCCGATTTTCACGAAATTCCAACTCAGCCATCCTTAGGGTGTAACGGTGATATAATAATACGTTTTTTTAAATCGGATAAAAATTATGACCTCTATAGGGTCCACAAGCTAAAAACGCGATTTTTCGTACAATCAGGGGCCATAATTCAGGAAGTTACGGTCCGATATGCGCGAATATCGAAAGGAACCAAGATCTTTGGATTATCAACTTAGATTTCAAGTTTCAACAAAATCGGATAAAAATTGTGACCTCTATAGGGTCCACAAGCTAAAAACGTGATTTTTCGTACAAACAGGGGCCATAATCCATGAAGTTTCGATCCAATACATGCCAAAATCAAAAGGAACCGAGATCTTTTGGAGATAAATCTATATTTCAAGTTTCGTCAAAATCAAATAAGAATTGTGACCCGTAGAGTGTCCACAAACAAATTGTGGACGGACGGACAGGGGCGACGACAGTATACGTCCACATGAAAATGTGGGCGTATAAAAATAGTACTAAAGCTACCTATAGCAATAGGAGTTATCTGTTTATTCAACTCAGCAGCCAAATCATCAACTCTACCACTAGCATCATAACCAGTTACAGAACACATTAATACTGGAGTATTCGCTTTAATCTATAATAACAATCATTCTAGATGTAAAATTGTTGACAGATATAATATGGCAGTTGTTTTCGTCTCTAAAGTTATGTGTTTGTTTGTTAAATGAAATCGATAAAAAATATATAAGCATAATAAAATAAATAAATTTCTCACAACTGTCTTATTTTTAAAAAAAAAAAAAAATAAATCACCCTCAAAATAAGGACAGACAAAATTAATGCTAACAAAAACCTAGTACCTCATTCTCAACAATATCACCCATATTTAGTTCTTTTTCAGCTGCATGTAAAAATTCACCACCCAATGTTTTCTCTACAAACAGTCTAGCCATAGCTATCAGACGATCTGGTCTAAACACTTGAATAACCAGTAACCCATTTACAGATTTACCAATTTCGGCTGGAAAAAAAAACCCAAACAAATCAATTAATATGTTTGACAGAAGGACAGACAAGAAAATTATGTTGTCATTACAAGCATTGAGTAGACTTTTTTCCCATGAGAAATGAAACAAAATTTCTTTTTTCTTCAGTAACATTACAGTTTTAACTATCTGTTACCACCAAGTGTTTAACAAAATATAATACTGATTAATCAAGATCGAGAAAAAAAATTGACATTTTCTTCTTACTCAGTGGTTTTGGTTCTACCCACAATTGTGGTATATTCTGTTCAGGATTGGCACTCTTTAACCATTCTTGTAGTTCAGCCTATAATATTAAAATGGATGATACAAGTTGAATTAATCATTAATAAACTTTAGATAATATACAAGTTTAAACTAGAGAAAAAAAAAGTTTCTATACTCTGTATTGCTTGTTCCACTTGGATGTCGTTATTATGAATAATTACACCAAATGGTTTGCTTGAGCTGAACAAGTAGATTTCTTTTGAAAATAATGTACTAAATGTAGTATCTCATCAATAGAAATACATGGAACCATTGTATGTTGGTTTACCATTCTTGACAAATCAAATTTCATACCACTGTTTAGCCCAAGTTCAGAATGTTCATTATCAACTCCGATCAAGACATTGAACATCTACACCAAATTTAAGCATTCTTTCTCAATTAGAAACAAAATTATTGTTCTATAAAAGGTCTCCAAAAAGGCAAGGGACGATACTTACTGATGAGTTTTTTACTTCAGAAGGCAAGTTTTTAAATGCTGGCAATTTACTGAGACGTACTACACCAGCTTGCTGTAAACAAATAAATAAATGTGAACATATACGTTTTCACCTTAATTGTAATGGCACAGATGTGCAAAGCAGTGTATGTCTACTCTTTCCTGTTACCTGTTACTAGTTGTCTCATGTTACTAACAACTTTGTTTTTACATTGACATTTGTCATCATCATTTTAAAACAAAATAATACAGCCCATCTATAAAACAAATGCTTAGTGGTGCTTTACAATGTATGAATAAAACCATGAAAGAGACTAATTAAAAACAAGAACTGAAATATTAATCAAAATAATTCAATTTTTTTAATTTGAACAGTCTTGCATATTTTTTGACAGATTAATGTTTATATAACAAATATGAAATAAAAAGAATGCAGTTGAGCAATATTTGAAACAAATATCTGAGAGAAATGAAATGGGGTTTAACGTCCTACTCTTCTGCTCTGACTGGGCGAATGAAGACAGTATCTAAGATAAATATCCTATTGTTTGAAAGGCTATAATTATCAAGTGTGATTGAAAACTTACCTGTTGTTGAGTTAGACCAGCAGTAACACCAGTTGGTTTATCTGTTAATAAACCTTCTTGACTTCTCAGGAAATAAGCAAACTCTGTTGTATATGGTGTCTCACTATTCAAATGAAACAAATAATTCAATCAATATTATTTCAAACACCTTTTATATTTAGAAATTGCAAAAATAAAAACCAAGACATCAGGCTATTAGCAATCACATAAATATTCAAATTCAATAGCTTTTCAGGGCTTTTTGAAGTGATTTTTTTTTGTATTTGTTATTCAATGTTAATTCAAAATAATAGAATTGGATCTGGATTTTTTTTTGTCTTTTATGAAATATTTGTTTCTATTAATTCAGTGGCAAGCAACTAATGTTCCAAAACAAACAGATAATGGGGCAATATTCTGATCTGAAAGATACTTTCTTGAGATATGCATTACTACTGCTCAGTTTTTCGGAACCATCATAAATGCTGGACACGTATTAAATGGTTTCCAAGGCCTATTCTCTACTGAAATCTGGTACCAATTAAATGGATAACATTGCTCAACCTTCTTACCTGGTGGTACTCTGTAGATGTATACGACAGAGTTGTATAGCAAATGTTATTCTGTCATTAAACAGCATTCCTCGTCCTACACGACTGTATGTTTCCTAAAATAAATCAATACAAAATATCAAACACTCATTCTTTATATCTAATTCTAACGTCTTTCTATCCTGTTAATTAAATTTCTGCTTTATATAGTTAAGTGTGAGTAGAAATTTTCTCTACAAATCTATTGATGCAATTTTATATTTCCGAAGTCTTGCAACTATATGAATTTCATGAAGACAGATATTATGCTTAAATGTTACATATTTTATAGTTGAATATTCTTTGGGGTTTTTTCTTCATTTTAATCTTCATCTAATTATGTTGTCTATGATGTACTCTTCAACTGTTTATTTGTTTTTTGTATCAAATCTAGTCCTTTGATCAACATTTAATAAAATATATACCTTGAATAAATCTGTAGTTATAATAGATAACCTGGAGGCATATTCTTTAACATTGTTTAACTGTGGATTACTAGACAGTACTGCGTGGAATATCTCAAAGAACAGTTGTAGTGAATACTGGTATAGGAAATGAACCTGTAATAAAAGAAATAGATTTTATTTAAATTAAAGACTATTACACCCATCGCAGATATCTCAAAGCCACTTTACAAAATATGTTTCGTGGAATAAAAGTAATGCCAGATCACTAGTGCCATTTGGCCCATTATCATTGCCAATGTATCAATGATTATCAGACTAATTGTTGTAAACCGAACGAAAATAAATCCAGCCTCTGGACTCACCAAAATATGTTGTTTTCCTTGATGAAGAGTGATCAACAAATGTAGCAAAAAGTGAATCATATATGACTGCGATAAGAAAAGATCTTTTTCAGCAAATATAAACACAATTGTTAACTTCAGACATGACAGTTTTCAATGAATGGTTGTATAGTAAAATAAATGTTACCTGTTGTAAACCAGATAATGTAAAGTATATAGAACTACAGGATTGAGCTAATGGTACATATTGTTGTGATGTTGTTTCAACTTCAGCCATAACTACATCAGTTTCTTCTACTTTACGTGCTACTTCAGCTGCTTCTGTCTTTAATGTTTCTAGATGACTCAGAATACTGTAATAACACCAATACAACTTCTTTAAACAGAGTTTAATGCATTATCATGGGACAAAAAAAGATAACATACCTTTATGTTATTAGTCCAAATGTTTTCTCTATGGCAGAGAATACTAAGAAATCCAAGTAGACCAGAAAGGTGATCCCTTTCTTTTCCTTACATACCATTACAGCATTGGAATTGTTGGTAATGTAAATGTATGAATGTATGATGAGGTTCAGTCACTGAGTGGTTTTTAACCATTTAAGCTCTGTGGCCGAAGTCTTGGCGTAACAAAGTAACACAGATGACCGACATGTGATTCGCAACACAACAATTTCAACATTTAGTCACTGTCAACCCCGTTTAATTATTTCAATGTATACATGTTATAAGTAAATGATAATTTTAAATAAGATAATAATACTAACCTGTCATCATCTAAGATTTTACCCTTTACATCATTCAAAGCTTGTAATAGAGATTTCTCCAATTGTCTCAAACGAAGTTGGAATTCACCTAAAAATCAGAACATTGTACAATTACTGAAATTTCCACAGCAGGAGTGAAATGTATTGACTAACAATAATACATAGAACAGAGTATGTTTTCACTTGACTCATCGGATGTTTGTCAATATAATGACTCTTTCTCAAACAATTATACTATTGTTTATGTATGGCAATTCTATACTTTAATAAACCTATTCATTTAAATGCCAAGAAAATACAGTGTTAAAAATTATCAGGTCAGCAGCATATTTATAATAAGCCCATAATTTATTCGTTAACATACCCTGTAATTTCAGTAAATCCGATCTCTTTTCATCGACATCGGGTCTCTCTGCCTTCAATACCTGCAATTACAAAATAGATTTTTAACTTAGTGTATAAAATGATTTAAAGGTGTACCAAGAAATGATTTGGGACACTTCAAATTTAATTCTAAATGACAAATAATTTTCTGTATAAATGTTGAAAACGTAATGATTTATTTACCTGATTGAGACACTGACTCTGTAAACTACTTCTTGTTACGGTAAAGTTAACAAATGTTACACGGGAACAAATATCTGGTGGAAATTCAACCTACATTTAGAAATAAATATTTAAACTACAATTCTAAACAAATATCTGGTTGAAATTCAACCTATAATCATAAACAAATATCAGGTGGAAATTTAGCCTATACTTGTAATCAAACATTAGGCGGAAATTTAACCTATAATTATTAACAAATATAAAATGGAAATTCAAACAATAATTATTAACAAATATTTGGTGGAAATTCAACTTATAATTATTAGCAAATAATCCAATCTTAATTTCACATCATCATATACATTACAGGATAAATACCTAAATGACTGTGGCCAGTGAGTTTTCTAAGATTCTAAGACTCAACATTATAATGGTAAAAACATTAACACTTTAAGAATCTTTAAATATAATTTTATAAGAATCAGAAATAACAGGTAATAAACCATTATTATAGTCATACTCACATTAGGATCTCTAGTTGATAAGAAGATGGTAAATGAAGGTGATAAATCAATATCTTGATCACCTAATGTTATTAAAACTCGACCACCAGTTCTACGTAATTCACGATTTAATACAGGATTTAATATCGGATCATAACTCTCCACATCCTATAACAACATATATAACATGATTTTAGACAATGGTCATAATGGTTTAAGCCAATCAAACATGACTTAAGCAGACTTCAAAGAGAACGCAAAACTTAAAAGAAAGTAATTATATATGTTTCTGCAGTGTAGACAAATAATAAGATTGTCCGCCAGATCAAAGTTTATCTAATCTTAATTAGATTAAGTAATACCATACCTGAACCAAAAGTGGATTACCAAATCTCAAAGCACTCTCTAAATTTTTACGGAAAGCATCGTCAAGGAAACTGAAATTAAAAATATCCGGTACTTTATCAAATCTCTTTGGTATGAAAATGATTTGAAAGAACTTAATTTTGGCATTGCTTATTTAAAACCCCAATATTCCACACAAAAGGAAAAAGACTTTCGGACCATACACAATAAAAAGCAGTTTTGCTAATAAGTATATTGGTGCAATATTTGTATCAGAATTATTCAATCCACTAGTGAGTTATGTCCATATAAAGTTCACACAACTTCCTACTGATTTCATGCCATCTTTTTCACTCTTTTACTGGCAATCTATCAACTAAAGGATGACACATTTGTATCCATGAACACCAAGGTTAAGATTGTATATAATCTAAGGTTTTTGTTTTGATAGTCAAAAACACTATCTAATGAACACCTTTATTTTTTTTTAATTTTCTATAATTAAACATTTATTTGCTATCAACAAAATGAGAAAATATTACTTTACCTTGTTTTGGTGATTTTTCTATCCTTATATTCATTCATGATAAATTCTGTAGCTTGACCTGAAGGGTCAATGATAAGTGGATATCTGTTAAATCGTTTTAACATGATGGCATTTTCTGTACACAGATCATCTGATGGAAGAGCATTAGCTTGCCATCTTAATCTCTCGTCCGCATTAGATAGATACTGAAATAACAATAATACTTATAAACTATTATCTCCATATTTTTGAATGCTGATTATAATTAATGCTGAAACAGCTTTTAGCTATGAAGGAATGCAAATGAACACTGATTAGCCCTAATCACTATTCAGGAAGGCAACCAGCCTTTATTTTTATGTACATTTTTTTTTTTTTCTTCTTTTTTTATCTTTTGAAATAACCATAATAAAAAATACACTCAAAGTCTAGAAACCACCATTAAAGTTCTAGTACAACAAATTTGTTCTGACCTCTGATCTAGCTAAATCTTGTCTGTATTGTATATTAGCATGGGTTAAATGACTACACCAGCTACCAAATAAATTCTTTCTCATCTGCTGATCAAAATAACCTAAAAAAGATAACTTTTCATCATCACTCCTAATCCAAATTGTTTTCATCTAAAAATCAAATATGTATGAAAGCTAGTTTAAAGGGACAATAACACTCTGGCTGGCTTGACAGCTCCAGAAAATAAAAAATAGCCTTATTCTAAGTACTAGATGTGTTAGTGTCTTACCTGTTGTGTAAATTATCCATTAAATCCTATTTTACTTGTCGAGAGGGTTCAAAAATATTTTTAAATCCATGTCACATTTGAAAAGGTTTACGTTACGCTTTTCAAATCATTTAGTTGAATTTTTCGAATTTTTTAAATTAGGTGTGCTAAGATGAAATTTGTATCATCAATTAATTGGAATATTGTAAAATAGTACAATCTGTTGACCAGAATAAAGATTGGGACATATTATTCAGTTACAACAAGAGTGGTATTGAGCCTTTAATAATCAAAAAAAAAAAAAAACGTTTTAGTGATAATAGCCTGAAGAATCATTTTCACAGGGTACTTTATGGCTTCTTTTCCCAATTTTCTGCAAGTCTGCTCTTTGCCTTCTAACACCTAGCTTACATATTAACCAGTTCAACCCCTATATTTGTTATTTCTAATCCAATTCTGTCTTTTAATTGCGTCATTTCTTACCAGCATACGCCATAAAAGCTGACGACAATAATGTATCACCAATAATAGTTGACATCTGATTTTTAAAGGTTTCACTACCAGCTTCCCATCTCTGTTTCTCACTAGCTAAACTTTGTAACAATGCTACACTTCTCTCTACCTAAAAGACCATAGAAAAAAAGATTCCCTTATATAGTACTTATAAAAAGGTGTTTATAACTTTCGTATCTTACATTTTGGATACAAAATGCATCTTAACATCATTTACTTTAATAAGTTCAAGGAATACTGAATTGTAATGGCCATTTTGCAAAGGTAAAATTAACAGTCTATCTTAAAATTAACAGATGGGAATGTTTTAAATAGGTTAAAATAAGATATAGAATTGTGATGGCCCTCTCTTATTTCGATCAGTGATGAGGCACGTCCTATACTATTAAATTTTTTATTTCAGATGAATAAGTTTTTTTGTTCAATTCAAAAATGTTGAAAGCCAAAAAAATTACATCCATAATCAAGCATAACAAAATATTCAATTTGGGGAAGATACCCCGTCTCACTGTGATTTTTATTTTCAACCTTTAAATATTCTAATTGTACAATAATCTGTAATATAATACCTTAGCCTCAACAGCAGCTAGATTAGATTTAATGGCTTGAGCTTCACTAATAAGACAAGCATATTCCTCTTGGTATTGCTGTATGCTTTTCTCCAAATCATTAATTAGCTTATTAACTTCTTCACCCTTTTGTATATTTTCCTGAGCTTTACTTTCTAGAGCTTTCAATTCATTACGTAGAGGTTCCACTCTGTTCAACATGTCTGCATACTGAATCTAAAAAATACAAAATCAAATGTGTTGGCATACTGATCTAAAATTGTAAATTCAAATCAGTCTATCAAAGTTAAAACATGAAAATCAAAACAATATAAAGACTTTCTTTAAAGGAACAGTTAGAAATGAAATGGGATTTAATGTCATACTTTTCTGCAATGACTGGCTAATGAAGACAGGCATACACCGTGCAGTGTGCTATGAGTGAATTTTCCCGGACCTACTATTATTTTAAATTCCTACTGTCAAGGGCTCTTTTACGTACATGCCAATGTGTACACAGGACCTGTTTTTCTTCCCATCCAAACGACTACACACAGTCCTTGTCAGGCCCTCCGTCCTGCATCAATGACAAGGGAACATTCTCAGCTGACACTGGGAGCTAACCCGAGGAGACTTCCTGGTCAGCGAGCCAGCATCTTTCTTACTGAGCCACCACCTCTCTCAGAAATTCTTTTTTTTTCTTTTTTTTTTTTTTTACAAATCTACGGAGGCAAGATAGGATTGCAGGATTTTAAAAGCTTACAATTGAATCATTGGTAAAACTTACTTGTGCTATAGCCCATTTAACCATGGGACCACAAGCTAAACTAGCTCTATTTATCTTCTCATAATTATAATCAGGATTACTTAAATACTTGCTTTTCATCTTATTTCTAATCTCATCACTATAAAATAATATTAAGATTTTAATAGTTAATGTTTCTGTCATGTTTATTTAATTTAATGTGCATGCACTGAATAGGAATTACAAACCTGGTTATTGTCTTATACTCAATATTCTGCACCTTGGTTATATCAGTAACCAAACAGTTTAATTTACAAGAGCATCGCTATGGCTGCAATATACGTCCACATTCCTGCTTTCATTGATATGAATGAAATATGAAATGGCTGCAATGACTGTAATATGACAAGAGGCATAGAAGGCTAGGCATTGGGTTTGCACCAAAATAAATAGTTGCTGTCTTTACGGTATAAGGAATAAATATGCAAAGTTCCAAGATGATCCATTCAGAATTGCAGCCTTTAGACTCTAATGATAAATACAGAAATTGGGTGTGCTCTTCCCCTGGAGGTTGGACGTGGACCAATATAAAAAGGTGCAATCCTAACATGGATAATTCCTAATTGGATCCAAATCTGTTAATAATTGCAACCTGTATATGATTTACAGACAAAATATTAACATATAAATAGTTGACGTTCCTAGGTTATAAGGAATAAGTATACCAAGTTCCATGATAATCCATTCAGAATTGTGGCCTTCAGGTACTAAACACAAAGATTGGGCATGGTTCTGCTCCTGGGGGTCAGGACATGCACCAAAACCAATAGTTGCCACCCTTAGGCTATAAGGAATACATATGCAAAAACCCAATTGCGGCCTGTATACAATAAACACACAAATTGGGTGTGGCTCTGTGCCTGTGGGTCTGGATATGCACCAAAATAAATAGTTGGGTGACCTGATAATCTATTACCGTTCCTTTGGAGATCAAAACAGTGCGTGGTATATGTGCTGTACTTGATAACGAATGGTAAATTTTACCTACACTTATTTTTATTAAAAAAAATTCTGGTTTTATACAGCTTGGAACACAGGTCTCCATTTCCAGTTGAAGACTGACGAATTTAAGTTGTTTGAAAACGTACCACAAATATTGAGTTAGTTGCTCGGCCCTAAGGAACAAGTTTTAAGGGCTTTTCACATAAAATTAAGCAGTTTTATTCTCGCAAAAATAATTGAGAATGGTCCTTTAAGAATATGCTTCATTAGCGCTATCACAAACTACAAAGTAAGTTCCCTTTAATATGCTTTTGGAACTGAACTGAATACCTGGTAGCACTTACTACTATGAAAATTTTTTCTCAAGTGCTGTTACTGGATTTGGCCAAATAGGCCATCAGACTTTTCAATCTAACTATGATTAACTGTGCTCGATATGTTTCTTATTTGTTTATGCCATAGCTTGTCCAAGTCAACAGTTATTCATCTCTCTAACAAAGGTGAGAGACAGTACAGCCACATTTAAAATGAGTCCTGTTCTGCACATGATGATATGATTCTCAAAAACATCAATAAAGGATTAGCTTTGAAAAGGAAATAAAACCAAGAAATTGGCCATACTATAGTCATAAAAATCATTTGGCAGAATAGAGCTAGCTGTCATATTTTAAAACTCACCTAATGTCATTTGTATCCAATTTAACAATATTAGAGATAAAGTTATCTTTCATGATAACAGCACGGATAGTTTTCCAATCACTAGAATTCTCCCCCAATATTAAACATATACCTTCCAAGGCCAGTTTCACTACAGGTGGGGGATTACCCATAGAACGAATTTCCACTAAATGTTGTTTCTTGATAGACTTGACAGCTAACAGAAAGTAGTATTTATTTAATATAATAATAGATAAATATTTTAAAATGGACTGATTTCAGATTAACAAATTATTATGAAGAAGCTCAAATTTATATAGAATTTCCATAATTATAGTAAATTTATTGATATGAAATCAGTCCACAACTTCGTAGACTAATAAAATTCAAACAGACATTGAAGACTGTTTATCTTTTTTAAGTTTTAATGGAGAGAAGTTTGTCCGGCCAACAGCATTTCCATCAACCCTTCTAAATACTTGTACACGAATCTCATACTTTGGCTCCAATTAAAAATTAATATCAAATATCTTGTTTTTCAAAAATTGAATCTTTCAATGTACGTTGCAACTAGTCGAATTTCATTAGTTTACGAAAATACTCACAATGAAAATATCAAGACTATTTATGCCTTGATACCAACCTCGTGACAATATATTAACTTACGAGATATTATCTGTTGAGAAGTTTATGATAGTAGAGATAAAGTTGTCTCGCATAATGATGCCTCTCAAGGCTTTCCAGTCTAGATCACCTTCGCCCAGTAAAACACAGATCGATTCTATAGCCAGTTTGACAGCAGACGGCGGGTTTGCTAGGGAACGAACTTCTACAAGTTGCTGTTTATTGATGGATTTCACAGCTGTTCACAAAATAAGGAGGCAGGAATAGCAAATAAGGCAAATCATAAAGCAAGGAAATAAAAGGAATTAAGTGCACTGGTGATTGATATGAAATTTTGGTGCTGGCTTTACATAAAGTAAATCTTATGAAATGAAATATCGATCATGGCCGCTTTTAGGGTCTACTTATTTTTACAAAAAAAGATGACAGAAGTGTCTATTTATCAGAAATTTTATAGCAAGTGGTGAAATGATCACAACCATTTTGCAAATTCTCACTTCAGAAATTTTCAGAATAGATTTTTGTTATATGGCAGATAAGTAACTGTAATTCAAAGTAAATATTTCACAAATAGAAAGCTGATTGATCACCTATTTTGATATTAGTTTATGTAATAATACAATATTACTTTCAAATGTTCAACAATGACTTTAATACAACAATTACCAATGCACTTATAAAAGAAAAAAAATCACAATACAATTTTAAAACTCAAATTAGAAAGCCATTAAGGCCGAACAGCCCAGTTAGAATTTATGATTTATAAAGAATAATGATGCATGCAGGGCCTTTATCCTAGAAAATGTTTTTTAATTTGACTTTACAATCAGAATCTTTTCAGAGAAAACTGAATGGCAATTTTCCCAAAATTATTATGCTGAGGATTCATGGAATTTTAATAAAATTGAAATTTTTTTAATTTTCAAAATAATTTTTCTAGGAAACAGACTCAAGACATTTCAATATTTATCAAAAAATTAGAACATTTGTTCCAACTTGACATACCAATGGCAATATCAAAATATATATTTAATCCGGAATTCGGAGAATAACACAAAAAAGTTTGTGCTAGAACACTGCTAGTTTGTCTTAATTATGCGTACTTAAAATTAAAGTTATCTTAAAGTAAATCATCTGAAACATGTCACATTCTACAAGAATCTCTATGCATTATAAACATGTTATGGTTGTTTCATTACAATGAAAAATGCAAAGCAATCTGCAGCATTGGTTTTATATTGATTTTGGTATGTCAATTACTGTAAAACTTGAAATATTTGTGCCATGAATTTATCTCAAACCGTGGACATAATGTTTCATTGAATTAAGGCCAACTGAGGATGTCTCCCTTCTCAAGGCACTTCTAAATTAATGCAATCTCTTGTCATTTGCACTCATTTGATTAGTATTCACCCAATTTCATGTTTTACAGTAGTTAATTCAGTCCACAACAAAATACCCAGACAGCATTACCCAGAAGTAACATTTTGACAAAAATAAGATCTTCAAATTAATGTTTGAAAATCATTACATGTGATTCTATTTCTAAAGAAATTATCAATTCACACCACACATGTCTCTGAATCTGATCAAAAGTTTGTCAAAATGACTACAGCTCATTTGTATCATGCAATTCATTATCTGGTAAGAATTCGGCCGCCCAAAATAATAAAATTCTAAAAAAGCACCTTCAGCAGATCTGATAAACACCACCAGCACAAGACAACATCAATGTAGCTTCAAATATGATGAGCGCTTTTTTTTGTAAGAAGTAAGAGTGATGCATTACAATAAATGTGTCAGCTTTAAAATTCATACAGTATGTGGCAGTGATCATGATTTGGTGCAGGTGATTTCATTCTGGTGCATGATTGTATGGATACAGTATCTGTACGTGATTTGTTTTCATCAGCATTGTGTTTGGGTAGTGATTTGTTTTCATCAGCATTGTGTTTGGGTAGTGCAAAGTAATAGCTAATATCATGCACGGTCACTCTTGCTATAGGGTACAGCCTGGTGGTTTCTACACTACAGATTAATTTCTCTTCACTTCTCAACAAATCATTTCTCTTAACTTCAAACATTTTATGCGGTAATTATCAAAAGCATACATACTATGAATGTATGATATAAATGGGCTGATATAATTTCTTTAATTCTGCATTAAATATAACTAAAATAAGGTACAGACGAAAAGATTGTACTAGAAAGCTAATATCCCATTATCCTCAAACATCCTCTTAATAACTGAATTTTTGGAGATTTGGAGTGCCTGTTTTGCCTCATTTAATGTGCGTGTATGGTTTCATGGAAACCTATCTTAAAGACACTTTACTCTAATACTGGTCTCAACTATAACGTTTTTGAGATACCTGATGCAACTTGTCTCAAAGCAAATCATACTATAGAGACATCCCATTCTATATTTTAAAAGCTTATAATACCAATATTAATAATATATGGCGCTAGGTATTATTTGTCCTACCGTTTTGTGCCTCTATAACTGCTGGCTCTACTTTAGATAGATCTTCTGTAACATTAACTTTCTTCTCACTAATAACTTTAGTTTGTTCAATGAGTGCTTGTTGAATCTCTTGTGATGTTACTTTCTTCTTTTCAGCTTCTTGTTGATCTTTCACCTATAGAAATGAAATAAATTTCTAAAGTCTCAAAAACACAATACTTTAATAATAATTTGGAGACTAACTTATGCAAAGTTTTGTTTTCTATGCTTGTGGGTACCATTGTGAGGGAAAGAATTTACCCACACCAGTTTTCTGCCTACACTTTAAGACTGTTTCTTTTACATGGTTTTAGAATTCCAGAAGATTTTACTGTGAAACTCCTCCTCCTACTTAGGTCCGAAACTAGGACACTTCCTTCTAGACTCTGATATAGGCGAAACAAAAGTATGAAAAAATCAAAATGAGTTTAAATGTTTTCTTTTCAGGTCATATGGATATCAAACTAGTGAACCATGATAATTTGAAACAAATTAAAATGCCAAAATTAAAGATAAGTTGCCAGGCAACCAAACATACACCCACAGCAGCAAAATCGTTGGAGCAGTCGACAAGGGTTGTCACATATTTATGCTTTTGTAGGTAGTAGGAGCATTTACAAGACACTGATATCAATTTCATACAGATCGAATGTTCACAAGGTTCAACAAAGCGAAACAAGGGTCATAAAGTTATTAACAGAAATTGCTTAAATTCTATAGACTTATTCATTTTACTAATCTCAATAATGCATTTAAATTTAATACAGACTGGATCATAACTTTTGTCGTTAGAGCGTTCACAAGGGTTTAACAAGGGCCATAACTCTAGAAGTAATTTACGGAAATTCCTGAAAAACAATAGGCTTCTTTGTTTTATTAATCTAAATAATGCATAAAAATTTCATACTGATCGGAAGATAACTTTAGTCATTAGAGCATTCATATGGTTCAACAAAGTGAAACAAGGGCCATAACTCTGGAAGTTATTAACAGAAATTGCTGAAATTCAATAGGCTTCTTCGTTTTTCTAATTCAAAGAACACGTGTTAATTTTATACAGATCAGACAATAATTTTTGTAGTTAGAGCGTTCACAAGGTTCAACAAAGTGACACAAGGACCATAACTCTAGCAGTAATTAACAGAAATTTAAAAAAAAAAATAAGCTTCTTTGTCTCAATAATGTTAACATTATATATTTGAAACTGATCAGATAATAAATGTAGTCTGTATAGTGTTCAGAAGAAAGTGTCAACGACGGACGGTGGGGATGACAATATACAACCACAGTTCCATGTGAGCAAAAAAATTAAAAACTAATATGAGGACAAACCATCTGTTGTAGTTTACTATTAGCAGCTGTATTTTTCTGTTCTAATTCTCGTCGTTTTACGGACAGTGATTTCTGTAATTCTTCTACTTGGTCTACAGTTTCACGTATTTTCTGTAAACCTATGTTCAGATGAAGTTGTTGTTCTTCTAGATCTGACCTCTTCTCATTGTATAACTTGGCCTGAAATAATAAAGTAAAATTTGAAAATCTCCATTTTGTAAGAATTATTGTTAATGTTTATTTATCTGGATATTTGACATTCTGTAAATTATTCAATGACTATATTTAACTATCAATTGTTCAGTGAAATCATCAATTGTATGATCTCTCAAGCATTATTTTAATATCTACCTGGTAGTCGTAGCATTAAAGGCAGAGTGATGCCGAGACATTTAATTGTGCTGGATATATATTTAACAATATCATCAATACTATCTTTATAAAAGGAATAATATTTATGTGTAGAAACCCATATGGTATGCCATTTTTATTATGTGAAATCTTGATATGTGTACTTAATACATGTACATGGTCTAATACTACGGCACACTTTATCTTTATTTTGCCATGTTTGCTTAAGCTTTTATCAAAGTCTTGCTGTATGCAGTTGTAAAATTTGAACGCTGACTGTTTTATCAAGATTATGATTTAATATTATTAAATGCTGATTACGATATAAGTCCCTAAATTTATCAGCAGAGCCGATGATAGCTTCTGTCTTTGTCAATATCATATACACTTTCCCATTTTTCTATAAATAGAGTTGAAAATATAACCATCTATTAAGGTCTCTATCTGAACTTTGATGCCAGCGAGGCTTGTATAATGTCTAAATAATCAAACGCATGCCAACTAAAATAAAAGGTCGGAGTGCCAAGCAAGAGAGAATGATTTGATCACAACTCGAATGATATTTTAAAGTTATTAACTGAGTCTTTTGGAAAAGATATCGTCAACTCAAATATCGACAAAATGGCTGTGGATCAACCAGTGACAATTTCTACCGATAGGCTACTTATCAGCCAAATACCGATGGTGAAACCGATAATTGGAACATCACTACTAAAAACAATGAAATTATATTGATTTGAAAGTTTCATCAGAAACGCCAAATGATCCCAAATTTACCATGAATTGCTTAATAAATTCAGCATTCAATCACCACTACATGAAATCTATTGTCTTTAGGGGTTCAAAGGATTTGGTTTAAAGAATACTTACAAAATGATTAATAAAATCCAGGTAATGTCTTGGTGTGATTGCCATAACACGACCACCTCGTCTACCTACACGTTGATTGGCTTGATGTAATGACTGATGTACATATACGTAAGCATTAACAACAGCTTCACGATGAGCTGGTGGTGTTGGTAAATCTTCATAAGCTTTCGGGAAATCTGGTGGTGCTATGTACTAAAGTATAAAATAAAACAGATTTGATAAGCTTTTAAAAAAAAAAAAAAAAAAAAATATAATAAAGATGCTTATCAATGTCACTATAGTTGTTATGCAAATTTACATAGGGAATGAAATACAAACTCAGGTTAGTAATTTTGATGCATGTTTGATTAATAAATTAGGTATAAAACATACATAGACCCTATTATAATGTAAGATCGTCCGAAATGTAATATATGAAATGTTATCTTCAAAAAAAACATCATCAAAGCGATATATTTCAATAATACATGCTATAATAAAGCCTTAATAACATGCAGGTGGGTATTTAGAATATACCCAATAACCATCTTGAAGGTTTTAATAAAATCATGCAATGAATTCCATATTATATAGAAAAGCTTTTTTTAGTGATTTAGCAGGTTGGTTTTACATCTAGCTCATTCATTCGTTATTTGTCTGAAGAAAATCTCTCAGAAATTAGCAAATAAAATTGTCCGAACTGGTGTACAGTAAGGGTTTTTTTCTTGCTAATTGCTATCGCACATAAACATGACAACAGCACGTGAATTAGGGTCTGATATGGATAAGAATATATCATTATGAAACAGTTTTTGAAGACTGTATCTCTCTATAGCTAAAACCAACATGACTCCTTGACAAGAGTTCTACACATACTACGATCTGCAAATAACCATAATACATTAAATGTGCTAAAAAGTCAAATTCTTAAGTGTGTCAGTGGCATAAGTTATCAACAACAACACTGTATAGAAAGGAATTTCTGAATTTGAGAAGCAAACGAAAATACATTTTGCTATAGATAGTAATTTTAATAGCTAAATTTGACCATGCAAGAAATTTGATGGTGTGATGATGACGGAAGAGGGAGAGAGAGAGAGTAATGGGGTTTAAGGTCCACTTAACACAACTAATTAATTTCAGGACTAACATATGGTTCAAATCTGTTTCTAGGCAGTGGGAGGAAACCAGAGAAAACCCTCGAGGATGGAAAGGCAACCTTACTCCTTGTCACATGGTGAATCAAAACCACACCACTTGGCTTAAGACCTAAAGAGCATGTTTTAAAACATTCAGCTACCCCCTTTCAACCTTGATGATGATGATGAGGTGGTATTTTGAGATGATAATATAAGACTTAAAGCCAGTAAGTAAAGCAATATGAACATTTAGCACATACAGCCAAAGCTATTTAAATTTTCAATCACTATTATTATTGATACCAAAGCAAATTTTAACATGAATTAATATGTAAATTTCTCGTTAAAATCACCTCGTTAACATCCTATTATATTGGTAAATTGTGTAGTAAAAATAAAACATGTAATAAGTACTGTGATTAAAAACATAATATCAGAGTTATCTGTCTTTCTCCATAAACGTGAAAGTATGACTAGAACTGACCAGTTTATCTCCAGTTTAAACGACAGAAATTATATTTTACGAACCATAACAATAACATTCAATGATCCTTCATAACTGAACAATCCCCAATGATGTAATGAATTTACAGCATGTGTATGACAATCTTGTGTTAGAAGCAATTACAAATGTGTTTTTGTTTAGTAAAATTTTGGAATCTAAACCCCAATGCAGCATCATATCCTGAACTTCAAAATGACAAATTCTGTAATTCAGGCGCAAAACATCTTGAATGTAAATAAATGAGGCCAGATTCCAACACCATACGGTCAACCATCCTCTAAAAACTTATATGTATATTGTACTATAAATGTATTTATCAACACAAGTTTTCTTGGTAATACACAGTAAGATGTTTAGATTAGTTATTATACATGTGTAGGAAATAAAACATTCTACTGATAAATATTTACTTACATTTCCCTTCTCCAAGTCAACTTTGTTGGTAAATTCTTTTCCTACTTGGAATAAAGCTCCATTGGACCAATCTCCAAACCAATTCAATACACATCTACAGAATAAAGTTTTGTAAAAATGTATTAAAAAAATAATAATAAAAGGATACCTCAAGAGTAACTTTTCAAATTCAATCTGCCAAAAGATTTTCCACATGCAATCCCTGGGAAACCATGCTTGAATCTAGTAACCCAATATAATCTAGTATAATACCTGTTAAAGAGAGCAGGTGATGTAGATGCTCTATCTTTTAAACCTTCAGATGATGGATTCATTGTAAATACAACATGAAGATTTCTCATAACCTGTAAATAATCATCATAAAAAGAATAAAACCAAATTAACAAATGCATTGTCTTTTCTTTATCTTCACAATGTGATCACATCTTCCAAATTCCCTCCACACAAAAATGTTCTTAATATCATACCATGAGTAACTTTTTCTAACTTTTTATGATGGGCATTTAGTAACTGAAATTATATGGGCATTTAGTAACAGAAATTTTATTAAAAGAATCCCTCTCTTGTACATAGACAATACAGAAATCAGTTCATTCACATTCTGTTTAGGGTCATGCTAATTTTTTTCAAAGCAATTCACTAGGCTTCACTGTATCACTGATGTTTGAATCCAATTACTACACCCCTGTGATAGCTGTTACAGTGAACTAATGAATTAATAGTTTACCTGTTGTGTGAACCATTTATATAATTCTTCACCAGAATCTAACATTAAACCTTCTCTCTGTGCTCCTTCCTTACACTGTGTCATCAATGTACTATATTCATCTCCTTCAAATAAACCTGGTACTTCACCATTAGCTAAAAGAGTATTCATTCTCTCAAGAAAACCAGAATCTAATACATTTGACTCATCCATTATGAAACAGATCTTCTCTCCCTGTAAAATATAAATACATATATATATATATATAAAGACATAAACGTACATATTTAGGGTTATCAAGATCCTAGGATAAAGTTATTTGGAATCACTAAATGCTTTACGATTATTTTATCCAAAACACGAGGGCTTTGTGGTTCCAACAGACAAGGAACCAGAAATAAAAGATATATCAATTAATAACTGGAGCACATATTGGTATAATTTGATGTTTAATGTGTAGTCAAACATTTTCTGGTCAATAAGAATCACTGCTTGAACAGACTAAAATTCCCTTAAAGTCTTGATCAATGGTGTCTATTTTCATCAAATCAAAGTCAATGGGCTGATATCGTTCTTAACAATTCAAGACTGGTAAAAGAAAATAGATCGATGAATAAAATAAAGAGACATACCTTACAGCCTGATCTTCTCAGTACAGTTCTTAGATCTTCATCAAATTCTAAACCAGTATATTTGTTATGTACTTTAATCTGATATACAGTTAACCCATTCATCCATGCTACAAATCTAGACAGAGTTGTCTTTCCTGCACCACTGACCCCAATCAATAGAAGATGACCTTGTGGTTGCCGGAATATACGATCTATACGTAGAACATGATCTAATACTTCATCGAACAATACTAAAGGTACATCCAATTCTTCTTCATAGAATACCTACAATCATATAAAAGTCAATTACTGTAGCTAGAATCGAATACCGATAGCTAGGATCATATCAAAAACAAATTAACTGTTGCCAATAAAATAAATCCCATCAATCAGATATAGGTTTATCAATGATCAAGTTTAGAAATCAAAGGTTTTAATAATGAATAATATTTTGACAAACATGATAAATTTTCTTGACAGTAAAATTTAGCTAATGGTTTATTGTACCCACCTTAAGTCTGGCTTTAGTATATTCTCTAAGATCTTCTCGACCAACAGGCATATAATCTTTAGATAACCATTTAGAGAATAATATAGGTCTCACTAGACCATCATCACGGTTTAGATTAGGGAAATGTTGCATGGCTACAGCATCTATATTTTTATCTGTCCAGAACCTTTCTTCATCTTCTATTAATCTGTAATATGAAACAGGTCACATTATAATGGATGGACTGACAGATATGGACTACTTATTTAACCAATGTTCTGATTTATACATCAAAATGATCTCCTTGAATTTCTTGAACATGAAAGAAAACTAACCTGATCATTCAGTGATTAATGTTTCAAGTTTATTAGAATGCTGTTTGTTCGAAAATCTGAATTGATCATACTGTTGTGAAGAAGACATTCCTTGAATTATGAATTAAATTGGAAAATAAACTGGTAAAACTAAAGCCGATCTTTGTCATTTGGGGCATTTTGAATCCCTTGCAAACAGCAATACTGTGTTAGTAGTAAAGTGATGTAGGATGGAGGGCCTGGCAAGGGACAAGGTATAGTCGTTCGGATGGGATGAAAAACGGAGGTCCTGTGTACACATTGACATGCACATAAGAGAGAGAGAGAGAAATGGGGTTTAACGTCCACTCGACACAAACTAGGTCATTTCGGGACTAACATATGGTTTTAATTTTATTTACATAATTCGCTTGCGCGTAGGGGTCTTTAGCAGTGGGAGGAAACCGGAGGACCCGGAGAAAACCCACGAGGTAGGACAGGCGACCCTACTCCTTGCCACATACAACCGGGGATTCGAAACCACGCCAGTCGATTCAATGACAGACTTTTTGATACAGCGCGCGCACGCTAACCATTCAGCCATCCAATCCCCCGACATGCACATAAAAGAACCCTTGACATCTGGAATTCGAAATAAAAGGAGGCTGTAGCACCGCTGTCTGGGCAAAATTTCCCTCATAATACACATAATACATTGCATGGCGTATGCCCATCTTCGTTAGCCAAGTAGCTATAGGAGCAGAACAGTAGGATGTTAAACCCGACTTCATTTCATTTCCAAAAATAGTTCCATTTAGTATTTACTTATTAGACATGATGATGTGTCTCTTTCTAATCTGAATGGATCTAAGTTAGATTATCTGCTGTTGACAATTTGGTTTTGTTTTTCACATCAATTTGGAGTACATTTGGAGTGACAAATTAAATATTGCAGCAGCTGTAAGGGTTAAAGAGAAAGTAACTAAATTTGATAAAACAAAAATCATACCTGTCCTGGAATAATCGTAGAGCTTCGTGAGCCCAGATCCTGACTAAACCATCTACACTTAGGTTTTCTAATGGTCGTAAATATTCACAAATACCTCGTACCCATCGAGTTAACTCACGAGGACTGTAGACATAGTGGGGTTGCATATCTTGTGTAAATCTTTCCTGTACAAATGAAGAAAACCAAATGAAATAAGTACAGCTCATTACTCTATGAACGTGTTTATGAAAAAGATCTTTACTAATGGTGATGGTTTACTAATTCTAAATCAGTATATCTACAGGTCAACAGTGAGACAGTTATCGTGTCCAAGTTGTGTGTATCTGCTCGGTCTAAGCAGAAAATGCTTACCACCAAACCTGTGAAGACATTCACCTAATAAATATATTCCATAAGTTGAAACATTATATCTCAATTAGAAGAAGAGTTATTGTGTTCCAGAAGGTGTGAAGGACAGACGGACAAATCAATGTTCTCTGCTTTATCCTAAAGGCGAGGGATAATAATTTAAATATTACCTGTGACATAAGGAAGAATTGAACCATGGCGTTTGTAAGAGGATCAGCATACGGTTTAAGGCTAGGTACCAGACGTAACATGGCACGGTTAAATGTTCCGTAAATCTGTTTAAGTGATGTTTCACCAGGATAATCTACATATACTACTGGTACATGTCGTAAAAATCTGAAATAAAACCCTCCAAAATTAGATAATACTGTTTCAATAAAACAAATAGATAAATCCCCAATACATAAGAACAAATCTCGACATTTATGTTTGTTCATAGCAGATGATTCAACATTAAATGATTTGTGCAACGAATGTGTAAACAAAATAATTAATACTGTAAATGGGGCTCATCCTAGATATTTTAATTTTGACCAGGACAACTGCCATTATAACTCTTTTCTCGTATGTGCACTGCCCAGAAACATCATTCATTTTTTCTTTCAAGTAATATTGCACACTTTTCATTTCAGCCAACTATTAATTGCCCTCACAAATTCCTACATCCCTTGGTATCAAATACAAACCTATGAGAGAGTGGTTTTCTACCCGGATCAGTAGGAGGATTACAAGCACCAACAAACTGTAATCTTTCAAATTTAATCCACATCTGATCAGATGGTCTGTAGAATCCACCATGTTCCATCATTTGACGTAAGAATGAAATAACTCTCTGGGTCCCTACATAAGAAAATAAATAAGCAAATGAAACAAGTCATGAATTTCTGGCAGAATAATATTCAATAAAGAATCAAAATAGTTAGGCATGGAAACTTCTCAAAGGCAAGTGATATCAGGTGTTCTATAAAGAGTAAGCATTGTCTTTTATTCAATCATCAGCCAAATACAACAATTTCATGTTGCATATTTCTAACAATAGTATATGAACATGCACACCACATATGATATCCAAACTGAAGCAGAAAATCTTTTCGAATATCTTAATTAGTACAAACCATATTTGTCCATATCTGGTAAATTGATTTCATCACAGAAGAGTACCAGCCATTTGTTCAGTTGAACAGGGGAGAGAACCATTCCATTTGGTGTACGACGATATTCACAATAATGATCAAATGTTTTCAATAATAATTCTGGGTTTGTTGCACTGGAGAAATTCAAACCAACAACCTATTGAAGACAAAAGATTCAACACTTTTAAATGATCTACTGTGGTATTGGGGTGTATATTGGGGTGTATAGGCCACAAGATGGCCTGGATTGTTTATGACAATCAATAGGGCTAATTAAAACAGCCATCTTACATTTCACTCCATCCCAGAATTCCATCTAGGATCCAAGCCACTCGGCAAACCTCAACAGATTCCAGTACCCTACATCTAATCTCGGCTGTATAACAAAGTCCGCCATTAGAACTACTTTCAAGTTCCCGGATTACAATGGCGTTGTCCCTGATGACCAATGACGTCATAGATGACGACGTATTTGAAGAATGTTTTATCTTACAAAATTTCCAAAGATTGAAGCTGTTTTTCTTTCAAGTTTATCCGATTTTCTTTAGACAAGGACAAATTTGCACTGAAAATTCTACGCACTCTTCGAACGACGCAATTTTGAGAACTTCTTTCTAAACGCGGGCAAGTTTCCCTTATAAGTAAACCGGTGCCGCATCGCAAATGTATAGGCGTAGGTACATATCACTTACTGTCACACAGCCGAGGCTAGATGTAGGATACCGGAATCTGCCGAGGTTTGCCGAGTGGGATCCAAGCCTTTTATTAATCAAGGGAAGTAACTCAATTAACACAAAGAACTCAAGAAGGCTTCAGACCACAATTCCTTAATAATATGAATAAGTTGGTTTAGTAAAGGACACTACTGACACACAATATACTGAATGGAGTTAAAATCTGTTCATATTTTCAAATAATAATTGAATAATGAGAGCGCATTCAAATGTTTTAAAATGCAAAGACAAATTATTTGAAAGGGCATATAAAATTGGGTAATTAACTTATATACCAAAACAATATAAACTAACAATTCTCTAATATTATGTATGTTAACAAAAGTTTTCAAAACTGGAAAATATTAGACTTACCTCCATGTCTGGAAGGGCTCTCAGAGCACTGAATAATGTCATAGTTTTACCAGAACCAGGTGGTCCACATAGTAATATAGGTTTATGTTCAGCTAACCATGTATATAATAAACTTTCATGTCGTACTGTATCTATAGTAGGTATAACCACATCAGGTGAAGCTACTTTATGTGTTTCTACTTCAACTTGTGGTACTTTAGATTGCCATGGTGACCATTCCCCAGATATAGCCACCTGTGAGTGTAATAACATACAAATTTAGTTCCTTATTAATTTTATGCAAATTATTCGCAGATTAAATGTGTTTTGTTTAAGCTTATTTTTATGATTTGGTTGTCTGCTATTTTCAGTTGAATGACTGAAATGGTACATAATATCCACTCAAAACAAGAACCGGGTAGTATTGGTTTGGAGCCAATTTCAATTGTCAATCTTTATTTCAGTTATTCCCGTCAGAGCAAGGCTTTTTACCAATTGGGTAACGTGAGGTTATAACAACAATCCTGCCATATGTCATATACAATTAAACTTAAAATCAATCCAACACGATTTCCTTGGGCTAAAATCAAAACATAAACTAGTTATTAATATAGCAATCAAATTATTACCTCAAAATCTATAATAGAAGCATTGGTAGTTGGAGGTAATGGTACAGTAGTTATACCACGAATAAATTCACCTAATTCTTGTCTCATTTTAATTCTACCATCACCAGACATAGACCATACTATACTGTATATTAAATACTTGGTTAAATAACGTTCCAATTGATCTTGCTGAAATAAAACAAACATAAATATAGGTGTAAAATAAATTCAGACTGGTTTCAGTTAACATGTTGGTATATTTTTTCTCTTCTCAAATCTTGGATATGTTTTTCCAAGAAACTACATAAGCAGATTTTTTTTCTTATTAGTTTTTAAAATTTACGTTTATTTTTGAATCTTTGTCAAATGTACATAACTAAGTTTGCTATAAACAGTTGTACCTTAAACATAATACCCACCCTTATCACTTGGAATTCAATTTGTGCAAACATCTCTTCAAGTGGATCAAATCTTTAGATGTATATATTATATAAGACTTTGTTTAGAAATGAAATGGGGTTTAACTTCTACTTTTCTACACCAACCAGGCTAACGAAGACTGGCTTATTCTTGCCATATCTGTCAAGGGTTCTTTTACGTGCACGCCAACTTATACATGGGACCTCGGTTTAAAGTTGCATCTGAATGACTAGATCCTTTCCTTGCCATGCACTGTTCTGCACTACTGACATGAGAAAACCATTCCAGAAAGAACTCTCATGAACAACCCAAGACCTCCACTACAGCTCCCGCTTGGTTTATAAAACTTGTAGTAATGGATGACAGTTAAATAGTTTCTAGTACATGAACTAACCTGTATAGGGAAATCAGCATGATTATTATTGTAAGCTAGAACATTTCTCACACCCTGGTTTAACATAGAGAAGAGAGAATTGAGAGCTCGGAGACGGGTAAAATCCATTACATGATCTAAATTGACAGCAAACTCCATACTTCTAATAACTAGACCATCTGATGTGAAGAAAGGTTGAAATATGGTTGCAGCATCTCTTTGAACCTGGAATAAAACCAAAAATGTTCATTGAATTATATAATGTTAATAAAGCCAGCAAAGCTAACAGTAGAGTATCAAATTGATTTAACTTTAAAACAAAGAAAAGAGAACTTAATATGTCGTCACACAAATGTTAAATAATTCTGTGACTAACAACACTTGACCTCTGTTTACATCTGAAAAGTTGAAAGAATGGCTGATTACTTTTAAACAAGACTTTTTTCTATAATTCTTAGCACAATCCATGTAGTATTTTTTAGAAATTCATAAACCTTATAGAATTTCCCTTTGGAGAAAAAAAATAACAAAAAAAAATAAATCACATTATTTCAACATACAGCTATAGATGGTGATTCTAATTCTTCCTTGGCTGCAAATTCCTCTTCCATTTCTTCAACATGTACATGACGTAACTGTTCTAAGAAGTTTTCAAATATCATATCTGTGGATAGTACATCTTCACTGAACCATACCATACCACATCGACTGACAGTAGCTAGTGTGGCATATCGTAAATCTTGTACCTCAAACATTATTCGCACCTAAAAATATAACAGAAATTATTGATAAAGTAAGAATCGAGAAAGAAAAAAAAAGCTATACATTTTTGTCAAGACAACTATAGGTGACGTAAAATTACAATGATGTCATCATATATTTATAAAGGTTCAGAACTTTTAAGCTAGAACATTCATTCATTACACATCTACTTTATACAAAACTCAAAGGGGTTTCACAATATTAAAATTTATTTCAATTTTTTAAAGTATACATCATTAATCTATGTAATGGCCTTCAATGAAAGCTTTGTCCCAAATTATAAAAAGCAAGCAGGTCAACATAACACTCAATTGTCTTCATAAAATGTGAGACTGTTACAATTTTCAAATGTTCAGACAGTAGCAGTTAATACAAGTCAAAAGTATGAAAAGCATGTTCATAATATAATTGAAATTTGTTTGCAAATTTTGAAATTAAAGATGCATTATATATGTAAGAGCTAAATCTGCCAATTACAGGACGTTGTTCTAGCTTCAAATGTTATATAAATTATTATTTGGACATTTATTCACACGACAAGCCAAGAATCAAATCTCTAGGCCGTCGAATGTCTTAGATATTGAATGGATTACAACACCTTCGCCATTTCATAATTTAACAATAAAATGGATAAGTTTAGTATCCTAGCAATGGTACTTGATAATTGAGACTATCTAGTCAAAACTTCCAATAGTCATAACTTTGCTCAGAATAAAGAAATCTGAATGAAATTTTCATTATATTCATTTCTAATTATCCAATCTGATTAAAACACAAATCCTATTTCGTTTCATTTTCTTACAGTTAAAAATTTCGTTTTGTCTTTCCTTCAATAGGATCTGGAAGAGTTGTTATATAACCCGCATTCTGGATGATGTGAGGGATTAGCCAATGAAACGGTCTGTTAGGCGAGTTTTTGGCATGATATGCACGGAACTGTGGGTAACCCACTGGAACATCAAAGCTGATTGGTTATCAAATGTCTCACAACATACAGTGTCAAAAGCCGCTCATATGATCTCTGACACAACCTTCCACTTTAAGTACAACGGGTCAGATCTTCATGTAGTGAAGACCATCGAAAGTATATAAAAAAAAAAACTAAACGAAATATAGATCTGTATTTTAATCAGATTGCTAATTATCTATTTTTTTAACTATTACAGTAAGAAAGGCCATATCTTTATCTAAATCTACTAATCCATTATCATAAGCTAGAATAAGATTCTATACTTACATTGGGTGGTATACCCAATCGTTCACCATTAGGTAATGTGAGTAGTTTATTATCATCTAATACAGAGTTCAAATTCTCTACCCATTCCGGATCAACATCACCATCAAATATAATCCATTGTCTTTTACTCAATTCACCTCGAACATTATCAATAATCCTGCACAAATATAAACAATTTTCAGTCATCCAATATATTTGGATGTCTCCCTAATGAACTTTCATTTAGCTATGTATGTTATCAAAGCCTAATTCATACTTAAAAATGCTTATGTAGCCAATCTGCCTATTGCAGGTCTTTATTTTGGCTTCAAGAGTTATAAACTATTATTTAGACATATATTCATATGACAAGTCTATATTCAACTCTCTAGACCATTTAATGATTTTATTTAAAAATGGTGTAGTGAGGCTAAGCCTTGAATAACAAATACCGTTGTAACACTAACAATCTATGCCACATCTTGTCAAAACTTCAAACGGTGATAACTTTGCTCAAAATAAAGTAATTTGAACGAAATTTCAATATATTCATTTTGCATTATCGATTTTTGAACTATCATAGCAAGAACAGCCAGCTCTTTATCTAAATCTTATATTACCCATCTTTAATGTAATTAAATTTACAATGTAGGGAAGGAAATTGTCTTTTAAAGAAAATATATCTTACTTTCTGAGTATATGTGTAAAGAGACCATCTGTCCATTCTCTGGTATTAGGATCTAAATTACCATACAGAATCTCTTTTGATATAGACTGGTGAATACAAAAAGAGATCAAAATATTATAAAAAAACAAATAAAAAGACACATGACCAGGCGAAAAGAAATGAATTGTACTCCCGCTTGTAAAACAGAAGACTACGCATCATAATGAAAATCAGAATGGCCATCAAAATATATATATATATTTCTTTTCGCCTGGTCATGTGACTGTATATTATTTGGCTGTTACACTTTATCACTTTCAAAGATAAGTTTTGAATCAAAATATTACCAAGCACAAAAGAAGACATTGCAAAATATAGATCTTCTTGTGTATGTTGTGCAAATAGCAAGTCAATCTGCAATTAAACTTGGGCACAACATGGAAATTAACTTGGTAGTGAAAGAACACTGACCAACATAATAGTTTTGGTGATCGGGGTGCCATGTGACAGCCAAATTAGTTTGGGAACCACTTTATACCTTACTTGTTTTTGTGACTGAAATTTATGTTTGCATGCTAGATATCCTTATCTGGCATTTGAATCACTTACCTTTGGATCAATAACATGAGCCACACCCTCAATACCTTCAACTCTTTCAAGGGCCTTTAATAACACTTTCCATGCTGTTGATTTACCACTACCACTAGGGCCAACCATCATTAAGCCATGATGTAAATTAGTTATCTGATATAATTGTAACACCTGAAATATAACATTAATATGTAATAATTAATACATGTTGTTAGTTGTGGAATAATGTAAATATTCAGCCTACAAGCCATACCATCAACTTAACATCTTCATGCAGTGAATGAGCATAAGTACAAAAGAATTGAATTCATGTCATACAATTGCAATTCTATCAATTTGGAGTGTTCCAGACTGACAATCTAGCTTCTCCTGTTATATTTCATTATTACCTTTTCAACCCACGATGTTCCAACATCATCTCCTTCTCCATAACACAAATACATTTCTTTACACACTTTACGGATCTCTTGACGTAGCAATTTCATTTCAGCAGCAGAATACTTAACACCAGGGAATACATCGGACAATAAACTATGTAATAGAGGAATATCTTCTGCCACTAGTTTTGGTACCATAGTCTCCATCACACTCTGTATTAAAATCTACAAAATAACAAAAAACGGTACAATTTAATCAAGTCAATTACCATATAATAGCCATCAATGTTTTCCCCAAATAAAATTTAAGATGAAAGTCTTGCAATAACTACACAGCAGCACCATGTTTTGTATCAGTATTACACAGTTATGTCATTTTGGGACTAAAATATTGTAGATCTTGTTTCATTCATTCATTCAAAAAAAATAAATAAATTGAGAAGAAATTCAATAACCTTCATTTTGGCAGGCAACCTTACTCAAGTACAACAAACATTTGTGAGACAAAACTCACATCTCGCAGAATTGACAGACCCATGTTGGAGCATTTGAATTCCGATCCCTATCTTGTACCTGGGGTAATGACATCACACTGACCGGAAATCAGCCTTTTATGATTTATTTTTAAAGGTCTTTTACATTTTCACAAGGTTGGGAAGGTGACCATACTCTTTGTCACATAAATGCTTGTGATCAAAACCATGCGGCTTGACTCAATGACAGTCCTTTTGCTCCAATATCCAGGCATTAGATCACTGGACCACCCAATCTCCTAATTCAAATGAACCTGTCATTTTTCAAATCAGATTTTGATAGCATATATCGTACCTCTTGTTCAGGAAGGTTTTCAGCAATAGAGCCTTCATCTACTGGTTCACCGCTTTCTATTAAATCTTCTTTTACTGTACGTATCTTTTCACGTTTAACATTACCAGCGCTGACTAATACACTCTTTAATGCTCTCAAACCAAAATCATAATGTGACTGTGGTGATAACTGTTCATCACACAATCTGTAAACAAATAGTCATATCAGCAAAAAATCATCTATTTAATCTTTTAACATAGTTTATTACTGCTGAAATTTTCTTAGCAAATTCTGCCCTTGATTATTATGCAAACTGACTGGGTTTATGACTGGAGTTGAGAATTTATGTTCCTATGTAAACTATAATAAAAACTTATACTACACAAACTTATACAATGAAACGGTCCTGGAATTTCCACTATGACTTTATCTAGGAATGTAAGGGATATGTTATACGAACCAATAAGTCCAAAAGGCCAGTGAAAAATAGTTTTAAGAACATTTTGCTATGTCCATTCAGGAGAATGTCAGGGTAAAATATTTTACTTACTTGAAGAATGGTACAATTTTGCTGGCTAGCTTTTCAGCTTGACGGAAACCTTGAGAGTACAACATGACCTGTGAGATAAGCTGTCTGTTTGGTTTTGTCATGGCCAAGTTACGGAACAATTGTTTCAAATTATCTGGTAAATTAGATCGTCCAGCATAACCAGGATTCATAGTAATAAATATAGCCATATCTGCGTTGACTTTGACTTGCTTACCAATCAATTCAACAGATATAAATTGACCTAAAAATAAAATATAAATTATTTATTATGTGGAAGAGCCAAAAGGAAACAATAGAATGCCTTGAAAGAAATGCTAAATGTATAATAAATTTTATCACTTGTCATGCGCTCAGGTCTTAAGCAGCAGAAAGCAATTTGAGAATTCAGGAGAAAACACACAAAATTGCCAAGTATAATTGTGTGAAAGAAACCACAAATTTTATCACTTGCAATGCATTCAGGTCTTTTATCACTTGCAATGCATTCAGGTCTTAAGTAGCAAAAAAGAAATAAGAGAATTCGCAGTGAACACACTTAAGTTGCCAAGTACAATTGTGTGAAGGAAACCACAAAAGTTACTGAGATAACAGCAGATCAAAGCAGGTGAGTTGGACTGAATGGAAAATTAAGATCCAGTGTACAAAGTGCACTATCTTTACCTTGTATTGCTCTTATTTTATTTCATGTCAATGGATAATGCCAAGTTTAGAAGGATTTTTTTTTTTTAGTAGATGACCTATTAACATACAACCTGTGTTGATATAAAAAATCTTATTACCTTTTTTATCTTGACCAGCGAGATCTTTAAGAGCTTCTTGTATAGTCTGTATTTGTTGTGAAACAGCTGATAACATTCTTTCTTCTAAACGATTAAACTCATCAAAACAACCCCACGCTCCTACTTGACATAGACCAACAAAAATACGACCCATAGCCTGAAATATATCAACAAGTAATTCAAGTTTACTTCAAATCATCTTCATTACAGGCCAGATTCGGCCTCCTAATGGGTGTCATGCACCAAACAGGATATTCTTATTTTTTCAAGAATACCATCTAACAACTTGATTCACTGTAACAATTTATCTGTTTTATATTAATGTGCTGTTTGTTCTATGTTTTGTTGGGCATTGTGACCCGTAATTCTGAGATTAACAAGTTTGTTTGTGAAAAGTGAAAGGAATCACAGCATTATTAACTTAATGTCAGTTAATATGGTCAAAGTGAAAATAACACAACTCACCTGGAAATCAAATGTTTCATCACAGTTGAAAACAAGAACAAATCTTCCCAACTGGTTACCCAAGGCTTTTACAGACTCGGTCTTACCAGTACCAGCAGGTCCTAAATAAGGTAAATGAAGTAAAAGAAATTAATCAGTAGGCCGTAATAATAAAAAAGACTAGGTTCTATTTTTTAATTTTTACAAACTTTGATACAAATTTATTTAAAGTGAATATGGTATTTTGTGAAATTTATTTTTGTGTTAATCATTTAAAACTGAAATATGAGTGAAGTACGTTTTTTTAATTCTCAACTAATTTTTTTGTTAAATTTCAACTGATTTTTTTTATTTTTTTATGGCAACTTATTTGATAACAACAACATTGAGAACGATATGAGAACACTCATTGAAATGTTGTGCTACATAACATGTGTCACAAATCAGTGATTGTATTCCATATAAATTGTGTTGTGTTTTTATTGGTCTCAATTGCTAAATGTCACTCAAAGATTATAACAACATTTATGTTGCTATACCTGTAACACATGGCTAACAAAGAGGTTAAATGTATTCTTTACTTTGTGGGTAGTAAATAATTCTAGTAATATACCTACCAAATGGTGATCCTCCAAGTCGAGCTTCTAGAGCTTGTGTCATAGTTAAATAACATCTGTCTGTCAATGGTGTCTGTACTAATTTATCCTGTACACCTAAATACTCAAACCCATAATTAAACTTAGCATTAGCCATCTGTATGGAAAGTTGTTGCAAGACATCATGGTTTTTAGGGTCAAAGTAGAATCTCATCTGGCATAACCAATCAAATGACTTGACATTGTCGATTTTATTCTTGATCAACATACGTGTTACATCACGTTGATGGACTAATTCAGTGATCTGAGAAAAAATGAAACCTATGCATTCAAAATATTTCTTAAAAAAACAGCTCAATGTCATTCATTAAATGAAATCAGAAATGTTCAGTATTTTATTTGAAGTACCTAATGTCAGAAAGATTAAGTTAGGGGACAGCTATAACAATATTCTCTTCCAAAATTGAACAAGGTTGTGTGCAATGCAATAGAGTTTCTGCATACTCTTTCTACTAATTTTAAATGTTATTACTTTTCTAGGCACTACCAATGTGCATTACTGAATCTCTGCATGACTTCACTCATCTGTTCCACAGGACTTAAATAAGTGAACCCACTTCAGAACATTCCATCCACAAGTACATGTTGCTAAACTAACAATTACATTGATCAGGTTTAAGAATTATATTTACCAAGCTTTCAAGTTTCTTTCTGCGTACAGCAGGTTGCTCTAGTAGAACGGAATCAGCCAGGATATTTAGAGTTGATTCTACACTAGCTAATACAGCATTCATTGGTGCAAGATCTTTATTACCGGTTTGAGCACCTATTGTTGACAATGCAGCATCAGAACTTTCTGACCACAAGATCTGAGCTGCTAGTACAATCAGTTGTGACTAAAATATAATGTGATGATTATGTTAAATTGTGTTTAACTGTAACAGAATAATTCATGAGTAAAAAACAATCTGATTTAGACTCTTGTAGTCAACACCCATGCCCCCAAAATAAAAACTGGTCAAATTATTTGTAATTCAACCATTTCTGACTCTTAAAGGATTAGTAGTTTTGATTAAGAGATTGGACAATTTTGTTCATATGAACAAGAGGCATCTATGATTACCTGATATTTATCCACCCATTCTAAATACTGGGCTGGTTCAATTTTTCCTGCTTTGAATCCTGCCATATCATGAACTGCAGACGCCAAGAGTTTAGCCAAGGTAACTCTCATTTCCTTCTCTACTAGAGTTAACCAGTCATTAATCTTAGGATGTGCAGCTATAGATACTGGCGACGCAAATTCAACCTACAAATGTACAAAATCATTTAAAATTGTTGGTACATAGCTTAGCCAATAGATTGTAGAGTGCAAAAGGTATTAATTTATGAAGAGAGAGAGAGAGAGAGAGAGAGAGAGAGAGAGAGAGAGAGAAATGGGGTTTAACGTCCACTCGACACAAACTAGGTCATTTCGGGACTAACATGGTTTAATTTTATTTACATAATTCGCTTGCGCGTATGGGTCTAATTTATGAAGAAACTTAATCATTACAGCATTTTTGGAAACCAGTCAAATTAAAATTAGACAATGCTTTAGTTTTTATGGGTTTTTTTTTTTACATCATACACTGCATTAAGGTCTAACAACATGAGAGAGAGAAATGGGGTTTAATGTCCACTCGACACAAACTAGGTCATTTCGGGACTAAGATTTGGTTTAATTTTATTTCAATAGGGGTCTTTAGCAGTGGGAGGAAACCGGAGGATCCGGAGAAAACCCACGACATTGGACAGGTGAACCTGCTCCTTGTCACGTACAACCAGGGATTCGTAACCACGCCAGTTGACTCAATGACAGACCTTATGATACAGGGCGCACGTACTAACCATTCGGCCATACAACATGAACTGACCTCACATCTAACCAACGATTAGATGCTTAGGGATAGTTTTAACCAATCACGATAGCGGGAGATAGAATTCAAAGCGAACAGAATATTGATACGAAAGTAATGTGGTGTAGGCCAGCCAAAATTAGAACAAAAGAGAATAAAGACCTAATTTTAATTAGGTTATTTGGAAACCCACCGATTCTCCTTCTTTTGACATCAGACCAGTTACATGAGAATCATCTTCTGTTAATACTATAGATGATACACCAGCAAACATCTTTTTAAAATGTTTCTGTAATCGTGGTATATTTTTACTATTACCAATAATCTCCAATAAATCTTCATCTCCCACAAAATAAAATCTAGAACAAAACAAAATGAGTCATTACTACTGTCTTTCAAAAGAAATCTTACAAGTCAAAGTTATTAGAGAGCTACAAAAGAATGCATCAGATTTAGAAATCAGTTATCTACATTTAAAAAGTTGATTTTTACTTATATGTCCCTTAATATTGCTCTGTAGATGGCTCTGCTTTACCATCTGACAGTTCTTAGATAGATTAACATTGTCCTTGCTGATATAAAATCCAGCGTTTTCCAAGATTTAAATTGAAATAATTCCAGTGCATAATTCAATATTTTTCTATAAACGACTGATGATTTAAACAGTCATCAATCCAATGGTTCATAAACTAAAACATTTCTGTTGAAACACATAACTTTACTATTTATATCCATCTTCCAAATAATATATTAATTACACAAATTTTAAAAGGTAAAACACACCTGGGGAATGAGGATCTTTCTCTTTCTAGATATTCTCCTAGAGCCTTTTGTATTTTACCCAGTAAATCAGCCAATCTTTCTAGTTGTCGCTGACTGTTTTGTATATTGAGAACATCTATGACTAATGGTGACTTTGCTACTCTTTTCATCAATCCTAAAAATTCTGTGCTAACTCTGAAAACAAATATACATAAATTCATTTTATTTATAAACACTATCTTCTATTTCCGAGGTTAACTTTTGTTAACTGAATTCTAAATATTGTGACAAGTTACCTCTCCTACGTTTGTTCTTACAAATTAGTTTAACAGATGTTCTCTCCCTTTAATTGTTATAATCTGCCTAGACCATGTATAGAATGCAAGCAAGTAGACTGATAGGAATGGAAATGTCCAAAATGGTGTTTCATAGTTTTGCAAAAGATATGATTAATCATCCCAGACCTTCGAATCTACAGACTATCCACAAACCTTACTGTATGTGCACCCAACAAAGATGCTGAAAAAGATAGAACTTACCCTTGGAATCTGGAGGTTTCTATAGGTAAGAGATGCTTAATGTCAGCACTGCCAGTAAATATACCCTCTAAATATACCCAACGTCTCTGTACATCAATCCATACATCAAATAATGCATTAATACGATTTAATTTATCTTCCCATGCTAGAGCATCTTCTTCAAATTGCTACAAATATATCAAAATAACATAAATAATTTAACGAATTATTACATTTTCTGTTGATAAAGAAATTAATATGTTGTTTAAACTGTTAATGACTTATGATCATATTAATACTCAAAGCTGTTGTTCAGTGACCCATGTTCGGTCAAATTAAGTTGACATCATTTATAAAGACACCATTAGACAAACTATTTGCCATGCTTGAAATAATTATTTGAAACACTGCTTGATTAAAAAAAAAGTTCATTTTATTAACAATATTTCACCAAAATTACCTTATAATATGGTGATAACTTCATAGCCATAACACTGTTCAGATGTTCTTTCACTTTGGTAAATAAATCATCCCAACCTCGAATAAGACGACATCTATTCTGATAGTTGATCAATTCTAATTCATAACTTCTCCATACCTCACTCACCTACAAGATAAACACATTTAATACACATTCTTGCTATGCAAGAGCAGGAAGCCACAGCAGATACCATTTTAAAGAGGACTCTTTCATGATTAATGAGAATTTATGACTGTTTATCAGTAACTTATATTTAGAAAATAGTTTGTGGAATGTATCAAAAATAAATTACAGTTGGATTTATCATTTCAAATTTTGGAATTGGATTATCGCAATTCCCAAAACAGTGAAAAGAGAGTCAACACAAGAATATCGGGCAACAATAAATATCTCCAATCACAACAGCTGAAAATGTCTCGATATTACTCACACCACATCTGTTACCTTGGCTGACACAGAAATGTGATATAATGTTTTACAATCAAGTAATATCTTGGTTTCTACTACACTTACTTGTTTCAAGAATTCTTCCAAGGCCATTTCACCCTGTGCGACACTGATAACATCTCTGATGACCGGTTCATGTCTCTGTAGATCTATATCCCATACATGACCTAAAGTTAACTCTGATAATACCCAGTTGACATTCAGTCTCTTCATCAACTGTTTCCAATGTCTTTCTTTTAATGCTTCAGATTTCAATTCCACAATAAGAACATTAACCTATACATAGAAATATGAAAAATCATTTTTTTAAATATTATTTATTATACAATTCAATATCTTAATATTACATCTTTGTATTATAATCTAAAATCATGAAATTCAACTTGTGACCGTAGAATACACGCAGGTAGAATACATTCCTTCATTACTATACATTTTTTCTCATGGTCTATTAAAACCAAAACTTTCTAGATTTTGATAACAGAACAAGGTCATCTAATATACGTAACAAAAACCAACCTTGGCGTAACCTTGAAGACATCTTTTTACATGTTCATAGGAAGCATAACCACGTAATCTGGCTGGCAGTTCTTTCAACTGATTCAATAACGAATCTAAAGATTGTCGGAGCTGAAAAATAAAAAAAAGTATTTTCTCAAATAAGAGTTGCTTTCCATCATACAAACAAGATGTGTCTCGAAATGTGTGCACTGGTAAATACTTGGTTCATTTAATTCAAACTGCCAAAAGATATGTCATATGTTCCACCAATTTCTTTTTGTACTATCCGAACTACAATATCCCAGATCACTGTCCTAAATGTAAGTTTACTATCAGTAGATAAATAGAATAAAATATACCTTTCTTGGTGCTACAGATAGCCATGGCTTCTCTTTAAGTTCATCAATGAGTTCCCAAACTTTACTAAGCTCACTCCATACACCTTTAAGATCCTGTAATTCCTCTAGAGCCACACCTACTCTTTCTTGGCTGGGACTTGTATGACCTAAAATTTATAAATCAATCAAAAATCCCTTTCACAATTGGACCTTTTTGGACAGTTAATGTAATTTAGTTGGTCAATAAGCAACTCAGAAAATCTGAGCATTTCAATGATGTATGGCATGGTGCTTTCTTTTGTCAGTTTTAAAATATTTTATGTGAAATAAAGTGAAGGGAGATGATGTATTTTAAAAGAAAACAATAAAATATGAACAGACAGCTTGTGTTATGTCACTTATCATTAAGAACTATAAAGTAAAATATTTTACCTGGTTCAGCTAATTCTAAAGCTTCTTTAGCCTTGGCTATATTATCTCTTTCTTCCTTTAATCTACTAAATTTGCCTTCAAATATTGTAATAGCTTTCAATGCACTATCTGGTCTCAGATCACCCTGAAATGGTTAAACTAAACTTTGAAATCTACTGTAAGAGGTTTAACTACTATACAATGAGGGTAGGAGAAAGGTGTCAAGATTGTCTTAGAAAAAGATTGAATTATGTGAATTTTCAGGTGCATTAACAACACAATCTAAAGTTTCACATAAGAAATGCGAGACATAAATACTATTTTTTGTATATGGGATATATATCAACACTGTGTTTGATAAATTATATTGCACAGTAGAATACTAAGTATAGTGACTTTAAAAGTTTTATGATTGCTGCCATAAATGCTCAACAAAATGTCCATTGGTACCCTATATGTTATCAAAGTCAATTGATCCATGGGCAAGGGAATACTGTGGCAATGATGATAAATTTCACTAAACAAGGATGAACAATTTTAGGAAGTTCTTTTCATGATAGAATTTTGAGGAGATTAACATATGGTTATATTTCTATGGTAATGGGGCCTCAGAGATTCTAGTTAAGAGTCCTGTTCACTCAGGACCAACAAGACTCCTATTAATCAGTACTTACATCAACAGGTTTATCTTTCTCCCAGTCTACTAACATATCAGTTGTTTTAGTTTCAACAATCTTATCCTCAGATACAATCTTCATCTGTAAACTAGCTACTTGTGTCTGTATAGATGAATCTTTACGTTTCATTATATCTGTAAAGGCACCCCACTCTCCATCCACATTATCTATATATAACCAGTTACTAGGAAACTGGAAACGTTGTCGTTCTAGAATACGTTGTCCTTCTTTATACATCTACAAGACAAGACATTACAATCTTTTTTAGAACAAGTCTTCTTTATAAAACAAACTTCAGTAAAGATAGGACATATGCTGTAATCATCACTGGTGTGATAAATAGTACAGTGAATACCACATGAAAATTTAAATAAAGTTTTATACCCGGTTTAGATTCAGTGCTGACTATACTTATCATTTCGAGACTAACATATGGTTCAATTTTATTTCAATAATTCTCTTGCGCGTAGGGTTCATCAGCAGTGGTCTGAAACCGGAGGACACAGATAAAACCCACCAGGTTGGACAGGCGACCCTACTCCTTGTCACGTACAACCGGGGAATCAAAACCATGCCAGTTGACTTAATGACAGACCTTATGATACAGCGCGCACATGTTAACCATTCAGCCATCCACCCCCCACCCCACCCCATCCACATCTTTTGCAAAATACATATCCAATCCTTAGCACATTTACTAGTAGTAACCATAACAGTGCATAATATTCACTTAATGTACCCTATGTGGTTTAGAAGAGCTTAAGTTGGAATATTCAATAGAAATTATGGAAATTTCTGTCAAATTCCATCCAACATTTCACGATCTTTGGACATAGATCAGACCCATTACCTCATTATAGCTGTCAATTCTCTTAAACATTCTCTAGGAAACGGAAAATATCCAGATTGGGGATCTAACTTACTATCATCTGCAACATTTTTCGCCCTACACATTCTATTACTTCTGCATATTTTTAACCCCTTAACTGCGTAGTTTTTAAAACGTTAACTACCCCCTACTGCGTAATTAATTTGATGAAAAATTACATTTTGGACCTTTTCATTCCTTGAATACAAAATTTGGGAGTCCGAAACCAAATTAAAGCTAACGGTATATAGAGTTGTCTCCCTTCAATTAGATTTCCTCGACCAGGCGTAATATAACGTCTTACACATGCTGCGATCGTGTTCGAAGAATAGGTTGGGGAAAATACCTCCAGGACGTTATATTACGTCCTACACACAGTTAGTGGCAGTTGTCCAGGACGTTATATAACGCCCTACGCAGTTAACGGGTTAAATATAAATATTACTTACATCAACTTGTTTTTCCCAAGTGTTCATTTTTCGTTTCAATGATTGCACGTGTGTAATAAGACCAACAGCTTCTGATGTATTTGCTGTATCTAATGATTGTTGTTCTAAATCACTTCGAGACTGTAAAATAGACAAATCTATTAAGAATGTATGTCAAATTTGATTTTCTTGATTGTAGAGGATTTTTTCAAATCTATATTTAGATTCAATCGCATTTTGTAGAAAAAGAATATATTGTTTCACTAAAGACTGCAAATCATCTACTGTAAACTATAAAATCAATATTAGTCAAAGATTAATCACCTAATGACATGGAAGTGACTTATGAATTTCATGTACAGGAATAATTTTCATATAATTCCTCTATGCAATATAATTCTATGTATGCAGGGTATATAAGGCCACACAAAATAAATGTCTTGTTTCTCGGGCAACTGACAGCTGAAACTGTAGGGAGGGAGGGCGGTTTCTTTTTTTTTTTTTACTCATTGATGGTGCAAAATAAAATTTGGCTATTGCTGAAAATTGTTGGGGCGGGAGGGCGGTCTTTCTTTTTTTTTTTTTTTAAATGAGAAAGTCATTACTTGTTTACGTTTTTGCTTTCCGTTATATTCAACTTTATTGTACATACTTAAAACATAAACCCAAAATCAAGTCTACTAAAACACTGAGACTGAACACTGACTGAAAGGAAAATAATTTTCCATATTTAATTCACATAATTGAAATTGGTTTAAAATAAAATTCCATATACGACTATGTAATAGCCCTCCATAAAGACAACAATATTTTTAAAAACTAAGCCTCTTTCACCAGGTGTATCAAAAATAATAATCATGGTAAACAGTATTTAAAACTAAATCTAGTATCGCCGGTTTATTTATAATTATTTACCGAATTCCAACCAATGCATGTCACACCGTGTCATCGGTATTGGAGATTGCCGGAAATACTGTTTCTTGGGATATTCGGTGTGTTTCTCAGGATATTCGGTGTTCTATCCGGTGTTTATATTGAATGACTATTTAAATCTAACTAACAACTGGTCAGTAAAACCATCAAATCGGTAATCCAATTATTATTTTCCGGATTATCGAAACTACCGTAAATGTGCTAATAATGACCCAGATTCTAAGGTATCGTATTCTTAGCTATAATTAATTAACCTGTTCTACGGTTCATTATTTTATCAATAGGATTTTCCAAACAAGGACCGACTGAAGCCGGCAATAATGAGCCGATTACGATCGAATGATTGAAATATTGTCGCCAATGACTTTTAACACGAATCAAATTCTAGTTTATCAGGGGAGGTAATTAATATCACGTGATACAAAATGGAGGTTCTTTCGATATCAATAAAAAAGGCAAATCTGCCAAACTTCGCCATTGTTCGGATAAAAAAGACAGCATGTTCATCTGAATCAGTTTTAATACATTTGAATAGATATACATGTATGGCGGATGTAGGTACATGCGGGATATTTTTTTTACGACTTGCTTGTCGATGTGCGGGCGGGCGTTACATATTTATTTTTTTTCATCAAGACTAATAAATAGACTGCACGCGCAACCAATTTTGCGTGCGGGCGGTGCCCGAGAAACAAGTTATTTTATTTGTGTTGCCTAAGTTATTTAGTTCAGTATTCCATCATATTGTGGTACTTACCTTAGAAACTTGAGCATGGAATTCAGTCATTTCATTACCCAACATAGAACCAAATTTACTGAGTACTTCTTTATGCCATGAATCATATTTCAGTGATACTTTAGATTGAACCTATAATATTTATGGTAAATTGTATATTATTGAATAATTCTGGCATCTATCTACCAAAAATTAGTCTTCGATTATATTTAATTGCATTGATTTTAGAACGCAAACACCACCCTGTACTGAATTTTTGTGCTACAATGTACTCTCCTGTTTATAGCAATAAAGTATATTGCTTAAAGAAATAATACTCTAAAAAATGAGGACGAGTCACATATAAAGCTTGCTAACCCTTATGCCATTTTTCTTTCAGGGTTTTTGGAGACAGATTAAGATCATTATAATAAATTAGGACATGATCTTTTTAAGCCCATAAGAATTTAGAGGTATATGTTAGTCTCAGTACCTTAGAGAACTGTACAATTACTGGTCCTATTTCTTTCTGGGTTTCAGATGTATCAAATGTCTTTCTCGAAGATCTGAAACAGAAAATTTATAATGTGATCAAAGGCACAGCTTTGTAGATATATCTCAAAACTATTAACTTTGCTTCATCAAAATATAAAAGTATCTGGTACATCTGGCTGTGCTTATTCAGCAAGAGCAATAAATCACTCGATAATCAAACTAACTATATCTCAATCCTCCTAGTTGTCAGGCATACTAATTCTTTTAGGTAAAACTTACTTTATTTCTTCTAATGTGTTCATCCATAGTTTAAGATTGACACCCATACGGCCATACAGAACATCAGGATTTAAATCCCATAGAGACTGATAGCGTAACCATACCTATAAATTAATAATGGTTCCGTTAGGTGAAATAATTACACATCAACCAAAATAAAAAGTCTTTCTTTATATTATCAATCATTAGCTATGTTCTTAATTATCTCAATAACTAATTTGGATTTTTGTATATCCACTATTTTACACATTTCAAGATGTCTTAACACAGGCTTATGCTTAATTCCAAATCTAACATGTAGGTAATACCTATATATGTTCAATGAGATAACCAAGATTCTGAATTGACACAATAGTAATTGGGTGAAGCAAAATTAAGTCCTGACAAACTTCAGTCAATCCAAAAGACTGGTGTGTGGAGAATACTGACATAATCTACAAAGCGAAAATGTCGAAACTGGTGATGATATTTTACTAAGTGCCCACAAAATCATTTTTGCAATGCAATTTTACTTACGTTAACATATTCCTTCAATTCTGTGACAGTTTTACTAATAGCACTGTAAGCATCTTCTAATACACTAGAACCACTTGGTAATTTAGTTAATACATTTCTGTAGGTCATATCCGCTTCTGAATCCACATCTAAGCCTTGCACCTAGAAAAATTACAAGGTCCATGGGGGCAATTTCACAAAAGTTTGTAACTTTAAGAGAAAAAACTATGTTAGAAAAACTTATGAAAAAGATACGAAATATTTACGCTGGTCTCACAAAGGCTGACGTAAGTTTTTCCGTCACGATGGTCTTGACGTCATGTTGCTTCACTCCATTCATACTTCTGTAAACATTCTCACGGTCTGAATTTTGACAATGTCTGCACTTATAACGACGAAAATAATATATTCCTTATTTATATGCTTAGATTTTACTGTCAATTTATGAATAAAATGCTATTTTCATGCCTTTTGTTTACTTGTTTTTGTTTACTACAGCCTACGGCGTGACATATTAGCATAAGTCGCCTGTCTATCAGAAAACAGTGTCATACTATTTTGAAATTTGATAGGTTTCTTTCTCATACCCAATTTCAGAGATCCGTCCTGTATCATCTTCACAAGATTTAAAAAACTGGAATGTAAACAGGGGAATAACTGATGTGCAATCTAAAAAAAAACTAAGTTTTGATAGCGTTTCTCATTTAGTTGAATTGAACAATCCCTCTGAAGCTTGAAAAATTTACATCACAAATTTTGTCATGTATTGTCTTCACAGGCTTTAAAAGTAACAAATCAACACTACTCTTTTTCGAGAATATACACCCAACTAACCTTATATCTAGAATGTTGTATACGTGGTAGTCCAGTAATAACAGCTTCCCATGCAAATAATTCTTGTAGAATATTAAATCTTGCATCTTCCATTGGTGGATTCAAATAAATAACTTGATTGGTGATTCGCAACTCATGTATTAAGGGCTTAAATGGAAAATACATTTTTATAAACAAAATATTCAACACTTGCAGTTATGGTCTTTGAAATATTAACTTCTTGTGAATAGTATTAGTAGAATTCAATGTGTTTTTATTACCTTAATCTGTGGTTCACCACCAGGTTTAGGTGCTGGTGTTTTAGGTTCATCTGTATCCATAGAATGATCTACAGTATCTTCTTTCCTGGATAAGCACACAGTCCATGCCTTTAATCCTGCTTCTAGACGAGCTGCCAACCTTCTCTCAACCTAATATAAAGATACACACTAAATATATTCTAAACAGTTGCTATTTCATTATTTAATTTCTGAACTATTTGTATCTTCTTACAATAAGGGCTGACAATACTAGAAAAGACTTGATGAAAATACATGTGTAACAGGTTTTTATAACAGTCAACAGAACAAAATTCAGAGAGAGAGAGAGAGAGAGAGAGAGAGGGAGGAGGAAACCAGGACCGGGTACTGCTTGTCACATACAACAGGGGAATCATAACCACGTCAGTTGACTCAATGACAGACCTTATGATACAGTGCACAGAAGCTAACCATTCGGCCATCCACCCCCACCCCTAAACAAAATTCAACAACACCCAAATTTTAGCAGAAATTCTTAACATATACATCTCTGTTCATAGACATACACTGGGACTTCCTCGATATGTACATTTCAGTGAATATCCTGGATTTCCACAGCATTTTAATGACAACCATGGATGGAAAATCATGTTATTATAACATTGATTGATGTACCAGTAGTCAGGATCTCAAAAATCAGTATCAGATCTTAGGTTAAATTCAAATATTTTCCTACCTCCTCATCCATCTTGGCTACCCACTGTGGTAAATTGGAGAATGAATGAAGACTGAGATTATCAACAGCTTTCTGTATCTTGTTGAGGATATCTTTAAAGGTGGAGGCATTATAATTACAGATATCTAAAGCTTTTACTTCTAGTTCTATCTCATCTTCCATAGCTAATAAATCATCAACCTATAAATAATATTACACATTAATCATTCATGAAACAAACACTGAACATTTTTATCTGATTCTAGTTTAGTAGTCGTAATGGGCTCTATGAGTTTTCAAATCCAATTACCAACCTACAAATCTTTTAAACTATTCTTTTAAAAGTTTCCAGTAGGTTCTATCTTAAATATTAAATAGGAAAATGAAACCAAGAGAGAGAAATTGGGATTAACAGTCACTCGACACAAACTAGGTCATTTCGGGATTAACATATGCTTCAATTTTGACGTAGGTTTTCAGCTGTTGGCGAAAGCTGAAGGACCCGGTGAAACCCCACAAGGTTGGACAGGTGACCCTACTTCTTGTCAGGTACAAGCAGGGAATCGAAATTGTGCCACTTGACTCACAGACCTTATGGTTTCACACGCAAACCACTAGAGCAGCCAACCCCCCCTGGAAAATGAAACAAGTTGAAAATATTCTATTTAATGTAAGAATAACAATTTACTACGATCTTTCCTTGACAGAAAACCTTATCTTACCTTTTCTTGGAATGTAAATACACCATCTGATAGTCTTTGTACATATGTATCTAGTTTGTACGATTCCCATACTAATCCACATCCCTATAATACACAATCAAACATTTATTCAAAGTTATTACACTATACAGAACAGATACTTAACCTACAATGAGGGTTCTAACAACGTGACATTACTTTTCAACATTCTTGATGAGAGAAGAATTTTGCCAACCAGAAGACATATTTTTCTTACCTTAATTCCAACTGCCAATATATTAAATGAATACAAAAGATGATGACACCACAGAAAACTATGCGAAGAGGTAATGCAAATTTGTGGTAAGTATACACTATGTATCAATCTCAAGTCAATCACATAAAAACTTTAGCTTCTAGAGCTGGACAGACACTCCATGGTGGCAACATGCCATGACAATATATAATCACATTTCTGAGAATCATGTTCCCAATAAAAGCTGTTTGATAAAATGTGGTTTCTATGTGTATCTCCATCTAAAGAGTGAAAGGTCCATTCTTACCTCTGATATTAACTCTTGTACTTCCTTTCTTAATCCAGCAACAAGTAACGATAGGTTACTCTTATTGTCAATCTAAAACAATAAATAGTTTCTTATAAAATAATTAACTTCTATTTAACAAATATTAACAGTACAGAAGAGAAAACTTGACGACTTGATACTACGCTCGTAATTTGAAGATAGTTTTCATTAAACACTGACAAATTTTTTTTTTTTAAAGGTTTGTCTTTTCTTTTCTTCATGTCACAGAATGAGGGAATGGAATACCTGATACCACTTTCCTACAAAAACATTCAGTTATTATGTCCATTGGAATTTATATTTTGACTGATATTCTGTATTTATCTACACTTAAAATAAATTCTGTCTTATTTGACCATACCTTTTCCAATGCACTTTCATATGTTTGTACACTTTCAATCAATGAGATCGCAAATGGATAGAGTTGGTTTGCCTGATGAGCTTTGTTGACAATTACCAAAGGTACTCGGAAACCAAGCCACCTTAGATTTCTGACCTGTAAATAAATAACATAATTAAGCATGAGAAGATTTAACTGCACCATCCTATTGTTTTTACAATGTATAATGGATAGAAATAAAACAATTTTTCAACAAAGATTGTATCACATCAAACTTAAATTAACCAAAATTCATGAATTTTGATGATATATATCATATGAGCACATACTTGTAAAGTGCAATTGACATAATTGGTAATGAAATGGCATTTAAGATAGTACTTTCTTGCATGAACCAGGCTACTGAAGACAGGCATACACTGTGTAGAGTGCTATGAGGGAAACTTTGCTCAGTAGGACACTTTCACCTATTCTTTTACAATCCCACCAAAATGTACACAGGACCTCTCTTTTTTGTCAGGCCCTCCTTCCTTTACCACTGACAAGGAAAACTACACCGAAAAGATCGATACTCTGACCTCTTGTTTAGTGACCAGTTTAAAAAAGAAACACAACCACATAGGCAACATGCTTGGAATGCTGGCCACTTCACCCAGATCATTTATCAAGACATGTTTGAATTCATTTTTTAGTCAAAGGTATGCCGATAAACTGATTATGCACTAAAGTATGAGGCATGTATAATATTGTCATATTCTATTTTTAATTACAAAAGATCAAAAATACAGAAGATATCTTCAGATAAGATTTCAAATATGAATAAATTACATGATAAATCAAAAAATCCTAACCTCCTTTGCCAACTGAATAATCTCGGGTTGAAAGTTTGTGGAAAGTTTTAAAATATTTCCTTTGTTAGGAACACGAACGGTGTTTATAACAAATATCCTTCCAGTCACATTCAACTGACGATTCTGAACCTGAAATGGAAAATTAAATGCAATACATGGCATCAAAATTTCTGTAAGGGAATATTGAGATTCATGATCATTTTCTGAAAACAGGTGTTTAGGCATTGTAGTAGATTAAACTCAATCCATCACAGTCTCAAAAACAATATGTGTTATAATAGTTCAAATTCAGAATAGGCAAGTATTTAGGCATTTCTTTAGACAGTGGCTGTAATCTGGAGTAAGTCCACAGATAAGGCATTGTAAAAACCCTCAATCATGTTAGTAAAAGGCTGATTAATGCCTTAGACCACCCAATTAACTTTCCATAATTCTCGATAAATCTTATATTTACTGACCTTTCTTGTCCAATCATCAAACAATTCCTGTGTATTGAGTTTCATACGGAAACTATCTCCATCATTTTTCAGTTTCTGACCTTCAACATGACTTTCCCATCCTTTTCCCAATACATCTTCTACTCTTCTCATATAAGCATTTAACTGTCTCTCAATCTACAAGAACAAAACAGAGCAATTAAAACACAGACAAAAACAGTATGCATTTAATCATATTGTCATATTGTGGTATATTCTATATCATTGTGATCTGAAACCTTATGTTTAAGCAGACACAAGTTGTCTCCCTTATGTTGTAGTTCTTCTGCCTTTTAGAGTAATAAAGATAGAGATTGGAATTCTAACATGGAGAATGGTTGATTTTTATTTTCACCCACATATAAATGTGTAACACCCCTGGATCCAAGGATCCGAATACAACATGGTGGAGATGCAAAACATCCTAAACTTATTGTGCTTCATATTTTGTATGTTTTTCACCAAACTATGGATTTAATCAGATTTTTGTGACAGTTTAAGAGTACCATGTGCTTTTCATATCTGTGCCATGTGCTTTCCATGTGCTTTCTTAGAATGGACTAAGCAATACTGCTTGACTTTACTGTATATCTTGAACTCTACTGATATTAGTCAACTGATGGAACTTTAATCAATCTAGTATCATTCTAATTTTGAGAATTTTCATTGTGCAGAGAATTACATTTACAATTTACTAAATGAATCACAGATGAGATCAGATTGAGATAGCCCTACATTGCCTACAATTATCCAAAGTCTGAAATTATTTTGGAGAGCCTAGTCTTGAAGACAGAATAATTTAAACCATGTTTATGTTCAACTTACATCATCATTACCTAATTTTCAATTCATACTATGATTTCGATCCAGTTTCCAGTTTTATGTGACTGTGAATGTAGTAATATTATTTAGTATTCTTGAGCAGGCAGTGTGGTGTAGATCATAATCCCAGAGAAGACCAATTATTGTAGATGTAGTACAGGCCTACCGACTTTTAATTCTAGCCTTAGACAGTCCAGTGACAATTATAACATAACATGCCAGTTTTTAGCTTCATACTGAATAGTATTTAATAGTAATAGTAACATTTTGAAATCTACAGTCTACAGTGATTTGATGCATATGCAGTTGCAGTGACATTTGTGCGATATTTTCCTATATAAATCATTTGTTCAATTATCGACATTCATTGAATATTATTGACTTGTGTTTTTTTTACCTGCTTGGTTATCGTTGTTAGGATATTGTATGATTGTATTGTATGATTGTGTTGGGTGAATGTGTTATTGTGTACAGTACTTGAATTTCCATTTTGTTAATTTGATATATTGTTTAGTAATTAGTTTTCTAACATTTTGTAAGCTTGATACATGTATATATATTGTTTCATAATTAATTTTGTGGCATTTCATAAGTTCATTTTGTACAACTTTGAAATGGCTCAAGGTAAGCCCTTTAATGCTGATAAATTTGATGGGTCTATCCTAAGTAGGGATCTTGCTACAGCACATTATTTGACTTTCGTGGATTATTTAGAACATCATAATCATGATCAGAACCCTGTCAATGTTGCAGGAATTAATGTGATGGTTGGTCTCTTCAGGCAAACATTAAAAAGCAAAGCACGTCTATGGATAGAAGGTAAAGTGTTCCGAAGCTTGGCAGATCTCCGCACTCAGTTTATTGAGAGATTTTCTGATAATCGGACGCCCTTTGGTTTGCATAAGGATTACGCTTCATTTTGTTATGACGAAACTAAACCGCCCTCTGAAAATTTAGAGGAACTTCAGAGATTAGGAAGACAGTTGGACATAGCTGATGCACAACTGCGATACAAGTTTGTTTCCATTTTGCCATCATTATGTCAACAAGCTGTGGCAATGTCAATTAATGACAGGACTTCTATTTCTGACATAGCTCTCAAAGCTCAGTATTACTTTGACATTCACAAGAGTGACAGTAAAACTAAGGAAGTAACCTTTTTCACGGCAGAAAATGACAAGGATACTGAGATAGCACACTTAAAACAAGATTTAGCTGATCTTAAGCTAGAGCTGGAACGCCCATCACGACAATTTGCTTCAGGTTTTTCTTCTCCTCGGAGACGGTCATCTTCTCATCATTCTTCTTCCAATGATAATCGACTCATCGATCACTCAATCAGTCCTAAGGCACGCCATACCAATGAATTTCGACCTCATAGCCCTAGACAAAATCAAAATTCTCATTTCTCAAGACATAACAACAGATCATATTATAACAGTCGATTTTCTTCAAGTCGTCAAGATTTTTCTCCAAATCACCGAGAATTTTCTCCAAGACGTCAAGATTTTTTTCAAAGTCATAGGAATCGTCAAATTGTCTGTGACTACTGTGGAAAGCCTAACCATACTTGGCGCTCTTGTTTCGTCCGCCAAAGGCACATGGCTGACAAACATAATCAGGATTTTTAATACAGGGAATTTGTTCCATTGCTCCGAATAAATTCCCGATGTCATCATCACAGACCAAACCTTTAAACATACAATTGTCAAAACGTAATTATTGTAAAGGTAATTTCCCTGATGGACATTCTGCTTTACTTTTGTTTGATAGTGGTGCTACTCGATCACTAATCTCATCATTTACTATTGAGTCATCTTCATATCTCAGTAGTTTACCACTTCATAAATTAGAACAATCCCTAAAATTTAGAATGGCTAATGGTCAACTAATAGTTTGTTCTCATTCGCTACAACTTGAGATAGTTATTCAAGGTCATACTTTAGTTTTTGAAGTGTATATTGCTTCCAATCTTGTTGGAATTGATTTGATCGTTGGTCAAGAGACATTGGCAAAGTTGGATGCCAACCTTAGTTTTAATAACAATGTTTTGCAGTGTCGATCTACCAACATTTCATTCTCAACATCTAATTCAGTCTATGTCAAACCCAATCAGCAACGTTATGTTACTGTTCATGGTAAAATTCCAGGTATTTTTCGCAATCGCGAGGTTTTAATGACATGTAATAGTAAGATTAAAAGTGCTTGTCCTTCAACATTTCTTATCAAGCTAAAAAGAAATAGTGCTGTGATTCCAATATGTAATACAACTTCCAAGACATTACATATTCCATCATCTAGACCTATATCCCATGTTTCACTACATGACATTTTCGTTTGTGACTCTATTAATATATCTACAGAATATGAGTCTAATTACACCAGTCATTCATCAGACTCTGTATTTCGCTCTACAATTGACCTTACCAAAAGTCTTCTTACAGCCAACCAGAAAGACAATTTCTACCAGCTTTTGACTAAACATAAAGAAGCATTCAGCTTGAATGGCGAAATCGGAAAATGTCCCAATATCCAAGTTGATATTGACGTCACTGATGACAAACCTTTTTATATTAGGCCTTACCCTAAAACCGAAAAAGAAAAACGTATAGTTGATCAAGAGTTACAGAAATTAGTGAAGTTAGGAATACTTGCAGTTGGTAGTCAAGCCTACACATCACCTGTCTTGATTCTTCCAAAGAAGGGAACCAATGAAAAGCGAGTCGTTGTAGATTTCAGATATTTAAATTCGCGGATTAAGCGCTTAAATCATCCGTTTCCACTGTTGACAGACACTCTGAAGAGAATTGGTAACGCTTCACCTGCTGTTCTTAGTTGTTTAGATCTTAAGTCGGCCTTCTTTTCCCTTCCTTTATCGCCTAAAGCTCAACAGTACACAGGCATATCTTCATACTCTGGTGGAAAACATTACTATTTTAAGAGACTAACACAAGGATTATGTATATCTCCAGCGGTTTTTCAATCAACAGTTGATAATGTTTTAGCAACTATTCCAAGTAGTTACGATTTCTGTATCGCACACCATGATGATATAATTGTTTTTAGTCATGATACTGATTCTCATACACAACATTTAAATCTTCTTTTTAAGGCCCTTATTCAACATGGTTTAAAAATTTGTCCTCGTAAATGTGCATTTTTTCGTCAGGAAGTTACATATATGGGTCATAAAATACAACTTGGTTCAGAAGGCCTAGTGACTATTCAGCCTTTGTCAGATAGGTGTAAAGCCATTCAGAATCTTCCCAGGCCTAGGTCAACCAGAGATGTACGACGTTTTGTGGGCGCTGTCAATTATTTGTCAAACTTCTTGCCCAGTTTGCAATCCATATTGCAACCTCTACATAAGATATCCAATAAACGTTCGGTTTTCAAATGGTCAGAAGCTCAAGAAACAGCCTTCACTAAAGTAAAATCTTTGTTAGTAAAGCCACCCGTTCTATATATGCCTTCTGGCACCGGACGCTTAACCCTTTACAGCGATACATCTCGCTTTGCAACAGGATCTTACCTTACTCAAGTCATTCAAGGTCAAGAACGACTGTTAGGATATTACTCAAAACGCTTACCAAAAGCTTGTGAAAGATATTCCGTTACTGAATTAGAGTTATTCGGATTACTCATAAATATTTCCAATTTCCAGTATTTATTACGTGGAGTAGAATTTGATGCATACGTAGATCATGCAGCCATCATTCATCTATTTGATTCAAAACGTGCACCTTGTACAAATCGACTTCAGAAACTTTTAGTAAAACTCTCCCATTTTTCCTTCAAGATCGGTTACAAAAAGGGAAAGGAGCTAGTTCTCGCAGATTTTTTGTCTCGTAATCCCCTTGAGGATGATTCAGAGATAGATTCAGTAGTTCCTACAGCATTTACTTTAACAGAAAGACCTATAACTCGTCAGTGGGCAAAACAACAGAACATACCCATTCCGGATCTTAATTCCTCAAAACAAAAGTTATCTTCTTCATCTATGCTTACCAATCCTCCAGTTTCAGCAAATCAACAATCTCTTCATAATTTTCCCATTGATTTTGAAGATAGATCCAATGATAGACAAGCCGTCTCTACATCAAAGTCTGGCAACAAGTCTCATACTATTCAACAATCAACTCAGCAAGAGTCTACTCCCTTGTCTTCTGTTTATGCACCACCTTCTACTTTTCCCAATGAACCTCGACTTGTTGACCGAATCCTTGACTCAGACACACCCAATGTTGAAATACCTATTGAATTGTGCATGCCTCCTAGCCCAGTTGTTCATAATTCTGCACAGGTTGTTAAATCTCATTTTCCGAAACAGCGAGAGTTGGATAAATTACTTTCAATCATCAAGAGAAAAATGATACGAGATTACAATCTTCCTATTGATTGCAATCAACTGCGTATACAACAAGAGACATCACCATATTTTAAACCCATTTATGACTATTTATCTCACGGTATACTTCCTTCCAACCGTGCAGCGGCCAAATCGGTTAAGAATAAATCTGACGAATATATTCTCTATGATAATGTATTATTTCGTCTTATTATTCATAAGGATGAAACATTTAGTCTCCAGTTGGCAATTCCTGAATCGATGTGTTCTAATTTAATCAGTATTTACCATGATAATATTCTATCCAGTCATCAAGGTATTACCAGAACTTACCTCACCATGCGGAAACTTTTTTATTTTCCACAGATGTTTCACACCATAGCTAATTATATTAGCAGCTGCCATCCATGCCAACAGTTTAAACCAAAGTCAGACGATGTTCGTATTTTTCATCCACGAATACCTACCGAATTTCGAACTTTCGATAAACTTTGCTTAGATTTTAAATCCATGCCAGCTTCACCCAGTGGATTCAAACATTTAATGGTGATATGCGACGAAATAACTAGATTTATACTGTGTGTTCCATTGAAGTCTCTTGATGCGGAAACTATTTGTGAGGCTATCATCCAAAAGATCGTTTGCATTTTTGGCCCTCCTTCTGTATTAATTACAGATGCAGCATCCTCTTTGACAGGAAAATTGGTATCTATTCTTTGTTCTTCATTAGGAATAGATCACAAACTAATCAGTGTTGCAAACCATGGTAGCTTGTTGGTTGAGAGACATATTAAATCTGTATCTGACCTTCTCAAATTCAATCTAAATCAATTTGGTACGGATTGGGTCAGGTTTGTTTCTACCAGTTGTTATGCATATAATTCATTTGTTTCACCACAACTTGGAAATCATAGCCCATATCAGCTCGTTTTTGGAAAAGAACCCAAAAATCTTACTTCTCTCAACTGGAACTTTGACAAGAGTCTTTGTAAATCCTATTCGGATTATTTGTCACATTTGAAACAAAAGTTTGATTCTATGTCTTCTACTATTTTAGATTTGCAAAAACGCAAACAATTAAGTCAAAATGTTAGTATCTCACACAGTCTAAGTACAAATCCAGTTTATGGATTAGGACAGTTTGTTTATGTTCTGAAACCTTCCTCATCAGCTTTAACCTCTAAGTCAAAGAAAATCAAAGCTGAATGGTGCGGACCTTTGATTGTCCACCAGATTTTGGATCGCACACATTACATTTTAGCAACATTAGATGGTAGAGTTTTGCCTGATGTCTATTCCATTAATCGGCTTAAACCTTGTTTCATAAGAACTAATGAGCCAGTAAAGAGATTAACACATATTGACCAATTACGTAAACAATTAGGTAAATCTGTATCTAGCAATGATTCACCTGTATTGAATACTAAGGATAGTTTGTATCAGTTTACAGATGAAAATGGTTATAATTTACCTGAATTTAATAATAAGTTTATTACTTATGATAGATTTACTACTTCTGTTGATATTAATAGATGTATACCTAATCAAACTATTGCCTCTTTATCTATGTTATCACCTCCTCAAATGGAAGAACAACTCAACTACTTAACAGAAGTTGTGAATGATGACAATTTTATTGAAATCAAAAGAGCAAGATTTAAATTTGGTAAATTTCAATTGCTTGTCAAATTTAGCCCAAAACAACAACAAAGTTGTGAATGGATTAATATAGATCATAATGTTGAGTTTTGTAATATTGCTCATGAGTTAATTAATGAAAATACTCTTCAAGTAACTGGTAATCTCCGTAAATATCAAAGTAAATATTTTTAGAATTGTTCCTTACACAATGTGTTTAAGCTTGTATTGAAGGTAAACCTATTTTTGCTATTTATCATACACTCCTATATTATGAGGAGACTCTTCATAGTTAAAATTAGATCATTATTGTTTATATGTATCTGATAGTTGGATAATTTGATATACACTTGTATGTTAAAGAGATAATATAGTATTAGGTTGGAGCAATACTTCTCAATCAAGTTTGTTTTATAGAGAACATTTCAAAATGGAGTTATCGTAGGATTTCTATGTATATTATAGATGACATGTAATTTTCATAATTTGTTTTGTTTTAATTAACATTCAATATTGTTCTTGTTTTACTACTTTCTCATTTTTGGTATCATATCGTATCATCCCTCATTTTTATTCTCATGTATATTTAAGCTTTTCTTATTTTTGTGTGATAGTGTGTGAATGTTTTTCCATTTATATCTCTTCTTTTCAAAAATTCCTATGGAATTTTGTTTTAACGCGGGGGGATGTCATATTGTGGTATATTCTATATCATTGTGATCTGAAACCTTATGTTTAAGCAGACACAAGTTGTCTCCCTTATGTTGTAGTTCTTCTGCCTTTTAGAGTAATAAAGATAGAGATTGGAATTCTAACATGGAGAATGGTTGATTTTTATTTTCACCCACATATAAATGTGTAACACCCCTGGATCCAAGGATCCGAATACAACAATATATCTCATCTGGATGTTGGCAAATATACATATAATCACTTACAGACAAAACAAGGAAGAATAAAACTCCAATATAGTGTTGAAGACCATACACAATAAAAAGTATTTTTGTTCCAAACCTTACGTGTTTTGAAGTTTATATTAGCTTCCACCGATTCATGACAAACTTTCTGTGAGAAATAAAATTAATTTGTCGGACCTAAAAGGTGCTGAATTCTTATGTTGCAATAATATTTGTTCTTTAAATTTACTATCCATGACATTTTTGTTTTATTCATTTTTTCAATCAGAGGTACATTAAACGTCTTCCATTGTAATTGCACACGGTGAGTGTCTCTATTAATACAATGTACAATTTGAAGAACTTATCGCTGATAGAAGAATTGTAAATAAACTTACTTGTCTAGCCCAGATAATAGAGCCTGAAACAGGTGGTAAATCTCTTACTTTACTCATTCGACATGATTTACTCTGAGCATACTGAACCTGAAGGACAAATTAGATACAAAATAATATATTTTTGTATGAAATAGCTTTATTTAACATCCGCTTCCATTGATGTGATATCGCCAACAATATAATATATTTCTACATTCAATTAGTAAAAAGTGTATGTGATTATTCTCCACTACCTATAAAATGTCCAAATGTTTACACTATCAAAATGTATAAATGATCATGCCTTATCACCTCTGTCCTTGACAGTGGGAACAAATCTTCTTCATGGCATGGGTGATAATTCATAAATTCAGTACTAAAAACATTCAACTACTTAAAAAATACTTGAATAGTCTCTCATTCATCATTTCAAAAGTAAAATTTTCATATTAAGTAGAGCAGTCTTAAATTCAACTTGTTTTTACCTTAAATTTTTCATGGAGAGATTCTATATCATCTTTGACTCTCTGTATCAACTGAGTCTGATATTCACGAATAGCGCCTCGGATGTGAGGTCGTACAAACAAGGCATTGAATCTAGAAAAGATTCGGAACATCTCATTGGCATTCCTGGCAGTTCCAAGTTGATCTCTTAACCTGGCTGTAATTCTAGTTTCTACTCTGTCAATTCTTTCATCATACCTACAAAAGGAGAGTAACAAATATTAGACATCTTTGAAGCTAGCACCATAGTTTTATTTAGGGTTTGAATGCAATGCATGGGAGAGAGAGAGAGAGAGAGAAACTAGGTCATTTCGGGACTAACATATGGTTCAATTTTATTTCAATCATTCGCTTGCGCGTAGGAGTCTTTATCAGTGGGAGGAAACCGGAGCAATGCATGGGAGCATAAATTTGTCAGAACAGTGATTTGGGAATTATAAGAGCTATGTGTCCAGATTTGTGCATTATTACTTTTTTAAATATCCATTTAAACAACAAAATAAATTTTCCTTCCCTTTCTTAGCCTTGCTCATTTTACCTTTGATGAAGAATCTTCTCTACTACCTTAAATTCTAAAAAAAACACAGTTAACAAATTTTACCTTTTTATGGCAGCTTCCCATGAATCAGAACCTTCTTTAGTAACTTCTAATACATCAACTTCTTTTACATTCTCATATGCTAAATTTACTTCCTAAAATATACAATAATTTGACATAAAATTGATGAATCTGTTACATTACAATATAGAATGAAGCTTAATCAATTTTAAAGAAATGAAACAAATAAGACAATATAGAAACATTCTTCAATTTCAATTGAAAATTACAGATAGCCAATAATCTTCTAGATTTGTATACAATAATCAAAACTTGTCAGAATGAGCATTTCATAATTCATCTTAAGCAACTGGGAGTAACTGCTTTCAAGCCGTTGCAAGTGTGCTTATGTTAATCAAATCAACAACTGGGCGCAACTGAATTCGGAATGCTTGAGCCAACTAATAGCTATTACACTTAACAAGCGACTTAAATTATTTATCACATCAACAAAATGGCGAATGCCTCAAAAGAAGCATGCCAAAGGCATGATCAGTCTTGCCGCAATTCTATTACTACATTATTGTCAACATCGACATCTGAAAAGAGGATGCCTTTCTTCGCTTCCATTTTGCCTATTTACAAAGTGACATGATGTCAGGTGTAAGAGCGTTCATGTTGAAGCAAGTTGGAGAAAGTTAAACATAGGCAACTGGCTTCAACTGACTTGAACTAGTTGCTTTGAGTTGTAAGGGGCGCTCAGGTCAACCTTTTTCAGTTGCATTCAGCTGAAGCCACTTGCTCCCAGTTGTCGAAGTGACAGTTGCTCTCAGTTTTAAGGTTGACATACATCTGGCACTTGGGGTACGCACCACATGAACAAATTCAAAGATTTATTTTTCATATAACCTACCTCAATGGCATTAGCGTCTGCTGCTTCATCCACAACCGGTTCACCTTTTATAGGTTCAACATCTTCTCCCATTGGTGTTCCTGCTCTGCCTCCAGTTGATGGTCTCAATACACGCATAATAACCTGACGTAATTGTTCATGTTGACGTCGGAATCTACAGAACAAAAATTATAGTGAATTTCAACATGGACTGCCTATGCCATTTAAATTTTGATTCTGCAAGTTCATTATAAATTACCTGATTTCCATGTGAGTTTAACAGATAAAACATCTCTGTTCACTGTTCATTAAAACATTTTACTAAAAAAATTCTATGTTCATGATTACCGTGTCAACTTACTTTCTCATGTGATCAAGTCTAGCTTGTAGACGTTTATGAGCTGGGTTAACACGCCATACCATTCGTAGATGTTCTTCTCTCTTCTTCTTTACTAAATCACGTAACATAGCTTGAAGTTTATCATATTCATCATCCCAGGCACCAAATACATCAAAACATGCGGACATCACCTAAAACATTCAAAATTAGTCAAAATGTTTAAACATCTAGGGAATGGCATTTCTAATATTCTATCAATGCATTTTTTTTCTCAAAAATAAATCTTTGTTAATTACTGTTAACACTTAAAAGTTTGTCCTAAAAATAAATAGGATTGTTCCTTACCTTCTCAAATTCATCATATGGAATATGCATCAATCTTCTTGTACCCAATACCTGTTTAGAAAAAAAAAGTAACAAAATTATTTAGAAATATGTCACAAACATAAATAAATTTTCTCAGAAAACAATATTTATATAATTCCCACAAATATTTTGTACAGCTTAAACAGTTTAATTAAAGCAAAAGTTACACTTATGTGATTTTCACTTAATAGAATTTAACTATTTCTTATTTTTTAATAAATCGATATTTATATTTGAACAATTCAGTACAATATGGTAAACATAAAAGCAATGCACATATGACCCTTCCCCCAACTGCAAGAGGACATCAATTAGAAACTCAGAAAAACAAACTTGACGGGAAGACAAAACATTGATATTGTCAGGTTTCATTTTCTAAACAAGATCATCTAAAATAAAATCTAACCATTTACAGAATACAACTCAGTTTTCGTCAAATCAATATAATGCTAACAAATAGAAGAATTTAACTTCATAGAGTTATCAAGAAGTTAACAATATTTACCTTCAGGAGTTGTGAACTTAAATCTCTAGATATAGCTTCTACTAATCTAAGTGCTCTCTGTATAGGGTATTTAGTAGGTCTGATTTTACGTAGATGTAAGAATATAGCTTGTAAAGCTAGTCTTATTTTATCTAATTCTGTAGCTGATAGTAGGTCATTGATAGGAAAGTCTTTCATTAGTTGATTATAGTCATTAACTGTAGCCATAGCTTGTTTCAAACCTTAAAAACAAAAAAATGTCAGTTACTATTGTCATATTGTGGTATATTCTATATCATTGTGGTCTGAAACCTTGTGTTTAAGCAGACACAAGTTGTCTCCCTTATGTTGTAGTTCTTCTGCCTTTTAAAGTAATAAAGATAGAGATTGGAATTCTAACATGGAGAATGGTTGATTTTTATTTTCACCCACATATAAATGTGTAACACCCCTGGATCCAAGGATCCGAATACAACATGGTGGAGATGCAAAACATCCTAAACTTATTGTGCTTCATATTTTGTATGTTTTTCACCAAACTATGGATTTAATCAGATTTTTGTGACAGTTTAAGAGTACCATGTGCTTTTCATATCTGTGCCATGTGCTTTCCATGTGCTTTCTTAGAATGGACTAAGCAATACTGCTTGACTTTACTGTATATCTTGAACTCTACTGATATTAGTCAACTGATGGAACTTTAATCAATCTAGTATCATTCTAATTTTGAGAATTTTCATTGTGCAGAGAATTACATTTACAATTTACTAAATGAATCACAGATGAGATCAGATTGAGATAGCCCTACATTGCCTACAATTATCCAAAGTCTGAAATTATTTTGGAGAGCCTAGTCTTGAAGACAGAATAATTTAAACCATGTTTATGTTCAACTTACATCATCATTACCTAATTTTCAATTCATACTATGATTTCGATCCAGTTTCCAGTTTTATGTGACTGTGAATGTAGTAATATTATTTAGTATTCTTGAGCAGGCAGTGTGGTGTAGATAATCCCAGAGAAGACCAATTATTGTAGATGTAGTATAGGCCTACCGACTTTTAATTCTAGCCTTAGACAGTCCAGTGACAATTATAACATAACATGCCAGTTTTTAGCTTCATACTGAATAGTATTTAATAGTAATAGTAACATTTTGAAATCTACAGTCTACAGTGATTTGATGCATATGCAGTTGCAGTGACATTTGTGCGATATTTTCCTATATAAATCATTTGTTCAATTATCGACATTCATTGAATATTATTGACTTGTGTTTTTTTTACCTGCTTGGTTATCGTTGTTAGGATATTGTATGATTGTATTGTATGATTGTGTTGGGTGAATGTGTTATTGTGTACAGTACTTGAATTTCCATTTTGTTAATTTGATATATTGTTTAGTAATTAGTTTTCTAACATTTTGTAAGCTTGATACATGTATATATATTGTTTCATAATTAATTTTGTGGCATTTCATAAGTTCATTTTGTACAACTTTGAAATGGCTCAAGGTAAGCCCTTTAATGCTGATAAATTTGATGGGTCTATCCTAAGTAGGGATCTTGCTACAGCACATTATTTGACTTTCGTGGATTATTTAGAACATCATAATCATGATCAGAACCCTGTCAATGTTGCAGGAATTAATGTGATGGTTGGTCTCTTCAGGCAAACATTAAAAAGCAAAGCACGTCTATGGATAGAAGGTAAAGTGTTCCGAAGCTTGGCAGATCTCCGCACTCAGTTTATTGAGAGATTTTCTGATAATCGGACGCCCTTTGGTTTGCATAAGGATTACGCTTCATTTTGTTATGACGAAACTAAACCGCCCTCTGAAAATTTAGAGGAACTTCAGAGATTAGGAAGACAGTTGGACATAGCTGATGCACAACTGCGATACAAGTTTGTTTCCATTTTGCCATCATTATGTCAACAAGCTGTGGCAATGTCAATTAATGACAGGACTTCTATTTCTGACATAGCTCTCAAAGCTCAGTATTACTTTGACATTCACAAGAGTGACAGTAAAACTAAGGAAGTAACCTTTTTCACGGCAGAAAATGACAAGGATACTGAGATAGCACACTTAAAACAAGATTTAGCTGATCTTAAGCTAGAGCTGGAACGCCCATCACGACAATTTGCTTCAGGTTTTTCTTCTCCTCGGAGACGGTCATCTTCTCATCATTCTTCTTCCAATGATAATCGACTCATCGATCACTCAATCAGTCCTAAGGCACGCCATACCAATGAATTTCGACCTCATAGCCCTAGACAAAATCAAAATTCTCATTTCTCAAGACATAACAACAGATCATATTATAACAGTCGATTTTCTTCAAGTCGTCAAGATTTTTCTCCAAATCACCGAGAATTTTCTCCAAGACGTCAAGATTTTTTTCAAAGTCATAGGAATCGTCAAATTGTCTGTGACTACTGTGGAAAGCCTAACCATACTTGGCGCTCTTGTTTCGTCCGCCAAAGGCACATGGCTGACAAACATAATCAGGATTTTTAATACAGGGAATTTGTTCCATTGCTCCGAATAAATTCCCGATGTCATCATCACAGACCAAACCTTTAAACATACAATTGTCAAAACGTAATTATTGTAAAGGTAATTTCCCTGATGGACATTCTGCTTTACTTTTGTTTGATAGTGGTGCTACTCGATCACTAATCTCATCATTTACTATTGAGTCATCTTCATATCTCAGTAGTTTACCACTTCATAAATTAGAACAATCCCTAAAATTTAGAATGGCTAATGGTCAACTAATAGTTTGTTCTCATTCGCTACAACTTGAGATAGTTATTCAAGGTCATACTTTAGTTTTTGAAGTGTATATTGCTTCCAATCTTGTTGGAATTGATTTGATCGTTGGTCAAGAGACATTGGCAAAGTTGGATGCCAACCTTAGTTTTAATAACAATGTTTTGCAGTGTCGATCTACCAACATTTCATTCTCAACATCTAATTCAGTCTATGTCAAACCCAATCAGCAACGTTAAGTTACTGTTCATGGTAAAATTCCAGGTATTTTTCGCAATCGCGAGGTTTTAATGACATGTAATAGTAAGATTAAAAGTGCTTGTCCTTCAACATTTCTTATCAAGCTAAAAAGAAATAGTGCTGTGATTCCAATATGTAATACAACTTCCAAGACATTACATATTCCATCATCTAGACCTATATCCCATGTTTCACTACATGACATTTTCGTTTGTGACTCTATTAATATATCTACAGAATATGAGTCTAATTACACCAGTCATTCATCAGACTCTGTATTTCGCTCTACAATTGACCTTACCAAAAGTCTTCTTACAGCCAACCAGAAAGACAATTTCTACCAGCTTTTGACTAAACATAAAGAAGCATTCAGCTTGAATGGCGAAATCGGAAAATGTCCCAATATCCAAGTTGATATTGACGTCACTGATGACAAACCTTTTTATATTAGGCCTTACCCTAAAACCGAAAAAGAAAAACGTATAGTTGATCAAGAGTTACAGAAATTAGTGAAGTTAGGAATACTTGCAGTTGGTAGTCAAGCCTACACATCACCTGTCTTGATTCTTCCAAAGAAGGGAACTAATGAAAAGCGAGTCGTTGTAGATTTCAGATATTTAAATTCGCGGATTAAGCGCTTAAATCATCCGTTTCCACTGTTGACAGACACTCTGAAGAGAATTGGTAACGCTTCACCTGCTGTTCTTAGTTGTTTAGATCTTAAGTCGGCCTTCTTTTCCCTTCCTTTATCGCCTAAAGCTCAACAGTACACAGGCATATCTTCATACTCTGGTGGAAAACATTACTATTTTAAGAGACTAACACAAGGATTATGTATATCTCCAGCGGTTTTTCAATCAACAGTTGATAATGTTTTAGCAACTATTCCAAGTAGTTACGATTTCTGTATCGCACACCATGATGATATAATTGTTTTTAGTCATGATACTGATTCTCATACACAACATTTAAATCTTCTTTTTAAGGCCCTTATTCAACATGGTTTAAAAATTTGTCCTCGTAAATGTGCATTTTTTCGTCAGGAAGTTACATATATGGGTCATAAAATACAACTTGGTTCAGAAGGCCTAGTGACTATTCAGCCTTTGTCAGATAGGTGTAAAGCCATTCAGAATCTTCCCAGGCCTAGGTCAACCAGAGATGTACGACGTTTTGTGGGCGCTGTCAATTATTTGTCAAACTTCTTGCCCAGTTTGCAATCCATATTGCAACCTCTACATAAGATATCCAATAAACGTTCGGTTTTCAAATGGTCAGAAGCTCAAGAAACAGCCTTCACTAAAGTAAAATCTTTGTTAGTAAAGCCACCCGTTCTATATATGCCTTCTGGCACCGGACGCTTAACCCTTTACAGCGATACATCTCGCTTTGCAACAGGATCTTACCTTACTCAAGTCATTCAAGGTCAAGAACGACTGTTAGGATATTACTCAAAACGCTTACCAAAAGCTTGTGAAAGATATTCCGTTACTGAATTAGAGTTATTCGGATTACTCATAAATATTTCCAATTTCCAGTATTTATTACGTGGAGTAGAATTTGATGCATACGTAGATCATGCAGCCATCATTCATCTATTTGATTCAAAACGTGCACCTTGTACAAATCGACTTCAGAAACTTTTAGTAAAACTCTCCCATTTTTCCTTCAAGATCGGTTACAAAAAGGGAAAGGAGCTAGTTCTCGCAGATTTTTTGTCTCGTAATCCCCTTGAGGATGATTCAGAGATAGATTCAGTAGTTCCTACAGCATTTACTTTAACAGAAAGACCTATAACTCGTCAGTGGGCAAAACAACAGAACATACCCATTCCGGATCTTAATTCCTCAAAACAAAAGTTATCTTCTTCATCTATGCTTACCAATCCTCCAGTTTCAGCAAATCAACAATCTCTTCATAATTTTCCCATTGATTTTGAAGATAGATCCAATGATAGACAAGCCGTCTCTACATCAAAGTCTGGCAACAAGTCTCATACTATTCAACAATCAACTCAGCAAGAGTCTACTCCCTTGTCTTCTGTTTATGCACCACCTTCTACTTTTCCCAATGAACCTCGACTTGTTGACCGAATCCTTGACTCAGACACACCCAATGTTGAAATACCTATTGAATTGTGCATGCCTCCTAGCCCAGTTGTTCATAATTCTGCACAGGTTGTTAAATCTCATTTTCCGAAACAGCGAGAGTTGGATAAATTACTTTCAATCATCAAGAGAAAAATGATACGAGATTACAATCTTCCTATTGATTGCAATCAACTGCGTATACAACAAGAGACATCACCATATTTTAAACCCATTTATGACTATTTATCTCACGGTATACTTCCTTCCAACCGTGCAGCGGCCAAATCGGTTAAGAATAAATCTGACGAATATATTCTCTATGATAATGTATTATTTCGTCTTATTATTCATAAGGATGAAACATTTAGTCTCCAGTTGGCAATTCCTGAATCGATGTGTTCTAATTTAATCAGTATTTACCATGATAATATTCTATCCAGTCATCAAGGTATTACCAGAACTTACCTCACCATGCGGAAACTTTTTTATTTTCCACAGATGTTTCACACCATAGCTAATTATATTAGCAGCTGCCATCCATGCCAACAGTTTAAACCGAAGTCAGACGATGTTCGTCTTTTTCATCCACGAATACCTACCGAATTTCGAACTTTCGATAAACTTTGCTTAGATTTTAAATCCATGCCAGCTTCACCCAGTGGATTCAAACATTTAATGGTGATATGCGACGAAATAACTAGATTTATACTGTGTGTTCCATTGAAGTCTCTTGATGCGGAAACTATTTGTGAGGCTATCATCCAAAAGATCGTTTGCATTTTTGGCCCTCCTTCTGTATTAATTACAGATGCAGCATCCTCTTTGACAGGAAAATTGGTATCTATTCTTTGTTCTTCATTAGGAATAGATCACAAACTAATCAGTGTTGCAAACCATGGTAGCTTGTTGGTTGAGAGACATATTAAATCTGTATCTGACCTTCTCAAATTCAATCTAAATCAATTTGGTACGGATTGGGTCAGGTTTGTTTCTACCAGTTGTTATGCATATAATTCATTTGTTTCACCACAACTTGGAAATCATAGCCCATATCAGCTCGTTTTTGGAAAAGAACCCAAAAATCTTACTTCTCTCAACTGGAACTTTGACAAGAGTCTTTGTAAATCCTATTCGGATTATTTGTCACATTTGAAACAAAAGTTTGATTCTATGTCTTCTACTATTTTAGATTTGCAAAAACGCAAACAATTAAGTCAAAATGTTAGTATCTCACACAGTCTAAGTACAAATCCAGTTTATGGATTAGGACAGTTTGTTTATGTTCTGAAACCTTCCTCATCAGCTTTAACCTCTAAGTCAAAGAAAATCAAAGCTGAATGGTGCGGACCTTTGATTGTCCACCAGATTTTGGATCGCACACATTACATTTTAGCAACATTAGATGGTAGAGTTTTGCCTGATGTCTATTCCATTAATCGGCTTAAACCTTGTTTCATAAGAACTAATGAGCCAGTAAAGAGATTAACACATATTGACCAATTACGTAAACAATTAGGTAAATCTGTATCTAGCAATGATTCACCTGTATTGAATACTAAGGATAGTTTGTATCAGTTTACAGATGAAAATGGTTATAATTTACCTGAATTTAATAATAAGTTTATTACTTATGATAGATTTACTACTTCTGTTGATATTAATAGATGTATACCTAATCAAACTATTGCCTCTTTATCTATGTTATCACCTCCTCAAATGGAAGAACAACTCAACTACTTAACAGAAGTTGTGAATGATGACAATTTTATTGAAATCAAAAGAGCAAGATTTAAATTTGGTAAATTTCAATTGCTTGTCAAATTTAGCCCAAAACAACAACAAAGTTGTGAATGGATTAATATAGATCATAATGTTGAGTTTTGTAATATTGCTCATGAGTTAATTAATGAAAATACTCTTCAAGTAACTGGTAATCTCCGTAAATATCAAAGTAAATATTTTTAGAATTGTTCCTTACACAATGTGTTTAAGCTTGTATTGAAGGTAAACCTATTTTTGCTATTTATCATACACTCCTATATTATGAGGAGACTCTTCATAGTTAAAATTAGATCATTATTGTTTATATGTATCTGATAGTTGGATAATTTGATATACACTTGTATGTTAAAGAGATAATATAGTATTAGGTTGGAGCAATACTTCTCAATCAAGTTTGTTTTATAGAGAACATTTCAAAATGGAGTTATCGTAGGATTTCTATGTATATTATAGATGACATGTAATTTTCATAATTTGTTTTGTTTTAATTAACATTCAATATTGTTCTTGTTTTACTACTTTCTCATTTTTGGTATCATATCGTATCATCCCTCATTTTTATTCTCATGTATATTTAAGCTTTTCTTATTTTTGTGTGATAGTGTGTGAATGTTTTTCCATTTATATCTCTTCTTTTCAAAAATTTCTATGGAATTTTGTTTTAACGCGGGGGGATGTCATATTGTGGTATATTCTATATCATTGTGGTCTGAAACCTTGTGTTTAAGCAGACACAAGTTGTCTCCCTTATGTTGTAGTTCTTCTGCCTTTTAAAGTAATAAAGATAGAGATTGGAATTCTAACATGGAGAATGGTTGATTTTTATTTTCACCCACATATAAATGTGTAACACCCCTGGATCCAAGGATCCGAATACAACACTATCAATAACTATATGAATTATTGCATGATATTGAATGTTTAGTTTTTCATGGGTATTTGATTTACAATAATCCTGCCCAGTGATGGTCTGGAAGAACTCATTAAATTTAAATTCTTACAAAGGATGATTACCCACAAACATATTTGAATTTGTGTATTGGTCACACAAATTACGTTATCTCTGTCGTCTTCGACTTGCATATAATTTACAATCTACCAGATTACTACACTGAAGTTAGTGGAGTTTTTTTTTATCTAGACTACAATACTTGCATGTACTGTTCACTCATTAATCAATGATTCTAAAGTGTTTAAAGAAATGAACGTTGATAGAAACCTACCTGTATCAGTATCAAAACTGACAGTGGCATGGAAACGTTTACCATGTTTCAAAATATCTAGTGTCAAAACTACTTCAATACTTTCACGTTTTTCTTGTATACGTAACAAGGCTCTCTCTAGATTCAACCAGAAACTAATCTCCTGTAGAGCAGTACCTGAAGCTGGATCACGATCTAGTTTAGTAACCTGTAAATAAGAATGTGAAATGACACATGACATACAAGTAGTGAGATATGGCATCCTCCCACCCTACAATAGAAATACTAGGTCGAAAGAACACAGATAATGGGTTTAGTTTTTCAACGTAATCTGTTGGTTTATTTTAGAAATCAATATCCTTTTAGAAATAAAACTTATGTAAATCAAACCTTTTGTATCTCTCTAATCCATCTGTTGACTCCACTTTGAAGATTGTTGAGGAATTGAGCATCTTCCACTTTGTCTCCAAAATCTTCTACTTTTGGTTTACGATTTTCATCCCCACATTTTTTGATGACTTGAGATACGGTAGGATTAACCGGTAGAGTTATTTCTGGTATATCAATATTTTGTTGAAGATGTAATAAACCCATTTCTAACTCGGCTATCTTCTTCTCCACAGTCGGCGCCATTTTGTCACCATCCCTGAAAAAGTATGAAAGTTTCTAAATATGCGTTACACAAATATGTCTTTTGAGCCAAAATATGTTAAATTTAGACAAGAATTCACTCGGGTCCGCCAGGGCCTTCGCCTTATTAGCTCGCATAGTTAGTGTCAACATACGACAATTCTGGAAATAGTAGAACTGTGGTAGAAACGCAACCTTTGAGTCTCCAATAGTTATACAAGCGTTGACGGTTATTGTTTACTTATCATTGACATGACGGAAGCTATTATTTTGCTAAACATTGACTGGCGTAACCAGCCTCAATTTGTAGCTGGACAAGTAAGTTTATGCCAACGCCAATGCGTCATTGTCATGTGGCAAGATTATTTTGTAACTGTTTGAAATTTACGTAGTTTAATAATAAAGACCCTAAATCATGTAGCTATGAATAGAATTGTTTCCATTAAATTGAAATGACACACAAATTCTACTGTGTCTTTTTTTTTTCTTGTTTCTTTCGCAAGTTACTAAACCCATAGTCCTTATTACTACGTGAGCATACGTAGTCAAGTTTTGTTTTTAAATTATTTTAAAACACCAGTACTCTAACGTATTTTCCAAGTTGGCACTACGGGTACATAATAGTGATTGCTTGAGTGATCTAGCGCGTATACAATATTACATTCCACATGTCTGGTATTACTAAACCAAATCAAAGTAGACGACTTGAGTTTGTGCGTACAAAAAACAACCCCACGAGTCAACTAGTACTAAGTAGTCATGAGTCAAGACTATGATGTTGTCCTGGGATCTTCTGACTGAGGCCATGATAATAATAAAAAAAAAAATCAAAATATGTCTTTTTTTGAATTAATAGAAACTATCTTTAATTGTACACTGTGCATATAAATAATATATCACCTTGGTTCGGTCTGCATGTCACCTGAAGGACCCACATGATCATGGGTCGCACAGATCCTGCGGGCCTGTGTTTGGAAAATATATGTTTCGGACACTGATTTTAACCTACTCTGTGAAACTCTCTTAAATACCATTTCAATCAAGCATTAATCAAAAACACTATGCATACCTTTCAGCCTTTCCAGTCTCTCTGATGTAAGACTTGAAGAAAGGAGCTACTGCGTTACTAACATAAGCATGCAGGGTTTCGTACGGAGAACCTTCACTGAAGTTCATTATCCGTAACTGAGAAGGAAAACTTTTATCTGCTTCCACAACTTGTCCTCTCTTGATGAACACAACACTGAAAAAAAAACCCACATATTTTAATGAATCATTAATTAATACATGTACCTCCATAAATGTTATCAAAATTTTATTTTGTATGTAACGGGTGCATTTAAAAGGGCAACAAAGCATTAAGTAATTATCAAAAGTAATTAAAATTTTATGGCTCTTCTTAGTGCTCTCATACACAAAGCATATGTACACATGTACCGGTAATTAGGTAAGTTGAAAACTGTTCAAAATAAACAACCTCATTGAACACAATGACTGCAATCAACTAAATGGCAACTGTAGCCTCAAGATTATGTACAAGATGTTTGAAAGTGGTCCAACAAATGATTTCATTGTAAACTGTTCAATATCAATAGGTGTCTTAGTCAAATCAATCTGATGATTAATTTAGTCTCTACAGAAAAGTAGAATAAACACCATTTCATTTCTCTAGAGTGACTACATGATTCTTTCAAGTGTTTAAGGACTGTAACTCAGAATGTAATTTACAGAAATCGTTGAAAATCTATGGTACAGACTGCAGTCTGGTGAGTGTTAACAAGAAACTGTGGATGACGGCCAAATACAGCCTACATCTTAATGTTGGTGTATAAAAATCCAAATACACAACAAGAAAATGTGGATTACGGCTAAATAAAACCACATTTTAACATTCAAATATAAAACAAAATATAATCAATTGAAACAACATAGAGCATATTTTATTTACCTGGACATTTTGGAATTAGAGAAATGAACTTCTGAGGTGACAAAATACGACGATGTACCGTCTCCTTCTCCTCCTCCTTCTTGTACTTCTTCATCTACAATTAATTTTCAGATCAAATAAACAATATTTAATGTTAATAAAAAAACATCCCCACAGCTCCACCACATAAAAACATGTGGGTAGATTCTTGTATAACCATACAGCCATGAATTCGAATTTCTATGGTGTATACAATTCTGCTTTAAATTACTTCATACACAAAACTACATGTTGACCAGGTAATTTTATTTTAATTTTTATCAAAACAAATGAGAATTAGAAATCTTGACACTGGCGAGTAGTTGTCCTGGCAGATCTCTCATCCTTCAACTAGTTTCATTGTTTTGTGGACTCTTCAGTCTTCAGAAGTCTGACAGAATGTGAAGCTTTATAATCATTGAGGACCAGAGTACAGATGAGGTCTTAGCTGGACAAGAGTTATCCCGTTTTACAAAGTTCTAATTTGCATAGTTGTATATTGACAAAAATAGTAATAGTAGTAAGTGCAGGAGTACAGGACTACATGCAAAACAAAATCTCCAAGATAAACCTGTGGACAAGACAGAATACATAGACATTGCAAGAAATTAACAAATATCAAATCAAGTGAATTGATCCAGGGGCCAGCTGTAAGAGTCCACTGTACAGTCCCAGGCCTGTAATGGTACTGGCTTCACTCAAAACAAAACCAGCGGTTGCAATGCAAGATACACCCACACTTTGCAAGAGATGGACAGAGAACAAGCTAAAAAAAAGTGAATTTTTGTACAATCAGGAGTTATGATACAGGAAGTTATGGTCTGATATGCATGAATATAGAAAGGAACCAAGATCTTTTGGATATAAACATACATGTATATTTTAAGTTTTATCAAGAACGAATGAAAATTGTGATTTTTACTAGAGGGTCTCCAACCTTGGTACTATATAACTTTACACTATTAGTAAACAAGTAGCAGCCATTTTGTCAAGCAGTTTCACGATATTCGAAGTCAACCATCATTATGGTGTTACAGATATATTTAAACAGTTTTCTAAATCAAATAAGTTTTAATAAATTTCAGTCCATCCATTTACTAATATCTAATAAACAGACATCAAGTTTGCATATCTCTGATGGTTTAAAGGAAAGCTCAAAATAGTCAAAAGCTATATAAATTTGAGTGTCTTTGGCGTACTGATAGTTGATTAGACCGTGTTTACGAATGACATGTAAAGCATACATAAATGTATAATAACAATATTAAAAATTGAAATTCATGCTTTGAATTGAGAATAAATTGTCCTAGTGTAGATGAATTATATAAGGTAACATCTGTTGTGTTTATCTAGACAATAGATACATGTAACTGCAGACTATTGTCAATATCAGTGAGTCATAACTATAACATGTCAATTTAATCAATAAACACCAGCTAGTCTAGAAGTAGAAGCTACAATAAACAATGCATAGGCCTACATTACATATAATATATGTTCATTTGGTCTTGATTAAACAGACCACAAACCTACACATTATCCAATGTTTATTTATATCTAAATCAGAAGCATCTGCAAAAACTCTGTGCAAACATTACTGAGACTAGCAAATGTTCAAGCAGTGCAAAATCACTTGACATTGCCCTAAAAGTGGACGTTACTATGTGTAGTTTTATGTGTCTGACTCTTTCCCTGGCCACTTTTGATCACTTGTTGAATTCCAATATGATTCACATCTGCATCTGCGAGAAAAAAACTTTATAGTACCCTTAGTAGCAAAAGATTTCGGTCCCGCAACCTTTTGGACTCCACATAAATGATGGTTCCGACTAACATGTACTTAACAACTTTACAAACTTATGTAACAACTTTTGTTTTTCTATTATCAAATAGTAAATGCAATCACCACACAGCCGCTACTATCAATGATTGACAACTTGTGTTTTACCTCAACCACCTAAGAAACAAAAGATTTTGTTTCATGTACTACAATATAGCATTGGGATTATCAGTTAATCAGCTTTACTTCTTTGGTCGATACTGTTTTTAATATTTTCCGAAAAGACTATTCTTGGTTCGCATTATAACTTATCATCGATTTGTACTGCCTAACACAGCAAGCTTGTCAAGAAATGTATGCAAAAGTGCAGCTTACAGTTTATCATTAAAAATGGTTGGGACTTGTTAAAAATGTGCATATCTAAATATTTCTTTTCATGTTTTGTGTACTAGGTCATTTTCAAATAAATTTATCAGCATATTATAAAATCGTTTTGAGTTTATTATAAACTGATTTGACTTTAGTGTTCAACTTTCCCTTTCAACCGATTCTCCTGTTCCAACTGTCGTGCACCCAAATTCAAAACGTCATCTAAAGACATATCTTTATTGAGGTCGAAATGTCATGTAATTTTAGACACCCTTGGTCGAGAGATGAGGTTTCTTAAACATACATTATGCACGGGCTAAATCTGCCTATTGCACAGGTCTTTCTTTAGGCCTGAAATATTATCTAAATTATTAATTACTAATTAGACATTAATTAACTTATCCACACCATAATCAAATCTCAATGCAATCGCAAGCCTGCGATGTTTACTGGATTTGAATACATTTTGTGATGGATCATTTGACATCAAAATGGATAATTGAGACTTTGTTTTTTTGTATTGACGTCAGTAATGAAGCTCGAGGCTAGGCCTAAAATTCATTTGCTAATATCTTGGTTAAGAGTGGAGCAATTTGACTGAAATTTTCAGTATATTTTCTTTACGTTATCTATTTTTTAACTATTACAGCGAGAACTGTCAGATCTTTAACCTCCCATAATGCCCCTTTAATTATCTAGGTCGACTAGGGCACACCCTGTCTGTACACGTAGATAGTAGATAAACATTACATGTAATCATAATGGCTGTTAAAATAAAAGCATAAATATACTACAAATATCTGCATTGTACCTTTTGTAGAATTTCGTTGAACCAAAAGAGCAGTGACCTGCGGATCACTTAGAAATTTTTTGATCGATTCGAGTTGATTCTTGTCTGTAACCGCAGCAGCCAGAGCTTTCAGCTCGGGATCTTCATCTTCAAGCAGAACAGGAACGATCCTCCGCATATACTCAACGAAATTCGTTGTTTCTGCAATCGACTGAGTCGCTGGTTCTTCAGTCGCTGGCGTCTCCGCCATGATGGCTACTTATAAGTCTTACAGGCTGGCCAGCACAAAATCTGGAAAACCGGTAAACTCTGCGATGAATAATGAATTTCTGATCGTCCGATTTTGCACGGATGGACCAGTTCAATAAGGACACTGGCTGATTACGTCATATCCGACGCTCGTAAAATTGGAGTTCCCTCCCTTCACACAGTCCATTTGCACGTTATTAACCCCAGAATTTTTATCCCAAATCGGTATGAGTAGCTTTTAGTGTCCTATGATGTCTTACCCAATATTTGCGACAAAGAGATGTAAGAAAAGAAAGATAAGAACTTTGATGAATAAAAATTTACTATCTACGATTTTATATAAGTGAAGTGTTTCTTTCTTATGTCCTAACAGGTCGAACAATTCAAAGCTGGTGAGTGGTATAGAAAAGATAATTAAAAATCTTTTAAAGGGGCTAAGTCATTAACTCAATATTTTCCATAACATTCAAGATTAAAAACATGAATTAGAATTCATATTAATCAATTTCAATCAATATTGATGTTGTTATCTTACCGTGAAACTATAGGATCCTAATATCCAATATTTAAGACACATTAACATTTTATGTAGGCTACACGAGACGTGTACCCGATGATTTTGGGTGTCATTTTGTAATGAACACATAAAAACATATCCTACAACACAATGTGGAAATAATTAGTAAAGGATGATTCACAAATGACAAAATAATAATTTAAACAAGCGGTTGCTATGCAAAATACGCCCACATTTTGCAAGAGATGGACAGAGAACGAGCTAAAAAAAATAATGTGATTTTTTTTACAATCAGGGGCCATAATCCAGGACCGAGAGTCAACTGTCGTGGTTTCGAAACCCCCGGCGGTTGTACGTGACAAGAACTAGCTAGGGTTGTCTGTCCAATCTCGTGGGTTTTCTTCAGGTCCTCCGGTTTCCTCCCACTGCTAAAGACACCTACGCGCAAGCGAATTATTGAAATATGTTAGTCCCGAAATGACCTAGTTTGTGTCGAGTGGACGTTAAATCCCATCTCTCTCTCTCTTTCTCTCTCTCTCTCTCTCTCTCTCGTCTAGAAAGAAAACAAGCGGTTGCCATGCAAGATAAGCCCAAATTTTGCAAGAAAAAAGAAGCGAATTTTCGTACAATATGAGAGAATATCTACAAGAACCTTGATCTTCGGGATATAAACATATTTTAAGTTTCATCAAAATCGGATAAAAATTGTGTCCTGTCCTTGGTATTACATACTTTTACACAATTTACGTACGAGTAGCGGCCATTTTGTCCGGCAGTTTCAAACTAAACTATCATAATGGTGCAACGGTGATATATTTAAACGGTAGGATAAAAATAGTGACCTCTAGAGGGTCCAAAGCTAAAAACACGATTTTTCGTACAATCAGGGTCCATAATACAACCTTGGTATTACATACTTTTAAACTATTTGCCCATTTTGTCGGACAGTTTCGAGCAGATTTTTACGAAATGCGAACTCAACCTTCATTGATGTGTAACGGTGATATATTTGAACGTTTTTTTTTTAGAGAGTCCACATGCTACAAATGCCATTTTTCGAATAATCTAGGACCATAAACCAGAAAGTTACGTTTGTATATGAGCGGTTATTTAAAGGAACACAGATCTTTGATATATAAACATTAAAGTTTCCCCCAAATCGGATCATATGTGGCCTCTAGACGGTCCACAACCTTGATATACCATATTTTTACACTATTTGCGTATGAGGGGAGGCCATTGTGGTCCGATTTTCACGAAATTCAAACTCAACCATCATTAGGGTATAATGGTGACATATTCCAACGTTTTTTGTTGGTTTTTTTTAAAAAATAGGATAAAAATTGTGAGCTCAAGAGAAATCACAATCTAAAAACGTGATTTGTCGTACAATCAAGGGCCATAATTCAGGAAGTGGCCCGTAGAGGGTCCACAATCTTGATATACCATATTTTTACACTATTTGCGTAGGAGAGGCGGTCATTTTTCCTCAATTTTGGTCCGATTTTCACGAAATTCAAACTCCGCCATAATTAGGGTATAATGGTGATATATTCAAACGGGTTTTTGAATCGGATAATATTTGTGACCTCTAGACCTAGAGGAAACACAATCTAAAAACGCAATTTTTCGTACAACCAGGGGCCAGAATTCAGGAAGTTACGATCCGATATGCGCGAATATCTATAGGATCTTTTGGTTATAAACATGTCTTTCAAGTTTCATCAACATCAGATGGAAAATTGTGACCTCTCAAAATTTCCACAAGCTTAAAACGTGATTTTTCGTACAATCAGGGGTCATAATCCATGAAGTTATGGTCCGATACATGCCTTTTTTGCCGGTAATTTTGTCCGAAAATATCGAAAGGAACCGAGATCTTTGGTAGATAGACCTATATTTCAAGTTTCGTCAAAATCGAATAAAAATTGTGACCTGTAGCGTGTCCACAAATAGCGGACGGACGGACAGACAGGGGCGACGAAATAATACGTCCACATGAAAATGTGGGTGTACAAAAATATAGATAAAATGAAAATATCCGGGTGTCCGTACAAGGTGTATCCTCTTTAAGATTAAAACCCCAGTTTTAATTACAGCACACCGCAATTGACACACCATATATTTCAGATTTATCAGAACATAATTTCTAGAAGGTTACAAAACTGATAAAAAAAAAATGAGTCTCACATTTTAAAAACTTATTTTAAAACGAAAAATATAATTATTCGTTATAAAAAAAAATATCTGACGAAGTATGGCAAGAGTCGTTTTAAAGAGACGTTAGTGCTTTTCAACATAAATAAATTTCTACTTATAGCAAAAATTAATTTCCCGTAGGATATATAAGAAGCCATAAGGTACGCCTCCACATTTTACAATTTTCAAAAAGAGACATTAGTACATTTCAAGGAAAATTAAATGAGGGTTTTACCTTCATGACTGGATTGATTAAAATATCCAATGATGCGTGTCAACTAATATAATACCTATTTGACACAGATGATTCAACTTTTAAATCTTAATTACAAACAGGTTCTCTCAATTACAATTCTCTAAATTACAAACAGGTTATTTTTAAAGATGTAAACAATTTTTTATTTAACTTATCGTTCCTTCTCATCATCATGGGTTGGGGCCGGTAATGGTATAGTATAGTGGGGTCTATACCCCCATCCCCGCAACAGCCAATCAGTCTCGCCCAGAATAGCCATGATGTTTACGGCTGTTGCAAGGCTTGTGAATGAAAACGCTCGGAGCATCATCGACGTCTTTGTGTATAGCAATTTTCTAACTACGGCAATATTCTTGAGAGAAGAAAAAAAGTTGTTTGCTAATCAATAAATATATGCTGATATATGAGGGTTATTTAACTTACATTTCGTTTGCTTCGGCTAATTGTCTTGACCAAAAAAAGGAAGAAAAAAAAGATCTTAACTCATACATGGTTAGAGACGTGTGTGGCAGAATAGGGTAACGGAGTGTTTATAACTTAAATATTCTTAGACAGAGCGAGGGACACAGATATGTCAATAATCTTTGGGAAAGACCATAGTGTAACAGATGTGATGTGGTTTTGTTTTTTTCTGAGTTGATGAAAAATTAAAAGCTGTATGAGAAATGTTTTAAAAGAGTAGTTATCATTGTATTAATTCATATGTTAATTAGCATATTAATTGTTTTATATTAATTAAGATTAGTTAAACCCCAATCTTCGAGTGAACACTGGAGCAGCGGATAGAGATGTACAACAATCCTTACTGGATCTGTCGATATAATATGGCCTCACACAGATCCACGAACAACCGACTAGAAACAACAATATCTTAGACTTGGTGTTCACAGACAACCCATCTCTTATTAAATCATCTACTTCAGTTACTGGTATTAGCGACCATTGCAGTGATTGTCACAGACATTAACGTTCTACCTCATTATATTAAGCAAAAGCCAAGGAAGATTTACATTTACTCGAAGACAAACAGGCAACTCATACACAAAGACACCGAAAAGCTCTCCCAGGACATCATCAACCTTAGTAACTCTAAGGATACGAATGTAACCTCCCTTTGGTCATTCTTCAAAAGATCACTGACTCCCACATCCCCTCCAAATTCTTTAAGAAAAGACAATCACTACCATGGTTCAACAGCAAACTACGTAAGATGTCAAAGAGGAAGTCCAGGTTATTTAAGCAAGCTAAAAAAAACAACAATGGAAAGATTATACATTCCAGAAAACCCGCAAGCGCGGATTTAAGCTAGCAGAGATCAACCACATCAATAGTACTATCCAGCAAGGGCTTGACGACAATAACACCAAACCATTCTGGCGGTATATCAAATCCAAACGACAAGACAGTATTGGTATAGCACCCCTCAAGAAAATGGGCAACTTAGTCAGTGGCAGCAAGGACAAAGCACAAATTCTAGTAAACCAGTTCAAATCTGTGTTCACCAATGTAACGGACACTCCGGCTTTACTTAAATTACAGAAACCAGTCATAACATCGATCCCCTCCCTTAACATCACTACAAAAGGAGTCAAAAACCTATTGAAGAACATGAATGAGCGGAAAGCGACTGGTCCAGACAAAATAGCCAACACTATTCTAAAGACCTGTATTAGCCAACTTGCTCCTGGCCTCCGTGAGATATTCCAACTATCAATCAACACCGGTCAACTCCCACCAGACTGGATTAATGCCAACATTGCACCATAACATCGATCCCCTCCCTTAACATCACTACAAAAGGAGTCGAAAACCTATTGAAGAACATGAATGAGCGGAAAGCGACTGGACCAGACAAAATAGCCAACACTATTCTGAAGACCTGTAGTAGCCAACTTGTTCCTGGCCTCCGTGAGATATTCCAACTATCAATCAACACCGGTCAACTCCCACCAGACTGGATTAATGCCAACATTGCACCAGTCTTTAAGAAAGGGGACGTCCACCTACCCGAAAACTATCGACCTGTTTCCCTGACTTGCGTGACTTGCAAGCTATTAGAACACATCATTTGCCGGCACATCCTTACACATCTTGAAAGGAACAAGA